GGGGTGATCAAGGTGGGAGGGGCGGTACCCGAGGTGACCTTGATGGTGGTGTACTCGGTGACGTAAACAACCTTCACCTTAGGCACGGGCGACGAGGCAACGAGCGACGACAACAAAGTCGATACGATAACGGAGGAAAACTTCATTGGATGTAATAATAAGGAAGGAAACGCTCTTTAAAAGGAGGGAGAGCGGGTCGTGATAGACTTTGTCTTTTAACGAAAGTAGTTGGGAGGGTAGTAAAAATAAGGAATGGCACGAACACTGGGGTTCTATGGGGATCGACTTTGTCGCGGCGCGGTTGTCAAAAAAGGAGTGTGGGGCACAAGCTTTGCAAACGAGTGGTGGGGGTTTCGGTGGTGATGGCGGCGTATATAAATAATGCGGTCGACGACGGTGTTAGCGCGAGCGTTTTTTATCGCGAGCTACAGTGGATGCATGTCCTCTGTGTGCCGGACGAGTGTGCGACCATCGAAACGCTCAGGTGCAGGGCGCGGCACACCACAGGGGCGGTATATTATTGTCGACGCAAGGGATGCCGAGCCAATGAGACTTGGAGAGCGTCTCATCGCCCGGCGACGACGTCCATCGGCGCCTATTCCCCGAGCCATTTAGGTCTAGACGCCACCTCTCGACCACCACCACCCACACCGACCCACATTCTCACCTCTGTCACCCGCCAATGCTTTCTGTGGTCGTGTCACCGGTACAAATAATATATACTGCCTCGGTGGTGAAGGCCCACTGTGGCCCTCAGCTTATTCAGAGACTGCGGCACACCCACCCTGCACCGAATTGAAATTGGCAGTGGGCGTGTGCGAGGAGAAAAAGCCAGGGGAACCCCCCCGCCCATTGTTGCTAATATGGTGCCACCACGAGGATTTACCCGTTTGTGGTTGGGTGTGCCTGGCGAGTGGCGTAGCCGTTGCCATTAGCATCCCCTGGGGTCGCGCCTATTGTTCCGCTCCTCTGTTTGTCGACGGAGAATGTGGCACCGCGAATGGCCGGGCATCACCCTGCAACCGCACCCACGGCGATGCCTGAGGGAAATGGAGTTCGATGTCGCGCAGTCTAGACTTTTCTAGGCTTAGGGGAAGGCCACAGCGGTGGGGGGCCACGCTTGGCAGAGACACCTGACATCTACCGTAGCCATGCATCTCATTAGCCCGCGGAGATGATGTAGGCCTAGCATACCACGCTGGCGGTCGTTGGTGTTACCCTTTTGGTGAGGGGTGGCATATGAGTACGAGAAATAACCTTTTAGTAGAAAAGGTTTACGGGGAAACCGAGAAAGTAGGGGTTCCTGATCCCACGTCATCGCGAGCTAAAATCACTAGGTGGTGCTTATCACTAGGTAGCGATTGGTGGTGATCGGGTATCTGTACCCCTAATTTGAGCTCCGCGGGGACATGCCCGCACCCCAAATGCCGGTGGCGGTATGTGGGTAAATGTCTCGGCCCTCAATGCTGTGATGGTCTGGTGGCTAGCCAATGACGACGAGTGGTCGCCGTTAGCCCTGCATTTGTATCGCGTCGTTGTCAAGGGCAACCGACCCGTACCGTACGCTTCCCATGGTGGGGAGTCGCGCGGCCTGTATACTGGGCACTTGATGTCGACGCACATTTTACATGCCGTGACCATCATCTAAATTACGTGCAGGCGCGATGTCTGATGGACACCGCCGTTTCGCCTCGAGATACCACGGCGGCAGCAGCGAGTACGTCTGCTATCCCCTCACCGATGCCGTGCAGCATCATTGGTCGGACAGCCCCGATTGCCGACCCTGCAGAGGTCTAGTCCCCGACTTTAAACCCCTACATAATGGTTGTTTGATGTAGATGCTATGCTATTCATACTTAGGATACTAGTTAGTGGTCTTGCTAGTTTGTGGGGGTCCGTCAATAATCAGTCGATACACTTATTGGGGAACACCGTTTCCAACTGGGTAAACAACCACTTCAGCTGGAAGCTGGTGAGGCCGATCGTCTTCGCCCGCAACCGCATGTTGCGGTCGTCGGTGATGAGTATACAGTACCGGAATACCTTGGCCGTCTTCGCCGTGAGCACCACCTGCGGCTGCCCGTCGCGGGCCACAAGCGCCATGTTGTGGCCCTTCATCAACTTCTTGCCGATCTCGTCGTGCTCGTTGACCGAGTTCAAGATGGTCTCGTCCACCAGCGACCGCCAGTTCAGGTTGTTTTCAAACTCGGTGGTCTCGTTGATGTCCAGCGCCACGGTGCCGTCGAAGCGGAGGGGTAAGATCTCGCGGGTGAGGTAGAGCTCGCGGATAATGATCACCAGCCGGGTGGCGGCATCGGCGATCGTCGCCTCCGCCAGCTTACGTAAAGCCCGCAACTCTTGGAACACGATAAGTGGGATCAGCACTTTGATTACGCCATTGCGCACACACTTGAAGATACGTCCGCAGTGCTTCAACCAGATATTGGTGTCGAGGGTGATGTAGGTGATCGCCAGGTCCATGCGGTCACCTAGGTTACCTTCGATGTTGTCAAACAGCTCGTAGGCAGCAGCGCCGCCCATCGGTGGCGGGGCGATGCCTTCACCCACGCGGTAGGAGAAACGGTACCCTTGTTCCAAGTCGACATCATTAGTATCGTCGTCGAACTCCAGGTCGCCAAAGCCGTCGAGCTCGTCGACTTCGACAATCTCTTCACCGTCGTGCAGCGGGGTCGGGGTGCCGAACCAGGCGCGGTCTTTCGCTTCCACCAGCTCGGTGGGGGCCTGGACGAGGTTATGTGCCAGAATGGCGTGGATCAAGTTGTTTTGGACAAAGCGGCCGTCTCCAAGCAAAAACTCTTCCATGTACGCCATGGGGTCGCCCTGGCTTAGCAGCTGCACCAACACTGAATCGGTGGTGTTGTACACAGCCAGGTCGTAGGCGAAATGGGTGGTGGTGCGGACAAGCCCGTAAAGAGGGAAGTCGTCGGCGATAGCACGAGCAAGCACGAGTACACGGACAATGCGGACGTCGGCTTCTTCTTCCATCGCCTGACGTTTACGGGGGTCGGATCCAAGGTCACCACCGAAACTACCGCTGACGGGGACGTCAAACATCGTTGGTTTCACCACCCCGGCTTCTTCCAAGTCACAGTAGTCACCTTTTTCTCCTTGGACTTGGTCGAACCAGAGGGTACCCCAGCACTTCCACACTTCGGGGAGGAACTCATGGCTGTTGTAGTAGCCCAACACGTCGTCGCGGGCGAGCGCCCGCGCCACTTTGGCCAGCAATTGCGGTTTGCTCTTGACATAGCCCAACAACAGGTTCAAGTAGGTGATCAACAGCTCCCAGGGGAACAACTTGTTGAAAAGCCATCCGAACATGGTGCGGGCCAGCGGGTACTGTTTGACGGCGTTGCCCACGCCAATGAGGAAGTAGAGCCACACGATCACGTGGCCGTTCAGCGCCTGTTTGGGGCCGACAAGGTAGTGGTTGAGGATGCGGATCAGAAGCTCAAGCACGCTGCGATTGATGAATTGAAGACAGCAGAACCAGTCGAGGGGGGAGAGTTCACTGGCACACACGAGCTGGCCGTCGATGGTGGCGTCGGCGCCGAGAATGCCGTTGCCGCTCAGCGGGTTCAGACTGCCCAGCCTCAGCTTGCGTTTGCGGTCCTTTTTATCGCGGCGTTCTTTCAACGCTTCTGGAAGCAAGAAGATCTTGGCGAAGGGGTTTTTGGCGTCGCCAAAGCCAACTAAGTGGTTGATGTTGGCGATGGCAAACAGCGGGCCTTTATTAGCCCAGAAGCTCATGCGTTCAATTGATCCCAGTGGTTGCTGCTGGCTTATTCCGCCGGCTTGCAGCATGCCGTAGCCCGAGCTATAGCCGGAGTTCCCGAACGATACCGGTTGATAGGCCATATCGTGTTGTCCCTGAGGCGCCTGGTTGGCGGCCAGGAACAACTCTCGAGTAAAGAAATTGTAGCCATTAGTATCACTACCAAACGTGAGCCCATAGCGAGTGACTAAGTCGATGCCGTATTGAATCTGGGAGTCGTGGATGTCGCCCAGCTGGGCCAGCTGGGGGTCGCGGTTGCCGTGGATTTGGAGCAACACCTTGTGGATCTTGATGAAGTCGATGATGGGGAGCTCAAGCAACGACAAGATGTTGCGCTGGGTGCAGATGTTTTCCACGACGAGGCGCAAGTAGTGGGTGGTGGGGACGAAGGGGTCGCGGCAGATAACCAGCTTGCCGATGTTGACCAACGCGTCCAAGTTGTCCTGCTGGACGGTGCACATGTGGTAGTATATTTTGCCGTGGCCATAGAGGGTTTTCATGCTCACTGAGTACCAGTACTCGGCGGAGATCTTCCAGTCGATGAACTTGGAGGCGTAGAGGGCAATGGCCATGCGGCTCAAGTCACCGAGCTTTTCCAGCCACCATCCTTCCATCTCGAGCGCGGGGTCGGTCAAGTTCAGGATGATCAGAAAGCAGTAGGCGATGAAGCACAGGCAGATCTCGTGGTCGGAGAAGATGGCCATGATGTTTTTCAATACCTCTAAAAACCCCACCACCCCATACACCCACATTCGCCGGGGGATCTTGTATAATTCGACAATGTTTTTCCCCGTTCGGAACTGGTTTAGGTTCACCAGCGGTTTGAGGGCGGTAACCAAGAAATCGTGGTAGTTGACGAGTAAAGTGATGTTGTGGTGGTATATCGTCCATAAGTCATTCAGCAACTCCAGGGTGCGTGTCAGCAGCGGTGGCTGGGCGGCGTCGGCATGGTTGAGGTGGTTGATTTTGATCGTGATCTCGATGCAATGCTTCTGGACGATCTCTTCGTGGTTGACGATGTTCTTGTACGTCTCCTTAAGCTTGGTGGCAAGCTGTTGCTCCTCGTCGCTCATGGCGCGTGGCGGCTGAGGTATTTGCGTTTGGGGGACGGCGGTGTCCGGGGTGGCGTGGTCGTCGTGGTTGGGGGTCAGTTCCTGGGAGTTGTTGGAGTGGGCGGTGGGCAGCAGGGGGATGTCGTAGTTCAGCGGCGTCGGGGTTTTAAACGGGCGTTTTTGTTGCGGTGCCGCGGGGGCATACCACTGGTTCATCGGCACTGGGGGTGCGAGCGGGTCTGGTTGGTTCTGGTAGCGCAGCGGGGAACGTTTGGCGGTCGCTTGCAACGATGACACACTGCCTTGCCTCTTGGTCTGCTGGGATTGGGTTACCGGCCGGGGCAACAGATTCATCCACGTCGGGGGAGGTGGACGGTGCGAGTCGAGGATCAGAACAACGAACAAATGCGTGCGCCAGTGGCAACAAACATAGTGATGATCTGAGCAATTTGAGACAAAACACAGCCTAAAACAGATATAAGATGGACTAGATTACTTTTTAAATGAACTGATGTTGATTTGGTTTGGGAATCGTAGTGGTGTTGTGGCAATTGCCACTTTGGTAAAGGGGGCACGGCTACGATATTCTATGGCGTCAGCGGTAGAGGGTGCGAGGTGCGGGCATTAGGAGAGAGAATTTATCGGCTCACGGCGAGCGGGCGACGGAGAGCAAAACCCGAGAACACAAACGACCGGGGGAGCGGAGGGGAAGGAAAGAGCCACGATTACTAATAGGAAATTCTAGCGTGTGGTTCGGAAAATGACCCGGTTTACGTGTGGCGCCGTAGCCTGACAAAACTGGGTGTGATTGCTCGCCATCTCTCTCGGAACGAGTCGCGAAGCGTTATGGGGCCCTTTCTCCACCCGACCGGGAACGCTACCCGTCAAATGGTTAGGGGTACCGGATACCCGTCCCGTCACGGTTATATTGGAATGACGGGTCAAATATGGTTCATCAACCCGTCGTCTACAACAGTTCCAAACTTCGTATCTATTATGTATATTCGGTACAATAGGGGCAAAAACCACTACTTCAACTTCTTCTTGGGTCTCAACTGGTTGGTGTGACCGCACTTTCTCTTTCTGCAGTTGGTGGCTCTGGGGGGAAGTCTGGCGTAGCACTTACGGCAGATCGACTTGTCACAGTTGTACTTGGACGCAAGCGCCTTCAACGAGGGTTCAATCATCGTTAGCTGTGGTGGAAAGTTTTTCGTGCTTCACCGGTAATGAATTCGCGTGCGACAATGGGGAGTTTAGGGTGCGCAACCCTAGGTCACGTGGAACACGTGATCATGAATTACCAAGTAATAATCGTCGGTAATAGTAGGGCTCAGCCCAAACTTGAGGCCAAAAGCAAGTCGTGTTAGTGTAACCTTTAGGTGTCATTCTCTCTGTGGTTGATGACTGTGGTCATCTTTTTTTCCTGCCATCGAACGTCGTCGAACATTTGGTGCCCTATGGTGGTCACAGACCCCCATCCCAAGCTCATCGCTAAATGCTTTTGGTAAAAATGACCCTACTGTAGCCGTGCCTCACGTCAACATTACTTACACCCAATTTTTGCCATCTTTGTGTGTCGCTTCACCTGACTACTCTTCACCAGTAATTAAGCATTTTCGTATACAATACACCCGTGCTGCAATATCTCACCTACTACTACAATTCCAACAAAACCCAATTTTCCGACAACCAAAAATTGTCTACAGCCTCAATCTCTCTGAAACATAACATGGATCTAAATCTACACCTGTTTTAGGTTATCTTAATCTATTATCGTATAGTCTGGTGTCGTCTGTGGACCACCAGCGCGCGGGCCATCTGGCGCGCCCCCATTGCTTAGCACCACCCTACATGTCGCAGGCCCCGACTCTGCCTCCCGCCGAGGCACACGCGCCGACCCCTGGGGCCGAGGGAGCCAGTGACAGTGCCAATGGTAACGTGGCAGGTCCTCTGGCCGTGGAAGTGGACGAGCTGGACGCGTCCCCGGACCCCGTGGTCGCGGTGCAGCCGCAAGTGTCCGAACCGCCACTGCCGCAAATCATCGATAACCCCGAGGTCGAGGAGCCTCAGGAGGAGCCAATGGTCACTGAAGACGTGTCTGAGCTGCCTGAGACTAATAACGAGCCCTTCCAAGCTTTTGCGGGTGCGCTGGGTGGTCTGAGTACCCTGGGCGCTGAAGCCGAAGGTGTGGCGGCGCTCGCGGCGTTCCTCCACCTTGACTACACCAATCTCGACCAGTGTGACCCTCAGGTGGTCAAGGCGATGATGAACCGGTTCGAGCAGTTCACTCAGCTCCTGCTGGAGTCGGAATTTCTCAAATTGAACCTCGAAAACTCGACGCAAAATCTGAAGCGCCTCGTGGACCTGCTTCAACAGAAGCTCCACCAAACCCAACTGGAATTGGAGTCACTTAAAATCCAACGGCAATCGCTGAACCAGGCGTCGCAATCGCAAGCGGCCGACCTCGAAGCGGCAAGGGGGCAAATCGACCAGTTACAGACGAAAGTCGACCAGTTACTGGACGAATTGGCCACCGCCAACGAACACATGGACCGTCAGCGCCAACAGGGCCAACAGCTGATGCTTGACATGGAACACAAGGTCGATCAGGCGATGGCGTCGCAAGTGGAAGCGCAGCAGCAGGTAAACCAAATGACGCAAAAGCTTGCCACCACCGAGAAGGACTTGTTTGCGCTGAAACTTTCGTTGATTAAGGCCGAGAACCGCGTCAAGTACCTCGACGAAGACTTAAGCTGGCACCAACAGGAATTGGCGCTGGCGCAGTCACGCTACGCCGCCGTCGTCAAACAGCACCACCAGGAACAAGCCCAACAACAGACGCGCATGTCGCAGCTCACCACGCGTAACGAGCAATTGGACCAGTTGAATCTGGGCCTCAAAGCCACCATCGACGAAGTTAATGCTCAATTACAACAGGAAATTAGCCGTGCTGGCGACGCTCAACAACAGGCGAAGACCGAGATTGCTCGTTTAAGAGAGGAAGCAGCTCGGGCTACCGATTTGGCGGAAGCTGCTCAACGTAAACTGGATCAACAACGCCAACGCATTTCCGAATTGGAACAGTTTATTGATGAATTAAAGCAACGCGGGGAAACCTCGTTGGCCCAATTGCAACTGCAATTACAGGAAAAGACCACTCGCGTGGCCGAACTTGAAGAGAAGTTGCTGCGGGCCGAGGAAGCGATCTCGCTGGACATCCAACGCGACGCCCAACTCCCGGCGCTCGCCCTGGGGCTGAACTTGATCGCCCTGCAAGCCAACATCAGCTTGACCGACTTGTACACCGAATACAGCCACTTGAAGAAGCAATTGGTGATGGAACGCTCGCAAAACGACAAGTTGACTCACCAAATGTCGAAGTTTGTCACCGATCTTGAACGCCGCAAGCCTCAGTTGGCCGCCTACCACGAACAGGTGGAGATGTACCAACGCCAGCTCCATGAAATGACGGGTAAAGTCGAACAGATCCGTCTTGAACGTGAAGAGGCCAACAAGACCAGCTCTCGTTTACGCCAACGGTTGATTGCTAAGGAGAACGAAGTGGTGCAAGCGCGTAAGATGACGCGTGACTTGGGCCGTCAAGTGTGCTATTTATTGATCCACACCCGCGACGATGATACCCCATTGCTGAGCGCTGAACGGAAGGTGATCGACAAGATCATGGCTCAGGGCACCGAAGCGTTAAGCGACACCGATATGCTCATCAGTCAACGGTTGGTGGAATTCAAGAACATCGTCGAGTTGGAGAAGCAAAACCAAAACTTGTTGCATTCGATCCACGAGCTTCTGCACCAATTGGAGGCCAGCGAACACCAGGGCGTCGACTTGGAGCTGGCGGCGATCGACGAAGCCAAGCAGGCGATTTTGCTGTTGCAAGGTGAAATCGAACTGTACGAAACGCGCTACCAAGCAGTGGTCAAGGAACGCGATATGCTTAAACTGTTGCGTCAACTGACCACTTCGGGCGACAAGTTCCTCATCCAAACGAATAATGACTTGAGACAACAGCTGGAAAAGACGGAACAAGTGCTTGAACAACTTCGCACCGAACTGCGCAAGACTATCTCCGACTTGCGCGACCGGGTGCAACTGCTTTCGGCTGAGAAGAACAAGGTCGAGCTCGAATTGTCGCAGGCGCAACTGACGTGCAAGTTAGCTGAGGCTCGCTTGGAGCTGGCGACAAAGCAAGTGCAGAACTCGGAGGTGGAAGTGAAGCAATTGGGACAAGAAATCAGCTTTTGGCGGGGCCAACTGCTGAAGCAGGAAGAAGCGCTTGTGGCCAAGCTGAACCAGCTCCACGAGGTCGACACCCAATTGGCCGAAGCCCGTCTCAAATTGCAACTGGCGCAACTGGAAAAGCAACACTTGAACAACCAGATCGACAACTTCCGCGAGGAAGCGGTGAAGTTGAAGGCCGACAAGCAACAGCTCCAGGAATTTGTGGGCAACTTGCAACAATTGTTAACTGAACGCGAAGCTCTGACCAAGGAAGTAAGTGCTCAGTTGACGTCCACCGTCAAAAACTACAACGAGCTTCAACAGCGTCTCAGCGACCGCGAAGAGCGTGTAGCCCTTCTTGCTCAACAGACTGAGCTTGCACTTAAGGCGCAAAACGCCAAGGTCGATCAAATCAACGAGATTTCGCGGGCATTGTTGGAAGCGCGCCACCAATTGGCTGAAAAGGAGCGTGAAGTCGAACAATTGAACAAGAAGCTTTCGACTACCCACGCGGCTACTGTAACCCCGCAATCTGCTGAACCGGTGGCCTCCACCAAGAGTGACCTGAGCGATGATATTGAAGTGCAACAGCTTAAGGAAGATCTTAAGGCTGCTGAAGCTCAGGTGGAAGAGTTCTCCAACTTGGCTAAAGCCAGTGAACAGGCGCTTATTCAACAGACTAACTCGTTGGACGATTACAAGCGTACCACCACCGAAAAGATTGCTGACCTCGAAAAGCAAGTCGCCGACTTGTCTGCTGAACGCAATCAGTTGTTGACTAAGTTCCAGGAAACCTCGAAGCAATTGGACGACGAAATCAACGCTCGCGCTGCTGAACGGGCCCAACTTTTGCTTGACCACGAAGAGGCATTGGCTAAAGCCCGCAACTACGATACCATGCAACGCGACTTTGAAGCGAAGCTTGAGCTGGTGTCTCGCGATCTCGACACGCAACACCAATTGACTCAGCAAACGCAGGATAAGTTCCAAGCTGAACTCAAGCGCAGTGGTGACCAGGCGGAACTCATCTCGCAATTGCGTGATCAAGTGGACGACTACCGTCGCCAATTGGACACTGCTTCCCGTGAATTGGAACAAGCGAAGAAGGGTATCGACGCCCGTATTGAAGCCTTATCTGGTGAACGCGGCCGTGATGCTGATGAAGCCAAACGTCTCCAACAACGGGTCAACGAGTTGACCGATCAAAACCTGTTGTTGCTTAACCAGATCGAGTTGCTGAAATCGAACTCCACTGGTAGCACTACTGTCGAAGGAGAAGATAATGTCAGTGACATCGTTGCCTACTTACGCAGAGATAACCAAAAGCTCCAGGCTCAAGTAGACCAGCTGGCCGCCGATGCTCGCGAACTTCTGGCGAAGGTGTCGCAATTGGAGGTGAGCTTAGTCCAAGCGCAACTGGACTTGTCGTTTGCTCGTTCCCAGGCGGAAACTGGCGCTGCTTCCGGAGCTCAAGAACGTCAACGCTTGGACGAGATGTTGGGCCAAGTCAATTTGATGCGGGAATCGAACACGACGTTGCGTCACGAACGTGACGAAAAGGCCGCTCAAGTCGCCACCATCACCAAGCAATTAGAGCTGCTCACGGCTCAGCTCGACCCGCTCAAGGTCGAGGTCAGTCTGCTTAAGACCCAAGCGGAACTGGCACAATTGCAAGCTAAGTTAGCCCAGGAAGAAGGGGAAAAGCTCCGCCAACAATTGTCGGAAGCGCAACTGCTGTCGCTGCTGGCTGATAAGGAACGTATCGCTGAGTTGGAGCAACAGCTTAACCAAAACCGGGAGAAGTCTCGCGAACGGGTTTTCCAAGCTAACCAAAAGCTTAAGAACCAAAACGAGACTATCGGTCGCTTGAACACTCAGATCGAGGAACAAAAGACCACCGTCCAGTCGTTAGAAAAGCAAATCGCTGAGTTGAAGCTGGCTCCTGCCCCTGCTGCCGATGGCGCTGCCGCTGCTGCTGCTGCCACTTCTCAAGAAGAAAAGGCGGAATGGGAAAAGCAAAAGCAACAATTTGAACAAGAAAAGCAGGAGTGGACGAAGAAGGAACAAGAGCTTCGGACCCAAATTGATCAGCTTACTAAGCAATTGGCCCAAGCGAAGGCCGATGCCGCTGCCGCTGGCTCCGCGTCCACGTCTAGCGACAATGAGAAGAAGTTGCAAGCTGAGCTTACCGAGGCGAAGTCTGAGCTCACTAAGGTGACGCAAAAGCACCAGGTGACCGAGATGAAGATGAAGATGATGCAAAAGAAGTTGGAGCGATTGGAGAAGCAGGAGAAAGACGCCGCTACCCTGCTGCTGACGCCGGCTGCGGGAGTGGCCCCGGCCAACACCCCTGCTGCTACTACCACTGCTGCTGCTGCTGCTGCTACTCCGGCAGCCACCGCTGCCCCTTCTGCCTTCGGCTCGGCGACAACGGCGCCCGCCACGACGTCAGCGTTTGCTCAGAACCCGTCGACGGCCCCGCTGGGGGCAAAGCCTGAAACGCTGGCCCCGTTTGCGTTTGGCTCGGCTAAACCTTCGTCGTTTACGTTTGGCTCCTTCGGCCTGGCGGCGACCCCGGTTGCGAACCCGTTTGCCAATCAGGCGAATGCTAATCAGCAGAACCCGCTGCCGTTCGGCTCGTTTGGTCAACCCCAACAGCAGCAACAACAGCAGCAAAAGCGGAACAGCCCCGATGCCACCAACAACAACGAGCTGCCGGCGAAGAAGCCCAAGAGCTCCGAATGAGATTTAATTACGGTAGTATATTCAAAGAGTAATGAGACAAAAGTTAATTGACGTTATCGTTTTCTGTAGAGTGAGGTCAGGGGTATCTCTCTAAAAAAAGTCTAATCTAGGAGATCTCGGGAACCCCGCTCGGGGCCACGAGCCGACATCGTGGTCTAGGTGTGTCTTCGGAGCAAGTTTGCATGCCGTTTTTCCGGGCCTCCATTGTGAGACATTATACAATGGACTGGGTTCCCAAAGAGGCGTGGTGTTCGGTTTAGTACCACCAACGGTATCAGTAAAACCGTCCCGCCCTATCACTACGGAATTCATTGTCCTAACAAGTAAATTGTTGCGACTACTCTCTATCAAAGACGGCTTTGCCGTTATCTTCACAATTGCGTCGGTTAGAATTATGTCACAGGAAAACGTCTCCATTTGTGATCGCATTTGTCAATGAGGGGAGAGATTGAGGGGAGTTAAAGCTCACGCTTTTTTTTTTTTCTGGTGAGGATATGGGGATCTAATTTTTGCCTGTGAATGTGCCGCACTCTGTTAGGAGTCCCTGCATCAAGTTCCCCGTGGGGCAACGGAAACCCCGAACACCAGCGAGAATATCAGCGGCCAGGTAAGTGATAGCGAGCAACTAGTGTTTGGGGTGGGAACAATAATCGGAGCATAAAAAGCAATTACTGCCAGCGGTGGTTATTCCACAAAAGATCACAATGATATCCACCCAGTCCTCTATCATTGTAACCCTCGGAGAAGAGACGGCGGGGTCCGATGTCACCTAAAGGGTCTCCACAAACTCCGAAGAGACAAAGCGTGTGCTGTTGGTTTTGTGCCCCGCATGCGAATCAGTCCCAACCGAAAACCTCGTTCAACCACAGCCTCTATGAATACGAGGAAACCCTAGTAGTTCAATAGTTTTTTCTAGTCTAGGCGATAGGATGCCTCGGCAACGGTGGTTCTGGCGATGCAAGCAATGGAACCAGGTGGTGTCCAGGCGTGAAACAATGCCATCTTATCATCGGCCGATCCCAGCCCTACGATGTCTCACGCCGATTGTTCGCATTCTCCGCTCCGTGCTTTGGCACCAACGCACGTATAGGACTTAGCCACAGGAACGCATTATCACCCACCGGACACCAGCTACCACTCCGTAAACCTGCCCCCCATGGGAGATTGCGGGTGCCGGTAGCCATAGACTTAGCCGGCACGAGCACATGCTTCTCTCCCCTAACTGCCAACAAAAATGTCGGGGGGGGGATGTCGCTCCCCTCCGAAAATTGGCTTTTGCAGTTGACGTCAGCAGGCCTCGTTCCGCTCCGTCACATGAGGTGAGTCTTCGTATTTAAAGCAGAAAATCCCCTCCTCTCCCCAACACCCAACGACGACACCACCATGTTGAATGACTACTTCCCGTCGTGGCCATGGTACTACTGGGCTGTCGGCTACGTCGTGCTCCGGGTGTTGTACACTCGCGTGCACGAAGCCCGCCTCCGCAAGAAGTTCAATGCGCTGAAGCCCACCAACGACAACCGCGACCCCACCGGGGGTATCATCACCGCGTTGGTGATGATCCTCGCTCGTATCAAAGGCAAGAACCCCATCGAAGCCATGCGGTTCCAGTTTGAACACCTCCCTAATCCAAAAGTGCACACGTTTAAAGTGTTGATGTACGGTAAGCCGTCGTTCATCACTAAGGACGCCGAAAACATCAAGGCGGTGCTTGCCACTCAATTCAGCGATTTCGACATTGGTAACCGCCACGGGATCTTGCTGCCGCTTTTGGGCGACGGTATCTTCACCCTGGAAGGTATGCACTGGAAACACCTGAGAGCGACTCTCCGCCCTCAATTCGCTCGTGACCAAGTCGGCGAAGTGCTGTTGTTTGAACGTCACTCGCAGAAGTTTTTGGCGCTTGTCCGTAAAGCCAATGGTGAGACCATTGATATTAACAATATGTTGTACCAATTCACCATTGACGTCGCCACCGAGTTTTTATTCGGTGAGTCGATTGGTGCCCTTGACGACGCCTCGGGGTCACTGGCGCTGGTGTTCAACGCCGACTTCAAAGACGTGCAAGACATGATGCTGAGACGGTCGCAAGCGCAACGGTTCTACTGGGTGTGGGACTCGCCGCTGTTCCGCAAGAAGATCCGCTTCCTCCACGACTACGCCGAGAGATACGTCGATAAGGCGTTGGCGACTCTGCCGGAAGAGTTGGAAGAACGCAGTAAGGACCGTTATACTTTCTTGTACGAATTGGTGAAAGTGACCCGCGACCGCAAGATGCTTCGGGATCAGCTTTTCAACATCTTGCTTGCTGGACGCAACACCACTTCACTTTTCCTTACTTTCTTCTTTTATGAGATGCTGAGACGGCCCGATCTCTGTGACATCGTCCGTACCGAAGTGCGGGGGTTGTACGGCGAGAAGGATGACCCTCGTCTCGACGAAATCACCTTTGAGCTGTTGAAGCAGACGAAGATGCTTAAGGCGTGCTTGGACGAAACCCTCAGATTGTACCCGTTAGTGCTGACCAACTTCAGAGCGGCAATCAAGGACACCACTTTGCCTCGCGGCGGTGGTAAGGACGGTACCGACCCCATAGTCGTCGAGAAAGGTGCCACCGTCATCTTCTCCACCATTTTAAACCACCGCAACCAGGACTTCTGGGGTAAGGACGCCGAAGAGTTCCGTCCCCAACGGTGGTTCGAAGACAAGTTTAAGCGTCCCGGGTGGAACTACATGCCGTTCTTGGGCGGGCCCCGTATCTGTCTTGGCCAGCAGATGGCGTTGACGGAAGCGGCGTACTTGGTGACACGTCTCTTCCAAGAGTTCGATAACTTGGAATCGTGCAACACCGAGTACCCACCCAAGCTCATCGTCCACACCACCATCAAGCCCAGCCAAGGGTGCAAGGTGAAGATTTGGTAAGCTGGGGGAAATTTTGGTATTACATTTTTTTTATAGGTAATCGATAACAGCCGGTCTGGCGATTATAATCAGATTAAGAAAGATCGTTCGATTAAGTAGTTTGAATAAGTGCGTTTAGATGCTGTGTGGTAGCGCCAGTAAATTAGCTAGACGTGGCCGTTTCAAACATGGGGCGATTACCTTCTAATTTTCCTTATTTCTTTTTCTTTTTTTCATATGGAATGTGAGCGTTGGCTGGATCCCCCTACCCGATTTATATACACCAGCGCCTCGCCTTTCTCTAACCACCACAGAACCCCCCCTGCGAACACCTCCACTCCAAACCTAAATGCCTCACATAATCTCTCTGATACAGCCCCCCTGCACTGAAAAAACAATCCGGCGAAGCCGCCCTAGGAGCCACTGATCATATCATCGACCAACACTGGTGTAACGTCGATGCAAAACTGGTAGTGGTTCCGTTTGGTATGACCCGATGGGCACTGGTTACTATTTATGGTTGTAAGGGAAGGCTGCGGGTTACCCCTGGTTGGCTAGAGCAACCACTGCTGGGCACTGCCGCCGGTGCATTGGCTCATGTCAACAAACATGCGCACCCGAGGGGGTGGGGGGGTGTACAATGTCTGACAGCTCCGCCACCACCAAAGGGAGTGGAAAGGAGACTAAAAGCATACAGATACGAGGGGCTCGCTAATGGCAAACTAATGCTGATTTCACTTCCCCCCAGATATAGCCACGGGGCGGGAGGGGGCGGAGCGGGGTCGCTCCTCGTAGACGTACCCCCAACCTCGTAGTTTGGTGTATGTGCCTCGGGATGGCAAGGCGTACCGGTTGCGCAGCCCTGCGGCTGTCGGTTGCTGCCAATTGGAACAGGCATACCGGCGCATTGGAAAAATCAAACACTGTAAAAAAAACCATATCAGCGCCCCACCCCCTTCGTTTGATCCCGGCGATATTCCACTGACGAGGTGTCCTCCCACCCCACAAAACCTGTTGATATAGTGGCCTCAACCCCACCCACCCCTCTCGCTTTATAATAAACTGATACCACCATGGTCTCCACCACGGGTCTCTCCGTGGGGCTCGCCATTGGCGTGCCGGTGTTCCTTATCATCGTGGTGTTAGCGTTCTTCTGGGCCCGCAACAACCGCCGCCAGAATAAAGAGTTCATTGACGACGACGACGTCGACTTGGACTTGAAAGACGACGCCCTGTACACCCAGTTCCACCACCAGCTCGTCAAACCAATGCAGCCGGACGATCCGCCGCTGGACTCTCAGCGACTGCTGACGCTCACCGAGCTGGTGCAGCGTCCGCAAAAGCTGACCTACGAGTTCTACGAGACGTTTATCCCCGTGATGCAGAGCGACGTGCTGACGGCACTGCTTATCGCCCCGCCACCGGCGGCACCTACCATCGCTCGCGACCCCATGCTGTCGACGCTGGACGTACTGGTACCACCGCTGGCACCACTGCTGGCACCTCCACAAGCACCACCGCCGCTTACGTCGCAGCCCAGTCACATCAGTCTCGATAAGCTCGCTAAGGACCTCTCCCACTCTGAATTTTTTGAGAAGTTGCCGCTGAAGGCACTGGCCCCGGCGCTGCCGATGAACCCGTGGCGTCAGCCTCCCGCCTACCGTGCCAGCCCGCTGCCACTGACCGACATTTTGAATAACATCGTCGGCGAAACCCCTACTGCCTTAAACGAGAATTTCGTCTACGAGGCTCAACTTGCCCCCGCCGAGCGCGACCGGCTGCGCCAGCTTATGCGTGCCCGCTCCCACTCACTGGCAACCACCGCTAGCACCTCGCTGCACAAACGACCGACACTGGTGGCGCAGGCGCCGCCGCCGCCGCCGCCGCCGCCCCACATCGCCGAGGAGCCCGAAGTGCTGCCCCTGCCGAGCCGTCCCCTACACGACGATGATGTTGACGACGACGGGCGCCGGTCGCCATTTGTCGATCCCCCCGATATCGATTAGACTTCTCCTACACTTACCCCATAGACTCTACACTCATTTTAATCTTCATTCGTCTTGCGTAGCCAAGACCCTTATTTAATAGATGACAACATTAGACAACAAACAAGAATAGCCTGTAATTGAATTATACATCTGTTGGTGACAATAATGCATTAGACACTTCGGTTACGACGTGCCGAGAAAATCGTCAACAATGGATCGCCAAGACAGAAGGTAGAGCAGCGTCGTGTACCCCATGCCACGAAATTAAAAGCTCGTAGTTTTGCAGGTATGCGTTAGACTCGAGATAATATGAAAATCAATGTGGCAATTTTCACTTGCCATTGGATCATGTTTTGTTAATGGCAATCTTGGCCCGCCCTTTCTTAGGGAATCAATAGTACTTTTAACTGCTGGAACTGTTGAGTTTCGTAGAATGGATGTAGAGTCAAGTTGACAGGAGTTGCTTGGATGGCAACTTCACATTTTGTTCTAACCGTCCTCGGATTGAACCACCTGAGTCAGAGCGGATACATTCTTTAAACTTTTAAACGAGAATATATAGGCTATGTCGCTGTTGTGTTTTGAAGAATAATGAGTCGCAGAGTGTAATCTGAGGACTGCCCACACATTGTGGTCAGTATTACGATATTTTTTAATTGTTTCATTCGAATGTAACGAGCGAATACTGCTATCAGAAAAAACATCTGAAGATTCTCCAGAGGAGGAACTTCAACTGCATGACGATTACGTTAATTATAAGGAGGTGTCTATATATGGTTAATGGGGCACATGGCGTTTGCGACGAGGCGGGGGCGGGGGCGGTGGTGTCGGAGGGTCAGAAGCCAGCCGCGTGGCCTGCAGCGGCGGGGTAGGGGGAGGCGGTGCCTTTTTACGGAGAGCCTTGCGAACCAACAGCGACGCCAGATTAATCAGCAGGGCCAGGGAGCTCGCTTCATTATTAGTGTACACCTCACGGCGACGTTGCGGCACTGGGAGCCGAGGAAGAGGCTTCATTCTCACATACTCCAGAGGTAAATCCAAGATATTGGCTTCATTTTCAATACGGGCATCTTCCTCTTCTTCATCGTCCGCGGGGAGATCCATCTTGAGGAACACATTACCGTTATTTGCCGTTGCCATCAGCACCCCTGATTTCCGCCTCAGATTGCGCCGAACAATATTATGGGTACGGGTGTGTTTGTGGTAGTCAGCGCGAGTACTGGTGCGTACCGAGGCCACCCGGGTGAATGCTTGAGTGATGCTGCTGAGGACAGTGGAGTCATCGAGTCTCAGAGGAGATAGCGGTCTCAGACTGTGGTGGCAGGCTTCGGCAAACCATTCCACTTCGCAAATACTATTAGCAAGCGAGGCGATGACGTCGCCATGATGCGGGGCTTCTGACGAGTGAGCCTTAAGGAACTCAAGTACTTCTTTGAGTTCCTGTACTTTGTATGACCCTACCTGAGAGTTTGACACCAATGGGTAGAGTACACGAAGGTAATCAATCACAAGCACCCCCAGATCGATTTCTGGGTTAGTGTAGTCCAAATCGTTGAGTTCACGGATGCAAATGTCCATCAAGATCTTGAGGTCATTAGTGTAGACGGCAGTAGAAGTCGTGGTAGTAGTGAAAATGAGGTATAAGAACTTGAGCACCAAAATCTTGACGATGGTCAGCTCCTCACGATTGAGGTAGTAGATGGCAAGGTTGGTAAATCCTGCTAACGTGGTGGGGTTCAATGAGTTTACCACTAAGTTATCAGGATAGCGGCCCATAAGACATTGTTCATTTATGAGGAGGATGATTTTGAACTGCTCGTAGGCCGTGAGTTGGTCTTCGTTCTCGTATCCTTCAGCATCGATATCGTAAGTGTTAAAGTTTTCGTTATCCACTAATTGGTAGATAGCCACCGGCACAAGTTTCAGTGCCACGATAGCCGAGTATTCTTCAGGAGTAACCACCACCACGTGGTACAAATACTCAAAGAAAATATCACAGGAAAACTTAAGCAACACGAAGCTGGTAAAACCTTCCAGCACAAGTTTCATGTTCGCAGCAATAAATTTGGAGAAAACGGGAATGAAATCAAACAGACGCAAAGCATTAAACACCATATCAGCTTCCACATTGATGATATTAGCCAAGTCACCCTGATTTTTCGTCTTTAAGAGCAATAAAAGGCACACGCAAAGGTACTCTTTGAGACACTGGCCCTGGTAGTAGACCTCGGGGACGGTGACGCCCGGCTCGTGGTCGCACAACGCATTCAACAACAGAAGCATTTTGCCGAGACAGAAGCGGCAGTTTTTCACGAACAAGTTCAGTGTCAAGAGCTTCAATGCGTACCCGGATATCGTCTCGTAAGTGGTACCGCGAAACCCGCCTTCTTCGTCCATGGGCCCGGCGTCGAGATAGACGTTGTCAAGAATGCATTTGAGCACGATCAGGAAGTTCTCGTTACACTCGTTGGGGTCGGAGATGATTAGCACCGTGGCTAGCTCGTCGTCTAGCGTCTGAGCCGCCTTTAGCCGGACACACTCCATGTCGCGCACAGACCGGTTGCGGCTGCAGAGACTCTTGTAGCTATCGCCCGGGGGAACGCCGGTAATGAGCGAGCCGTACAGAAGCTCGAGGCACACGAGCAAGACAAGACACAATTAATGAGACTGTCGTGCGGTTATGGTAAACGGTGCACGGCTATACTGTTCAAAATAAATGAATCGGGGAAGGGCTACGAATTTTTTCTAGGCCCGGCTGACCGTCGTCATCAATGTCTCGTATTCAACGGATTTGGCTTTCGACCACGCTCCAGTTTACAACCTGGAATTTATCACCGAGGAAAATTGCGCTTAGGTCAGCACACACACACCCTCAATAAAAAAACTGATAGGGGAACAATTGCCGTCGAATAGAGTAACAAAATCGATTTGAGGAGTGGTGATCAAAAACGATAAACTCATCGATGACACTAGGAAGCTTTTTGTTTCAAGCTCATCACGTATAGCTATTAGTGGTGGTGCATCCAACGGTGCCCTTTTATCAACCTTAAGCCTCGGTCTCTGTCGCACTAGCGTGGCCCGCCCCCACTTTTCGCACCCATTCCCCATTCTCTCACCAACACGAACTCCACCCTCTATCCCACAATACCCCTATCGCCCCATGGCGACCTCCGGACAAAAGGACTTGGCCCTAAGGCTTGTCGACGTGTACAAGCTGAACCGGTCGCTTTTCCTCAACACCAGTTACCTCATCCTCATCACGGCGGCGTTTTCCCGCGCCACCGCCACGGGAGAGTCGAGATCAAAAGCCGCCGCTGCCTCTGCTGCTGACGGCAAGAAAGTCAAGAAAAACCCTAAGCTCTCCAAACAACAGTTCCGCCGCCTTGCTCGCGCCATCGTCCCCAAATGGACCGATGCCTCCGTCGGTTATTTGGCCGCCCACTGTGGCTTGCTTGTGGTGCGGGCGTTGCTCACCATCAAAGTAGCGGCCCTCGACGGGTTGCTTGTGGGTGCCCTTGTGTCAAAACGCCTTAAATCGTTCTCTAAGCTCTTAGGGGTGTGGATGCTTTTGGGGGTGCCGGCAGCGGTGGTCAACTCGTTGCTCACGTGGACTAAGGCTCAATTGAGCAAACAGATCCGCGTTAACTTGAATGAGCTGATCATGGACCAGTATGTCCCCGATAACAAGGACCCTAACTACTATGCCCTTATCCAATTGAGTGACAACGCCATCGGTGACCCTAATCAAAGAATCACTGTCGATGTGCTGCGTTTGGCCCTGGCGCTTCTGAGTCTACCTGGCCAGTTGCTTAAACCGACGCTTGATCTTTTGCTTTGTGCTCAAGAACTTTCGAGACTGGGGGTGGGCAATGGTGAAGGTACGTTGTTGTTGGGTATGATGGCCCACTTCTCTACCCTTATTCTCCGTTTCTTCTCGCCGCCGTTTGCGAAATTGGCTAGTGAACGGGCAAACCTTGAAGGGAAATTGCGCAGTGCTCAATCGAAGATCGTCAACAGTGCTGAAGAGATCGCGTTTTTGCGTGGCCACATTCGTGAGCTCGATCACATTGACTACTGCTACTATAAACTTGAACGGTTCCTCAAGATGGAATTCTGGCGTAAAGGGATTCACGAAATTGCCCTGACCTTCATCATCAAGTACGTGTGGGGTGCCGCTGGGTTGGTGTTGTGTAGTGCTCCCATCTTCATTGCTAAGTACATGGGCGAGGAGCCGAATCCCAACTCAGCCGCCGAGTTCATCACCAACCGTCGTCTTTTGATGCTGGCATCAGATTCGCTCGACAGGCTCATCTATCTGCGCAAGTACTTGTTGCTGGTTGTCGGCCACGCTACCCGGGTGGCCGAGTTCCAAGACGTGTTACACAACTTGTGCGACCGCAAGGAGAAAAACTTAGAGCGGGATAATATTGTCTATGACAACAATGAGATTACTTTCAGCCATGTGCGGCTTGTGACTCCTGCTGATGTCACTCTTATCGAGGACTTGGACTTCAGCATTAAGACTGGCAACCACTTGTTGATTGCCGGCCCCAACGGTAGTGGTAAGTCTTCGCTTTTCCGTATGTTGGGTGGCTTGTGGCCGTGCAAAAAGGGACAGATCACAATCCCTGACTCGTCCAACATGTTCTACTTGCCTCAACGGGCGTACTTGTGCGAAGGTACCCTCAAGGAGCAGATCATCTACCCTCAATCAATCGATGACTTCAAGGGCACCAACGACGACTTGTGTGAGATCTTGAAAGTGTTGAAGCTTGACGAATACTGCGATGAGCTCGATGAAGTTAAAAACTGGTCCGAAGAAATGCTGACGGGGGCTCAACAACGGTTGGCGATGGCACGGTTGTACTACCACAAGCCCAAGTTTGCCGTGTTGGATGAGTGTACCTCGGCAGTGTCTCCCGACATGGAGCAGTTCATGTACCAATACGCCCAAAGTTTGGGGATCACGGTGTTGCTGGTGGCCCACCGGTCTGCCCTTTGGCACTTCCACAAGTACATTCTCAAGTTCGACGGTAAGGGTGGTTACTACTTTGGCCCGCTTGACGCCGAAAAGCGTCTTAAGTTTGAAGCCGAAAGATTAATTCTCGAGAAGCAGCTCCGTGATGTTCCCACGCTCAAGGAACGCTTGAGCGAATTGACGAAGGTCTCGTCGGCGGCGAAGAACCGCAAAAAGCACAAGTAGCCGGTATACACATAGATGGTAGATCTTTAGATATATACGTCGATATGAAAAGTTGCAAAAAGTGAATAACGCCATTATTTACTCGAGTGATTGATGCTTGACAGTCTTGAATCATTCGAATTTGAGCAGTATACACTGTAAGCATTATGGGCCGTCATGGCTTGCTAAAGATTACCGGTTGCTCATTTCCATTATTTTTAGACTGAACAGATTCCTCGAAATCTCAAGGCTACGATTATTCCATAGTCTAATGAAACTCAACGATTGCTGGTCTAAGCGGCTATACCTGTACCCCTGGGCCCTGCAAACAACTGCACTGATGGATCTAGACTCCCGTAGTAGTAATTCTACCGGTTATCGCCGCAAACCGTGCATGATAGCATTGTTTGATAGTACATGGCAATTTTCAAATGTACTCACGACGGACTTTCTCGAGGATTCACAGCCTTATTGTTCTTCGGTATAAAGAATCCATCACAGGTCGTGTTTTCCTCCAAACGCGCTTAGATCCAATTTAGGGTCGCATTATGAAGATTGCATTAGTCTGATACGAACTACTAAGGCCAAATGTACCTATGGCATAGTTTAAGGTAGAGGTGGCATTTTGTTTCGAACTGACATGTCGTCGACGAAGCCCCTGACTATCCCGATAATACCCGCAAAAGTAGTGTGATCGGGGTTACACGTAATACCTCCCCAGAGTTCGCGTCGCATCCGAAAAAGCATTTACCAGCCATGGCCCAAATTGGGTATAATCCCTCGATCGCGCCATGATCAGCTTAGCCACCAGTAGGCACATGTAATTTTAGATATTCCTCAACTTCTTTGTCAGTTGCTGGTTCAAAATCACCGACGCACTTTGCTCGGCCGTCGTCGCAACTAACGTGCTGCACTCACGCGCCCTTCATTTGAATTGTTTACTCGTCTTTTTTCTAGACATAGCGCTAGCCAGGTCCTGGATCACCCGCCTCCCGTTGCCCATTACTTGACTCCCCGTTGGGTATTCTGATTGGACGACCCTTTCCCGTTGCCAATATTCTCCACCATGGAGCGGATTTTCTATCTGGCAAACACCGCTGACCCCGTCACAGATCTTCCGATCTATTTGTTCGACACGTCCTTCTTGCCCACCCCAGAGGAGATTAACTATGAAGAGTTGATCCCGGTGTTATTACAAAAAGTACCTCGACACCCGTTTTGCCTCATTGTGTTCAGTCTTGGGCTTAATCGGATTCTGTGGGTATGGGGTCTTAAATTCCTCAAACGGTTCCTCAGCGACAAACAGAACATGACGAACTTACAAAAGATGGTCACGGTGCATGAGCTGTGGTTGGTGAAGCTGTTGACACAGATATTGACTAACTACCACTTGACGATGAAGAATCTCAATCTGATTAATCGCTACATCGATATCGGTCTGTCCAACATCGTCGAGTTATTTGCGTTGTATAATGCCAACCAAGTGAAGCTTATAAATTGTCTGCTGTTACTGCAGTTGTCGAATTATTTTGATATTACTAAGCTCAAAATCTCATTAGCAGTATACCGCTACGATGCCAAAATCGCCCCGCTTGAATTGGCCATGCGCTACAAGCCCCTCATCAACCAGTACACTGCAATCGACTACAACAAGAACCCTCTTTTCATGCATCATTTCACTCAGCTTTTGGCGATTGTGCAAACACATGGCACCGAGGTGGAGTTATTGTTTCACCGACCAGGAAACAAAACTCTGACCGATGTGCTTTACAACTGCATTAACCGCAATCAAATATTGTGGATTAACGACTGGGATATTTACTGCATTGGCGGTGTAGTAAAACGCATCACAAGCGAACTTCCGGTGACCCTCATTCCCGTCGATATGATACCCCTCCCTGTTGCCGACACGATGTCTTACCTGCTTTCGCTTTACTTAAAGTTAGACGAGTTCCATACCCAGCAAGGTCAAGGATACAATCGACTTTTATGGGAGTTGTTGGGTCTTGCGTCAAAACTTTTGAAAGCAGCGGAAATCACTAAACACACCGCCAACTCACTTGCTCGTCTGTTGGCTCATTGCATGTCTCATCAAGTGGTCAGCTCCCACTCAAAGGACCAAATTGCTATTGTTGTCCGTGTACTTACCCATATGATAGAATGGTGGGATGAAATTGGCATTGAGGTGGCGACGGAGCCTTTGCAACCAGTTGAACGTGAACTTGAACGTGAACAGAAGGCACCCCCGTTACCACCACGCAAGCAAACCTCGCAGGAACTTAAAATCAATGACCTGTATAACATGTCATTCGATCACACCATGAATGACACTTTCAGTGACGACGAACCTGATCTTCATGAGCAGCTAATGGCCTTAGGAGATATCGAAGAAGAGTCGCCACCACCCAAACCTCCTCGACGCCGTAGCTCTCAAGAGCAGGCGGTGGCTGAAGGTCCGCCCAAACCTTCATTCCTTCGGCATTCGCGTAACCTTTCTGGTACCGTCCCCAATGTTTCCGCTCACGCTCGCACCAGAAGTGTCGGAGGACTTGTGGACACCAATTTTAATGCCACGCCAAGGAAGGATGCTCTTATGTCGCCTGTCACCACTAATTCGCAATTCTCGCGCATACAACTGACGCTGAACCTGCTGCTTAGCTCGGTGGACTCCGCGGTTATCCAAGAAGTGCTGGCGGTAATTCAGGCGAAAAAGATGCTATCTGACGTGTCGAATATTGCGTTAGAATTGCCAACACAAAAGTATAAGGTAGCTGAACCTCAACTACGACTGCCGGCTGCCACCAAACCAGCACCGCCACCCATTCCAGTTAAGAAACCAGTGATTCGAGGACGCAAAGTCGGCGAATTAGCGAGGCTTTTCGAAGAACGTTGCGAAGGGTTGGAACTTTTACGGACTATGTAGCATTAGCATTTTGGGATAATACACGGATAGGAACGGACCACTCACACTAACAATTACTGTGAGATTATTTTCAAAGTGTTTCATGTATATTTATAGCCACGTCTATGCCTAAGGCCCTATCTATATCGAATAGGGAGTTTAATTATTTTGGATTAACGCTTTGTTGTAGTACCCGAAGTGTTTACGCAACACAGACAGTCGGAATGCAAAAGAATGAGATCTTGCACTGACGTCCAAAATCAAAATGTATTCAACGTGAAGATATCATACGTTGAAAGCAAAAATGGATGATATCGTAAATAGGTTTATTCGGAAATAACTCAATATTTGTTTAGCTTACAACCATAGCCCTTGCCAGGCGCACTTTTCAGTCGACGAACGACCCCACGCAAGACAAGCGCGCTTCGCTCCTCCTCACCGCCACGACAATGTTGGACCTACCGCTGAGGGACGAGCTCCCCGACACTGAGCCTGTCCTCGATACCCTGGGCGAAATTGATTATCAGGCAACTTATAAAAAGCTCCAGAAGCGGTTTGAGTTGATACTGAAGGCATCGGCGGCTCTCTTTGACCTTGAGAACGCTTCTCGGCAAACGATGGCCTACTACAAACGACGAAACGATGCCATTCTTGATTATTTGGATACCGTGGAAGAGCGAAAACAAGCCACTCTCGACAAAGACCGGCTCGATGCCTTGGTCGGACAATGTCCGCGGATCGCCGACACCGTATTGCCGATTGCCGACTTAGACAATCCCGATCTGAAAATCCACAAGAAACACTACGAAAACTTGTATATGACCGAGCAGATCAGTGATTTGGTCAACGACGATGCCTCTCCATTGGAAGTGGACCCCACTCTGGCACAATGGTGGTGCCAAACTCACAACCGTGCCGATCTTGTGCTGCCTCAATTCAGACTAGCTGATGTACCCAGTGAGGGCATTCAAGAAGGCTACGTTGGTAGCGGATTGGAGATGAACTGGCTGGAATTGGACAAACCGAAGAAGGTGGTGAAAAAGCGCCCGGAAAAGAAGAAGAAGGCAGAAAAACCAGCACCCGCTGAAGTAGCCACGAGTTAATGAATAAACGAGAACGTCATGCCCGCCATAATTTCAAGTATGCAATATAATGAGATGAATACTGCGCCGTACTAATCCTAGCCCAAATTGGCGATGAACTTCATCATGAAACTCAAAAAAGGACTTGGCTTATGATAATCGATAACAAACCATCAAAAAAAATCGCTAGGGAATCCAAAAAGTAGGTCCTACCCGGATTCGAACCGGGGTTGTTCGGATCAAAACCGAAAGTGATAACCACTACACTATAGAACCGGTACGGGAAAAACAACGTCTAGACCGCTTCAGTCAACCAGATGATCACTACCCAGCCACTTTGAGATATTTACAGTGTTTAACGAGCTACAGCACTTCTTCTCAGCTATATGAGTGTGAAGGTTAACTCAAAGTAAGCATTTTGAGAAAACTCAATTTAGATTTTCGAAATTTGTCTACAGATTTCTTGAAAAAGAACAAAAAGATCACAAATTGCGGGCTCCGCAAGCTTTTTGCTAATTCGATGATTTACTCAAAAGTTTCTGTCACTTAAATATTATCATTACATGTCAGTGGATATCGCTCAAATTATAATACAATAAAATACACTAGAATCAAAGAAACTTCAAAAGTTTCACACCTCTTCGTTCACTAACCTCGAGTCAATGTTATCCATTGACAACTCAGGGTTTTCGGAGCCAATAGACCCACTGCCATCATTATAGTCACTGTAAAAGCGAGCGTCGTTGTCGTCAATATGGGGATGGGCGCCCAGCACCCCGGCTTCCTGAAGTTGTCGCTGAAATTCGTCTTGCTGTTGTTGCTGGTGATGTGACAGCATGTTCCAGTGATGTGAATCACCCTCGAGAAATGCATTGGCAGCAGCAGCCACAGCAGCCGCGGCCTCTTCCTCACTCAGCGTGGCCGTCGTCTTCTTGCGTGATCCATCGATAAACCGCTGGCTATGCTTTTTAAGCTTGCGCTTATAACCCCTGATCTCATTATAAATATCTTCCCGTTTGATGAGCACGTCGGGGAACTGCTCTTTGATCCTTGTTTCTATCGCCAGTGGTTTCGTTCCCACCTTGTACAAATCCAAAATCATGCCGTTAAGTTGCTCCAGGCGCTTACGAAGCATGGGGTGGTTGGATAATGGATCGAGTTGGGGATGATTGTGTTCGTTACACGTTGTTCGCACCGTCCACACCCCTGTCAGCTTTTTGTAAGAGGCCGTCATGGCAAAGGGGCACCTTAACTTCTTTGTCTTCGAGCTGTCGTCATCAAGAAGGAAGTTTCCCTCGGGAACATTTTCGTCTTTCTTCTGCTTTTTGTGACGGTAACGCCCACCCAACTCACAAGTGTAGTAGATTGCCTTTTTATTGGAATGGGCGATGACAACACCGAACCCGTTATCTCTGGCGAACTCTTGGATGAATTCGTTGAGCTGAGCTCTATTTGTGAACAGTTGTTCGGGGTATGGCCGCGTGATAAGGTTGCCATCTTCAGTTATTGTTGTTTCCAGCACCGGGAAGATCTTCTGTTTCTGATTGATGATGGGCTCGGGTAAGTGCAACCCGTATTCAGATTCATCGTAATGGAATTCTTGATGGCCTCCCAAGTGATGTTGATGGAATTGTTGGGGGTGGGCACTGGAGGGTGCTGAGGACGGGCGCGGAGCAATAGGGGTCTCAAGCAGGCTTGACCCCATGGGTGGTTGGTGTTCACCTAGGTCCAAATTCAGCGTTGTTTGTTTTGCAACATTTAGTAACTGGTCGTCGATGTTGCTCGAATATTCTTGAGACATTGTGTGGGGCACTTCCTGAGTAAAGTCGTGTCTGGCACTGGTAGTGTTGTGGTCAAATCGAAAGTCGAGGATTCCGATGGGATAAGTTGCGCGCGGAGTGACGCGAAAAAAAAGAAATCTAGATAAGGAAGGAGTGGTGGAAAGTGTGGCTGATTACTTTGAGGAATACGGCGTCGGTGATAACAATCTACCTTGATTTAGAGGAAGTAACGTGACTAAGATTTTGTAGCGACAATAATGTTGATTTTCGTCAGTAGAAAACCAATTTCAATCGCGACGCACAATTTACTAACTTAACGACACCCGTCATCGCAATGCCGATAATATTAAACGTTTAAATTACCACAAAGAAGTAGCTATACCACCACCAGCTCTATTTCTCGATTTTACTAGACCTAAAGCGTCATCGTTGGAATGTTTCATTTCGAATACGCTATGGTCGATGGTTGGGGCACCAAGTCGCACTTTTTCAAATTTTCACCACACGATCACTACGACGATGAGAAGCCGCCAGTTTGTGCGGAGTATCTTCCTTAATTCTGGTCCCCGAGTGGCTGGGTTGAAGCGGGACCCTGAGGTGGCGGCTACCCTCGTCAACGGGTTACGCTACGAGAAGCTGCCGGCGACGTTAGCCCCGGTGAAGGCGTTGCTCACCGACAAGTACGCCATTCTGGACGACCTCGCCCTCCAGGTGATCACCCACAAGTCATTCCTCAACGGGATCAAGCCCTACAATGAAAAATTGGCGGCGTTGGGCCACAAGGTGTTGAACCTCTACTGTGCCAAATACGTGACTCTGGGCCCCACCACCAACAACGAGACCGCGGTCAACGGCCACAATTTGGACGTGTTGGGAAGCCCGATGGCGCGTGAGCTTTCGGGGAAGCTTGCGGCAGGGTTGTTTGCCAAGAGCAAGGGGTTAAGCGACGGCATGTTCTGGAAGCTGGCCAACCATGAGTTGTCGTTCGAGGCTCTGGGGGAGATGACGGTGGCGGCACACATGGTGTACGCGTTGGTGGGGGCGGTGGCGGTGTCGCATGGCAAGCAGGTGGCCGAGCAGTTCATTGCCGAACACATGACGCCGGCGTTGGAGGCGATTACGGTTAAGATCGTCGACGATCTGACGGCGGAGTGAGGATAAATGCATTCTTGTATATAGAAAAAAATCTAATGACCATGAGCAAGGAAAACGGGGTATCAAATATACCGCCTCAGCTGTCAAAGCGAGGGGCTGGAGTGTGCTCGTCACAAATATAAGGGTAGACCACTGTCAAAGGGTACCATGTGTAAAAGTCGTAAGCTTAGAGGAGGACGTTGCTGTTTTGAAATAACAGTTCAAGCGGCACCGGGTTCAAGTCGAGGAACACCTGGTTCAACTCCAGCATCAACAAGTCCAACTTTTCCACTAAAAGGTCAACTTCAACTCTCATTACAAAAGGGCAAGGGGTAACTTGGGGGGGGTATACAAATTATGGGGGGTTAATTGGCAGCGACGCGGGCGGTGCTTACTCTATATACGGGTGCATCGGGCAATTCCCCTTGGGCAATCTGTATTGATGGGATCCGTATGCATAATTCAAACCTAGTTTAGTAAAGCGCCTGCGACGACATATCGCCATTGTGTGTCAGCAGATAATGGGCCCTGCGGTTGCGAAAACGCAGTATTAGGCAACAAACAAAACAAACATGAAATCGAGAGCGGTGTGGGTGCCAAGAGGGATCACAAACTCGTAGTCATTGTTAGAGAGGGAGAGGAGGATGGTGTCCATTTCCGAAATGTGCCTAGGCCTGCTGTCATGTATGATGCAGATGAGAGTTCAGAATGTAAACAGCAACCGTCGTTCCAGGGCCCGTATACATGAAAACAAAGCGGGATGCGATCGAGGGGCACCGCAGCACTGACACCCCCTTCGCCGAGCCACTTCGTCTAAATTTAGTAAGAGAAGGTTGGGGGATTGTTGTGGTGTCAGTGTTTGACCAAGAAATGTTGGCTATGTTCTCAGAAACCTCGACCGGGAGTCCATACCAGCTCCGGTATGGTAAACAGCATTCCGTGCTGGGCGCAGCAGGCGAGCGAACCTTGACAAGCAGCGACGGAATAACCCTACGTGCCGCAGGTGCTCATCGCCCAGCAAAAGATTGTCGATCACTACTTATGACTCCCGTGTTCGGATGATGTTTACCCGCAACACAGGGGGTCTCTGATCATCTCGGAGCTAGGCGACAATGGAGGCGTATTTTTTTTTTTAGCGGGGTGGAAGTCTGGGCATCGGGTCCAGGCAGGACCGAAAAAAATAGAGCCTATGGATTGCCGAAGCAGGCAATTAGGGGTAGTCGCTTAGCCTCTCCCGTACCTGGAACTCTCTGGAATTCCAGATTGCACAAAGGATCACTGTAATAGTGTCGTGTAGCTGTAGAAAAGATGGTGTGGCGGGGGTATTTAATGTTGGTGGGATGCCAAATCTGTCGTATCATGTTGTTTATCGTGCTCCGCGGCTTTGTGTCGACGCACTTGGCCGCCAAAATAACACGGCGGAGAGGAATGTTGAAAGTCTTGATGGTTTAAAGGTGAGCTAGCTGCCTCAAAATGCTAGTTTACATTCAAATGCCCGACCTCGCGGAGTGCTTCCAAGATATGTACCGGTTTGTTGGCGCCGATCGCCAACGAGGCGGGTCTCTGGCTCGTACTAAGCTCGCGCGTCTATCTCCGCCACAAATTGGCAGTCTTGCTAATGATATTCATTGGGAAATGACCCGCCGCCAGGGCCAGTCACGACTTCCAGCGGCGCTGGTGGATGTGGGACGGCTTGAGGCTCGCGAACGGATCGCCCAGCTTAGCGACCCCAACTTTAAGCATTTGGTTATCGACATGTGTTGCGAGTTCGAGCGTCGGCAGCGGTGACGACAGTGTCGGAAGTGTCGTGAGCAGTTCCAATACTGCAAAGAGTGCGGCACTGATGTCACGTGCGCACCCCAGCGTAAGCGACCTTTCAATTGCTCCCCTGTCTCGGTTATGGCGATCTTCACACCGGGACTAAGCCGGTCACAGATACTTCATGATATCAATCGCAACAGCATCATCAGCACACGGGTGCAGACAGCGCTTGGAGAAGTTACCCAGGCCACCAATTCCCTCGCAGTGAAGGCTCACGACGTCAATAACAATCGCGACCTCGATACGTTACGATCATTATACCATCAATTGGACATCGACCCGACCAAGCCGCCCCACATTACGTGGCACCTGCTCGAAAGAGTGCGTCCGTTTGTTCGTGACAGCAATGACGACTCGCTTGAAGTGCTGGCGGCAGTTGACCTGTTTGGCGCTTTGATTGCCGTTGATGCTTGGGCCAATAGCGTAATCTATGCTACCCTCGTACTTAAGAGTCAATTGGCGTACTGGGAATCAATCAATAGCACCACATTGTCGCGGCTATTATATTACGTGCAAACGATCCCTAACCGGCTTCTCCGGTTCACCGGCAGAGTCTACCAACTTGCTACCGACTGGACACTGTTAGGCGAGGTCGCAAAGAAAGTGATTCATCAAGACTTCTCCCAGATCAATCGAGTGGCGTTGGCACTTCAACCCAAAGATGCCTGGCATCGCGTCAGACAGGTAATAAAGTTGCCATTAGTGATTGCCTCCGCCGATTTACGCCGTCGTATCCATGATATCGAAACGAAGATTGACCACAACACCGACATAATTGACAAGATTATCAAGATCAACGACTTTTCTGATACCAATGAGGTGCTTGCAACGGTGGAGCCGTTGCTTGACATCAACAATCCGTCGCCCATGCAACTGAACCGAGTGTTACAAGTGGTGGACGACGTTGAGGATTATCGCTACAGTCTCCCCTCAGAACTTCAAGTTACGGGTCAGCTTCCTTTCCTCCAACGGTGGTGGCCGGTTCTCCTCGTGTTGGTATGGTACGGGCCCAAAACGTCAAAGACCCTTCAAGAAAACTGGGACTCAATTGTGCATTGGGTCAAGCATAACTTGGTTGACACTACCGTAGGGTTCTTCCGCAACTGGGTGGTTGAACCGTTGAACAATATGTTCAGCATCTTGCGGCAAGACAATGACCTTCTGATTACCAGTCGCGACTCGCTTAAGCTGGACATGACGTCGTTGGAGCGAATGCTTCTTGACTATGCTCACGACGAAAACATTTCGGTGACCCCCGAACAGATTCACCAGGACATTTTGAAGGGAGACATGACGATGGTGATGTCGAAGTACGAACAAGAGATTCGCACCCCGATCAAGAGTCTTATGAAGGGTGACCTTGTGCGTTCATTACTCATACAGATCCAACGGTCGAAGGTTGATGGGGCTATCGCCATCAATGGTATCGACAAGTTGATCAAGCTGCAACAACTCCTTTTCGGACTTGTTTCGGTGTCACCACTGGTGTTCATCTTGTACAAGTTGTGGGGATGGATATTCCGCTCTAAGCCGTTGATGATCGATGGCAAGCAGCTCAACGTCATGTGCTTGCGGCTGTTAAACGCCATCGAAAGCTACTTGGTACAGGCTTCCACTGGTGAGTTTTGCGAGGGCGATTTGTTGGTGGAAGTGATCAACCTCATTATCATCTCCAAGCCGTTTATCCCCGCTCAATTAGTGTCGCAATACGTCAATGACTTGAACGAAATCAGCAACCCGTCATACCTGATTGAGACTAAGCTTCGCTTAGTGCAAAAGGTGTGGAACATGTACGGGCCCTACTTCCGTTGAGAACATGTCCTTTTCAACCAATACAGACAATCTTCTATCGTCATATAGATCATTAACTATAAAGCTAATTCATGACCGTATGTATAGTACAGGTGGGCTATTTACCGTAATCAACGATGGCTTCATCGCCGAATTGCGTCACAACTGATTCCATGGCACTAGTGGCATCAGACTCCAGCGAGAATTCAATGATCACCACTTTCCGTGCCTTAATTACCTTATGACTAGCATACCCTGCGAGGGCAGTAACAATCTTCAGCACGTGGTCGTCCTCGGCATTGTCCACGTTTTGAAGCAATAATTTAGCACTGGGAGGGTTATTAAGCTTGCGTTTCTTCCTCGGAGGCTCTGGCTTTGGCTCCGAATCTCGGCGGGCCGCCTTCTGTTGTTTGCGTTTAGCGATGGCATCGGCGTTACCCTGTTTCTCATGGAAGCCATCCAGCTCCAGTCGAGCGGTTTGTATCTTCATTGGCTTCCCAAAAAGGGAATACTCTTGTAAGAATTCTTGGGCTTTCTTCGCCGCTGACTCCAGGTCGTAGGTGATGAATGCCTGGCCTTTCATTTTCAAATTGCCATGGGCGGTGACCTGAAGCACGTCACCGTACTGGCTGAATAGATGGAGAAGCTTTTCCTTCAACTTTGGTATCGATACTTTGTCATTGAGGTTATTGACATATAGTGTGGGCATATATGGGGTATATCGAGGGCACAGTGATACCAGTGCGGCTTTCGCGACTGTCTACACAGTGATCGTCTAAATATACATTGGTGAGAACATCGGTTAAAGAATCTCGTCTATGACATCGGCGTAGTCGTAGCCTGCTTCAGGAACATATTCCCATTTGTCTTCGACAACGACGCGTTCGACGACGGGCTTGTCGCCCTCTTCATTAACGTTGATGTCAACTTTCACGTCCTCCACGACCACTCCTTGAAGGTGGTCATTGTTTTGATGGGAATTGTCGACTTCCTTGTGAGGCTTTTCAGTGTTGTGCTTTGTCTTCTCAGTATCTTGGTTGTGGTCGTTTTCGTTGCTGTGCTCATGTTCGTCGTAGCTATGGTCTTCATGATCATGGATATTCCCGAACCACACTTGTTCAAGGGTACCTTGGCGGCTACAGTTGGTGTTTCTGACAACATTCAAGTCATTTCCCACCACAAGGTAGCCGTGCCAGGGTACGTCCTTCGCCGATTTGATACACAACGCCTTTTTGATGGGCCAGTCGAGGCCTTGTTGGTTGGCACGTCTTTCAATCTCTAACCAGGTTGGTTCGTCAATGGTAAGCGCTTCAGGATCGCATTGGACCCCGTGAGTGTAGCGACGGTAGTATAAGTTACCGACCCGGCCCAACTGGTCCGAGTCACAGCGGCCATTATTTGCGTAGCCCACGAAATAGCCACCGCCAAACAAGAATGCCACTAACGCCAACAACGCTGTAATGCCCACCCATTTGCTATCGAAGTGGTGGTTAGCATGACGTTGGCGGCGAACCATTTGTTTGAGCTTGGTAGCGGCTCCTGGATCAAAGTCATTAAGGTAGTGGCCAGCAGCGATGAGATGAGCGTTAGTGTTTTCTCGAGGCTCCACCGCCACCACATTGCGGCTCAATTGGATCCAGTCGTGTTTGAGCACCGCCCAGGTTTCGGCAAGGTCGGCCTCGTCGATGGAATCTTTCAGCGCCGCCAATTGCGCTGTCCATTCAACGGTGACCTCTCTCAACTCCGAGTTCTCCGGATACTTTTGCACCAACGTATAGAGCTCGTTGGTGAGGAAGTCAATAATAGTATCGGGCTCCAAGTCCATGGTTGTTGTGGCAAAGGTGGGTGGTGTTGACGCGTCGCAATGTTCCACCACGCGGGTGATGCACCCCACACATGGGTCCTGCGCCAACTCATATAATCATGGGTTTGAGAAGGGATTTAGGGGGCGGACAGGTAATATAGTGAATCACGGAGGAAATACTAATCTATGACGATTTGAGTGTCCCAACTTTAGTGTAGTTTGACTTGGATCTTGGTGAGGTGCACCCGACCCACTTAGGTACTGTATAAGAAAAAAGCGCAAGTTTGGTTGCAGTACTGCCATAGAATAGGGTACAAGTCAGTTGTTCATTATTGTGACTTTTCATGAGTGATCATCCTAACAAGAGGCGTGTGTACGTACTTCCACGATGACCCCAATTCTAGGAGGTAACTACTTTGACTGAAGTTCAAAAAGCTCCAAACCAAACAATGGTTAATTCGAAGATTGGACACCTTACCACCCACCACATTTATGTATTTATAGTATTCGAGTGACGTGTAATTCGATTGTTGCATCTTCCCCTAACAAAATTTTATCCATGGCTGACGCTCTCCTAGGGTTGTTTTGTTGGGGTCGTCGTATAGGATCCTGCATGAGGCTCCGTCCCTCGCGGCTTCTTTCGGCCTGCCTCTTTGAGACTAAGGGGCTGCGAGAAACTAGCCTCTATGAAGGCCTGGCCTACAAGAGCTCTGACCCCGTGGTCTATATGAAGCCATGAGATCAAGCCAAAATCCGAATTGAAACATTGATAGTTCAACTCTACGTCGCTGGATCAAAGGTTATGCTACTTAGCATTACTTAAATCAAATAAAACCCCACCAAGACTGTCCTTTAAATCAATACAGAGTTGACTTTCAATTCCTCGTTGGTAGCGCTGAACAATTCGTAAGATTATCTGGGGGCATATGCACGCAGACACAACATGACTCCCTTATCTGTGCGCAGTGAGGAGACTTTCAGGGGCCAGCTTTGCCTGCTCAATTGCAAGACACTTCGGATCGAGGCTTACATCCCCAACTCACGGTAAGCCAACATTGCAATGGCTTCTACAGAAGAAAGGTCGTCCACCTCTCCAGGAGGCACAACACAGACGTCCTCATGCGTTAAACCTACGAGCTCCAGACAAGAGACCGACCCTAATAACTCAGAAATGAAATCTCTCGAGAAAAGTATGGGAGATTTGGAAATTAAAGTTGACAAAGCGATGGGCAGAGCCGATGCTCTCAAACGTGACAACCTACAATTGTCGAGTAAAATTACTACAGTCATGGGAACAGCTGACCACGTTAAACTGGAGAATGAGAAATTGAGGAAAAGTTTCACTGAACTCAACACCGACATCAATGCACTCAAAGATAATATATTTGCTTCGAAGGAAAATGTTGATAAGGCTACCAACAAAGTTACCACGCTTGAACAACGCGTGAACACCCTTGATGCCAAAGTGGACAAATATGTTGAACGATTTGATCCGCTTGTTGTTGAGGTTGACACCCTTCGAGAAAAACTCACCACGATGCAGATCTTGTTGGCTTCAGCCATAGAACGCGTTAATACCAAGATTGTTGATACTTCAAAAGCGACAGAGCATTCAATACCGCCAAAGTATACGGTAGTCGATGAAGGTGCTGCCAAGGCAGTCGATCTGCAGTCAAATAATCGGCCGGTGAAGGAAACGCTAGACCCTCAATGGAAGCGGGAAGCCTATAACATCATCAATTTGAGCAAGCCGACGGATAGCATGGGTAATGTCCATGAGTGGGCAAGTTGGTTCACCGCCTACCGAACCCTCCTCGATGATTGTTTTGAAGATGATTTTTCCGAGGCTTTGAATCAAACGGCTTACGAATTAACGTGGTATTTCCTCAAACTGGCAATCCCTGTACATTACATGAAACACCAACCACTACAAGGCACCATTGCTAAACAGGCCGACGCCTTGGAGAAACATCTCAGAAACTTTGACGAGCTCGATGGTTCAGAGACAGATGAAAAATATCGTATTGTCATCAAAACATTTATGGATCGTGATCTTTTGGAGAAGACTAAGGATCATTTGAGATTTCTATTTGATTTATATGACGGCCGTAATCGCAGTGTGCTTTACAACCGATTAATGAGGATATGCTCAGAGTCAATCAAACTCGAGGGTGTCTACGTCAACCAGGAATTGAAGGCCTATATCAAAAGTTTGCGGGATCCCGATACGGATGTATACGAACTCGGTGAAGATATGGTCAAGCAACTTGCCAGGTTTGGTTGGAAGTTCAAGCACTTACAGGAGTATCTGTAATACCCCAATCAATTGGCCTAAGCCCGAAGTTATGATCAACAACTAAATTTTACGTCACGTTTAATCATTATGAATTTATGCTTATAGTCATTAGTGGGCGCCCTTGGATGGGTCAGCCTCGAATCTCAAGTCCCAGCCGATCTCGGGACCCAACTTGGGCAACACTTCCGCCACCAGCTGCACATCCTTGTCCCCACGTCCCGACACGTTGACAATGATGTGCTGGTCGGGCTTCATCTTCTTGGCAAGCTCGACGGCACCGTAGATGGCGTGCGACGATTCGAGGGCGGGGATGATCCCTTCGTATTGAGACAACCACTTGAACCCTTGAAGAGCCTGGGCGTCGGTGGCAGCAATGAACTCGGCTCTGCCGGAGGCCTTCCAGAACGCCAACTCGGGACCGACACCGGGGTAGTCCAAACCAGCCGACACCGAGTGGGTGTCGTGCACTTGCCCGTCGCTATCTTGCAACACGTAGGTCTTGACCCCGTGGAACACACCGGGAATACCCGCAGTCAACGTGGCGGAGTGGCGGTCGGTGTCAACACCGTCACCACCGGCTTCGACCCCGAGCATCTTCACGGAAGTGTCCTTTTCGAACGGCGAGAAAAGACCGGTGGAGTTGGACCCGCCCCCCACACAGGCGACGATGGCGTCGGGCAAGGCACCCTTACCGTTGATCTCTTCGAATTGAGCCTTACACTCTTGACCAATCACCGATTGGAAGGTACGCACCAAAGTGGGGTAAGGGTGGGGGCCAATGGCCGAACCAACGACGTAGTGAGTGGAGTCCAAGTTCGACACCCAGTAACGGAACGCTTCCGAGGTAGCGTCACGCAAAGTGGCAGTACCGTTGGTGACGGCGACGACGTTAGCCCCCAAGATTCTCATCCGAAACACGTTAAGCGCTTGACGCCGGACATCTTCGGCCCCCATGAACACGGTACATTGCATACCAAACTTGGCACAAGCGGTGGCGGTGGCGACACCGTGTTGACCAGCACCAGTTTCGGCGATAATCTTCGACTTGCCCAAACGCTTGGCAAGCAACACTTGGGCCAAAGCGTTGTTGATCTTGTGCGAACCGGTGTGGTTCAAGTCTTCACGCTTGAGCCAGATCTGAGCACCACCGGCCATGGCCGAAAGCCGGTCGGCCTTGTGGAGGGACAGAGGCCGGCCGATGTAAGGGTAAAGGGCTCTGAACTCGGCCCAAAACTCAGGGTCAGCGTTGGCTTCGTCAAACGCTTGTTGAAGTTGACGCAAACAAGCGTGCAACGCTTCCGGGACGTATTGACCACCGAAGTCACCGAACTTACCCAAAGCGTCGATCGCCGTCGCCGGTTCGGTGGCCTTACCGGGTACAGGAGGTTGGTAGGTGATGGGGGTGGCCTTGAAGTCCTTACCCAAGATTTCTTGAGTGTATTTGGTAACAACCGCCGCCATGTCTTCTTCACCACGTTCACGGGCTTCAGTCAACAAGTTGACGATCTTGGAGCCAATAACCACACCATCGGAGTGCTTACCAACGTCGACAAAGTGGTCACGAGTGGACACGCCAAACCCAACGGCAAGGGGGATATCGCCGGTAGTCTTACGCACGCGAGCCAACAAATCGGGAAGCCCTTCAGACACGGTGGCCGACGCACCCGTGGTACCCATCTTCAGCACCACGTAGATCATCAGCGACGCAATCAGCGCCAAGGCCTTCAATCGGTCATCGGTGGTGGCCGGTGCCACGAGGGGGATGTACGACAACCCGTATTGGGCACACAATCCTCTGAAGTCGAGGGCGTCTTCAGGAGGCAAATCAACGACGATGAAGGCGTTGGCACCAGCTTCGGCAGCGTCTTTGATCATTTGTTCTTCACCATACTTGAGGATCGGGTTGTAGTAGCCCATCAACACGATGGGAGCGGTGACGCCAGCGTCTCTGGCTTCCTTGACAAGACCGATAGTCTTCTTAGTGGACATGCCTTGGTTCAAAGCCACGGTGTTAGCGTGTTGGATGGTGGGCCCATCGGCGATGGGGTCGGAGAAGGGCACCCCCAACTCAATGACGTCGACCCCCAGGTCGTTCATCGCCTTGAGGATGGGCACCGTGTCCTGTTCACGCGGGTACCCCGCGGTGATGAAGTTGACGAGGGCCAGACGGTTTTCTCGTTTGCATCGAGCGAAAGCTTCTTTCAAGGCTTCGGCCATTGTGTGTGTTTGTGTGAGTAGTAGTCAGGAAGAAACTGTGGGGTGCGAGGATTTTTCGCTTATATACAGGCGAGCTAAATGGAGGGTAATTTTTCACCAGTGGAGGGTAAGTGGTGATGAGTCAGGGGAGGGTAACCTCAAAAAGAAACGGTGACAGGCCAGAGGGAGGGGCGGAAGCGGAGCAGGCACCGCAAACTAAACAAGCGTGGTTATGAGAGATTGCGTTATGTCATATCTATCTCCTATGCCTGCTGAATCGTGGCGGAAGATATCGGGAGCGGTTAGGGGATAGCGGTGGTGGCGGGTACACTGTAGCCTAAGGGAGATTTCGGAAAGGCGGGCAGACGGATGTCTGTGCCGTCGATATTGGTTGCGTAGGTCACATGACCTTGAGTCATCGGAGCCGAGAGTCAAGTGAGTCAACCACGGTTAAAACTGGTCTCAGTTACTGGTCACACCACTGTAAAATCTAAAGGTGTAACTAAGGGCAACCATCGGAGACATACCTGGGAACAATTGACCTGATCAGGGGGTGGTCAATAGGCGCTGATTGCGGGTGAATGGCCGGGTGATAACCGAGGCCATTGTGCGAGCTTGCTTTTCCAGTGCACCGCCCCTATTGCTACTTTGTGGCCGATGATTACGGAAGCGGCTGATAAATTTTCACCCTCTCATCCCCTGGATCTAAGCTCCTATCAATCCGATAACTGGACTAACCAATTTGTAAAATGTTTGAATTATTCTATAAAGTTCTATATACCGATTACCCGTTGTTTGTCATCAAAAGCGTCATGTTTAAAGATTTGTAGCATCTTAAAGTCTCCAGTCGTCGTCGTCCTCGGAAAACTCCGGCAACTCGTTGGGGCCTTCAGCGTAGGCCAACTCGGGACTGTTAGGGGGACAGGTAACGGGCTTCACCACCGGTTGGTGGAAGTCCAAGTCGCGGTCAACTTCGGAGCAGTCCAACGGCCCACCGGGTTCGTCAGTGACCCGGTTAGTGTTCGGGGCCAGGTTGGTTCTGTAGAGCTTGGACATGTAGTTCTTGACTGAGTGTTTCATGGTTGTGTAAAATGATAGTGAGAGGAGGGGAGGAAAGCCCAGGTATATTTATACCATCGGGCTGCAGGGCTGGTCTAGATCGACGACAGCTATCCGCCGCCGACCGAGGCCTGCCATCACGTCAAAAACGGGCGTCGGGGCTCGGCACCTCCAGGGGCCCACGCACTATATTTGGTGTCAGCATGTGATTTTGCCTACGGTGGTGGCGCCACCGACCGGAGATTGCCATCGACCAGCACCCTCCGACGCGTGGTTCGGCGCGTCTCGTGCAGCGCTACCACCCGAGAATCGTCTTCACATGCCAAACGTCCGCCAACGGCTGCCTAAACCCATGGCAATCCACCCCGATTAGGCAAGCGAAGTATCAACAACCGAGACTCACTTTTCACAGGCGCCTCGGGCAACCTGCTGGTCACAACTGCCCAACTAAAACTCAGACAACAATGTAGTGTGGTAATGGTGGGAACCTCGGGTTTCGAGCCTCCGGCGGTTGCCACGGGTCGTCCAGCTTCCACGTGTATAGCCGAGCTCGGGACAAGGGTTCGCGTAGATTCACTGTTAGGGCACTAAGCCTTCCCGAGAATCGCCGCCACCACAACCGTTTGCTCTCGCTAGCAGCAGAGCGGTTCCCGGAACAATATGGTGACGACAATTGCTCCGGGAGATGGCTACGGAAAGGTTGCTTTGGGGGAGCCACGCGAGTATGACGTGGTTAGTGAATAGCATCGGGTGATTCTCTCTACTCGTTCACAAGCACGTCTCTACTAGTTAGTTTCACAAGCGGCCTGGGTTTGTGGATGACGTCTATTTTTGTCTCCCGATGCGGTGAATCTCTGACGGCATCGGCGGTAGCGCTCAGGAACCACGCCAGCCTGGCGTTGGGTGAGAAAATCACATGCCGAGGCTAGAACCTTTCTGAGGGCTCGCTACCACAAACGTTTGGGCCTATGGCGGCGCCGGAGTGCGGCGCGTGGTGGCGCTGAGGCAACAGCTACCACAGAGTAAACTCCGACACCGGCATCGGGGCGTCGCAGAGCCACTGTCAGGCGATGGCGCAACGAGCGCCGTGTTCGTATCCACGGGTACAACGTGGTTAGGGGCTTTCGTTGGTGCTATTGAGGGAAACCACGTAACCTAAATTATCTATTACGTTATACTATTACAGTTTATACAGTGTTCTTTGTCACATGTCATAACCAGACTCGACAAACGTGGGTTTTTTCTTAGTTGCCGGCACGTAGGGCCGCACCGTGTCGTCGTCGTCGTCGTCGTTCTCGTCGGCGATCTCCTGCAACACCTTCTCAAGACCCGTCGTCAGCGGCAGCAGCAGCTCTTGGCGCTCCAACGGCAAGTGGGGGCGGTGCTTATGGTAAACCACCTTCGGTTTCATGTGCGGATGGTTGTGCGTGGTCGTCTTCAGCAGATCGCGCAGGCGGCCGTCCTCCTGAAGGTCATTCACCGTCATAAACAGCGAATAATCCGAAATCATTTTGAGCGGCTCCGAGAGGCGCTTGCGGTGACGCGGCTTCAACTTGTTGCCGAGGATCTTGCCGGTGTGGGCTAACAACACCTTAATCACGTCCTTGCGCACCTGGAGCACAATGTCCTCCAGCAGCCACACTTTATCGCGGTACTGGAGCCTCGGGATCAGCAACTTCAAATTATGGACATCGAGGATCTTAAGGTGTTTAGGCGGGTCAAACGACACCACCAAGGTGAAGTCGGCAACGTCGATATCGACAATCAGCATGTAGCGCAGAGACCGGTCAAAGATCTCCTGGACGTCGTCATTCTCACCCTCGGCGGGCATCTCGCCCACCTTGCGGTGGAACTTGCTGTGCTTACGCAGCAGCGTCGAGCTGGCGCGCAGAAGCTCCGAGGGCAGCTGGCTGCCGCCGGGAGGACTGCCGTCGCCGTGAGTGCTGTGTCGTTTGAATAAGTGGCGCAACGGCTTAAGCGGCAGCTTCAGCGAGTGGCCCTCGTGCTCTTCCGGCGCTGGCAGGTACGCCACCGGTGAACGCACCAGCGCCAACAGGTGTTCTTCCAGCAGCGGGCCCAGACTCCACGGGTCGCTATCGTCACTCAAGGAGTCGTCATCAGGGAACATATACAGGTGGAGGAACTTGGCACTCTTCATGTCCAACTGGACCCGGAGCGGCTGAATTCTCACGTCGGCGTTTTCAATGATCGGAATACCCCCGACTGGCAGGAGTTTACGCCACTGCACACTCACCAACGGCTTCAGGGGGTCGCCACCTTCCTGGATGGGAGCGATCAAATCCGGGTAAGTGACCCCCTTCAGCAAGTTGAACCCTTGGAGCAACGCCACCTCCACCTTGTTGGCCTTGGAGCCGTCGTAGGCGTCCCACTTCAGGAACAGCAAGTTATGCAAGGCAATGTCGACCATGGGGTCTCTCTGGGGCCCAAGCACGTGCCAGATGATCTGGTCGACCATGATGTTCCACGCCTGGTGATTCTTAGGCTTACGGTCAGCCTGAGGTTCCTTGTTACCAACATTTGCCATGGAAATGCCTCGGACAATGGCATACAACTCGATTTGCTGGTGAATGAGGAAGTAGGTGAGGCGCACATAGTCTCTCTGGGTGCGGTGCAGTTGCCCTTCGTAGTCCAACTCGATGAGGAGCTTGCGCAAGTCGCGAATCAGGTTCTGGAGCTCCGCCACCCATTTGTTGAGACCAATGAAAGTACGCGGGTCGGTAAGCAGCACCATCTTGTCCAACCAGTTGATGACGTCGTCGTGGGAGTCCTTGGAGTGGATTAACAAGTTGGTTACCACATAGTAGATGGTCGAGTATTGCTGCAGAGTAGCGTTGAGCACAATCTTAGCCAATTGCACTTCGATGATGTCACACTTGTTTTCTTGACGAGGGTGGGTGTGTTCAAGGTACATGCCGTTGGGCTTAGTGTAGACAATACCCAACGAGTTGCGCTCGATCACCAACTGGTTTTGCACCCACAGCGGGTCGTAGAACAGTTCAACGTGGAGCCAAGGCGGCCACAACGAGTGGCGCTCCAAGAACAGCAGCGCGTACCCCGCCAGCGGCGCGTGGATTTCGTGCTTTCTAAACACAAACACCTGGTAGTCCTCAAGCAACACCCCGTAGCGGTACTCGTAGATGTTGGTGACGTCGTCGTCAGTCACCACCGGGTCGCCTTGGTTGTCGACCTCGTTACCCGTCAGTTCCGCTCTCAGCGGGAGGCGTGCCAGCGCCTGGGCCAGCGCGAGAGGGAGCTGCACTTTCAGCACCGTGGACACGCCCGTGGTTGATGCAACACTAGCGTCGTCATCGTCGTCACCGTCAGCCTCTGTGTCGGTGTCGCCGGCGATAGAGCTCAGACTGTCGTTCAACCGATTAACCACTGATAAGATACGGATCTGCAAGTCACGTGTGGTGACGATAAGCGCCAGGTCGTTTTCACGTTCACTGCGGAGTTGGATCTGCGGGTGAGTAAATTTGACCAAGTACTTATCTTCAATCTCCAACTTCCGCAGGATAAGCTTGGTGAGGCCGTCATAGAAGCGGTCGACAACATCTTGGGCGTTGAGGAAGTCGTCCGGCTTGTAGCTCGGTTCTTTGGCGCGGTGACTGCGCTTATCGCCATAGCGGCGCCGGTCGTGCTCCAGCATCAGATTGGCACGCTCAAGCCCCAACATTTCCCGCTGTTCTTCATCCAATTCCTTGCGTTTCTCCTTCAAAATCAGCTCAACGTAGTCAACTGCCTTTCTTGTCATGTAGTAAACCGCCAGCTTTCTCTCAGCCACCTGTTCCAAGTACGTCTTGAAGTTATTACGCACCTGGTTGTTCCATTTGAGTCTCATGTTATGGACAATGAACCGGTTACGGAACTTCTGCGCCTCGGCGTCCAAATGAAGTGCTTCTTCCAATTCAGCTTCCAGCACATGCAGACTGTACACCAGCAACGGCGTCGATCTCACCCGGGTTAATTCATCACTCAAGTGGTCTAAGCGTTGACTCAGAGTACTGCTGCGGCGCAGCTGGCTTCTCAGCACGTAATGACCGGAGATCAGCTCCCACACCAGTTCCACCACATCAATCTTCTCGTTGAGAATCTGGCGGTCAGTTTCCGTGGTCGCGTGTTTCAACTCCTCTTTCAATTGACTCACACGTTCCTCTAAGTAATGAGCTTGAGTTAAAGCGGGATTCTCTTGGCCGATAGTACACTTATGCAGGGGTTCATTACCAAACGGGTAAGGACCTTCCTTGTTCAAGGAGAACTCGCGGAAGTACAGCAACTTAGGCGAGAAGGCAAACAGCAAAAGTACAATATCAGGGTCAGGCTCCAACGGCATCAGGAACTCAAGCTCGACAAAATCGTCCAAATCAATCCACAGATAGTCGTTGTCGTACACGTGTACTTTGTGGCGGATCCAGTCTTCGTGGGACATCGGTGGCCGAGTGAAATGGGTGTACTTCAGCGAGTACAGGAAGTGCGGGTTAGCGGCCATGAAGTTGTCAAAGCTAGCCGCATCAGGGCCCCGCATCGACATTTGGAACCCTTCCATCAGGGGATTGTTGAATGTGGCCGTCTGGATACGCAAATCAACAAGATCACCGTTAATCTCCCCTTTATTCATCTTCAAGTGCGGCACCTTATTATTGACACAAAGCTCTTCATGAACATAAGGAATGAGCTCTTTCCGCTGGTGTAAGTCAATCACACACGTCTCGAACCGGGCTTTCAAACCGGTGAACTGAGTTCTCAGCTGTTGCAGCAAGTCCAGCGGGTGCATGTACATGTGTGAGATCTTCATCGGGTTAAACGTCAACAAGTATTTCACCGTGTATATATGCTTGGACATTTTCACGTGGATCTTCTTCTTGTGCACCCCAATATTGGCGAACAACTTCCCCTGGCGTACCGGTAATGAGATGCCCCTGTGGATCAGGTGCCACCAATAGTAGAAATACAGGAATGCCAAAGGAGTGAAGTACCCATTGGAAAACAGCTTCTCGGGTTGCTCCGGCAGCTTGCACACCACGCTAAATGCCATGTGAATATAGTCCAGACGGAAATTGACGTAAGAGTCACGGTCACCGCAATACTGAGGATTACCCACAAGCACATTATAGTGAGGCATAAACGCACTAGTACGTTTTTTGTGGTCGCCCAATTCATCCAGATGGTCGACGTTACGCTCGTAGATCATACCAAACGTCCACCGGACGCGGTCAACACTGGCAAGCCTGACTACCACCTTCAAGTAACGGTTATCGGTGATATCAACCACCAGATATGGCTCATCCTTCAGCTCGGCCTGGCGGCCGACTTCATGGTAATTAGGAACAGCAAGCACAAAGTCCTCCAGATCCAAACGCAACAATTCTTGACGCACTTGGGAGTCGAAAATCTTGAAGGTGACGTTGTTTCTCCAACTGAAAACAAAACCCAGGTTCTTGCCCAGTAACGCGTACGGCGAATTACCCAGACGGATATGTAATGCCAACTCGTTGGGAATGTAGAAGTTGAGTCGCCCGTGCATGATGAGACCAAACTTATCCCACCATCCAAGCGGCAGCAAATCGACGGGGGGCTTCGAAAAGTTATCCAACGCCTGAGCAGCCGCCAGCACTGCAGGACTAACCGATTTCAGCCAGCCAAAGATACAGGGACGGTCGGTATTAATGTCCCAGCGCAAATCCATACAGAACTTAATCGGTTGCAACGTCCGGGGTATGAATGCCAGGTAGAACACATCGGCGTTGTCGCCACGAGGAGCAGCGGGAGAGAAGGGGACGAAAATGTGACGCATCTCCTCAACGCGAGTGACAAGCTTCTCGTTAATCACCAAGTTACCCTTCAACACCATTGTCGGGGGTTTGGGAGGTCGCTGTCTCAGTTCAGGGAAACAAATCAATGGGAGCGGGTAGTCGACAAGCTGGACGGAAAACAGCAGCGCTCGCAACTCAATGTATAATGGCAACAAAATCAGGTAGTCCACCAGCGGTTGCCCCTTAGCCCAGGTGTACAAGAATTCGTCGACAGAGTCAATACGAGCTGGGCCGATTGCCCAGTCAAGTTGATGGAACACAGCCCTAAACAACGGCGGGCCTTCGGGTATATCCAAGATATCGTATTTGTCCGTCATCACCTTCAGCACCTTGTCCTCACCAAACAAGCGTCTGCGCTCGAGGTCGGCCTCCTCCACCTTGTTGCGGCGGAAACTTCGGTAGCGCTCGATCCACAGACTACCAATCTCTTGATTAAGACGAGCTTTAGCCTCAGCTACAGTCCGTTCACTGGTACGATTCAGGTGTTCCGGGATCTTGTCGTAGACATCACCGAGGGGGATATCACGTTGACGCAAGCGGAGAATTCGATCGCGGAAATGGCCGGTCTCTTGGAAGACCTTCTTGAAAAACGTTTTCAGTCTTCCCGCTTTACCGCCACTGGCGCCGCCAGACCTACTCAGCGTCGTACCGGTTCGACTGCGCCCAAGCTGGCTTGGTGCCGGCTCGTCACTCAAAGTAATCTTCTCGTCAATAGCAGACATACTAGGCAGAGCCGGAGCACTATCCAGCTGTTGCAGAGTCAGTCGCAGCAAGTCGCCCCCAGCTGCAAGCAACAGCGCCCCGTAGACTTCGAAGAACTTGAGCTTACGGATGCGGTCGATCTGTTCTACCCGTCCCAACTCATAGATCATCAGCAACTCCACTTCGAACGGGTCATGTTCAATCACCACGCCAAACAGTTTCGCCGAAATGTCAATGTTGGGGATGTGTTTGCCGTGTTTCGCTTTCGGCATGAGTCTCACGTAGTCGTTGATATCGGTCAGCTGAGTGTTGAAGTTGTGTTTCACTTGTTTGATCGCCTTAAAGAACGTAATCAAGTTGTCAATGATGGTGAACATTGCGTATTGGTTGGGCACCAAGATCCGGATCAGCTCAGCAAGAATGTCGTACAGCAGCTGTGCCGCCAGCGGCCCCTTGCGCCATTTGATGATGGGTTCACCCGTCATCACCAATACTCTAGTCCAGTACTTCGTCATTGGGTGGACGGCATACAACCGGATATAGTCGAACTTGAGCTGAGGCATCACCATAAAGTTATCCCCGCGAATATGGTCGAGTTCCACCATCACGTCCACCGTGTTGGGCAACCGAATAACACTCAGCACCAGACCGATGTCCAAGTCAAGTTTGACCACTCGTTTGTGTCCCAATATAGCGCCAACGGCCTCTTTCAGCACTTGCCGTTTGACAGTAGGCAGAAACACTTTCAAAAGCAGTCGGGCATAACAGGCACACCACACAAAGAACATATCGATACGAGCATCAACTTCAAATACCACAAGCTTCCACTGGTCGGCAGTGGCAGCCAGTGTCGCCCCACCAACGGGGTCAGTGTGAGGACCATCGTGGTTGTGTCCAGAAGGCGCGTTACTGGTAAGCTTTAAGTCTTGCACCTGGAACACCCGTTTGATCTTTTGCAGTTCTTTGCCAATCAGATCCAGAATCATCAGCGCTGTCAGTTCGATACTCAGGGCATCAGTGAACTCCAGGTCCAGTCCTTGGTACTCAGCAACGTCGTCGAAATCGACGATGAACTCGTTGGAGAACTCCAGCAACGTGAACGCCTGGATCATTTTGATACGGGTAGACATGGCGTGGCGGCGTCGACTCAAGTACACGTCAATATCATCCACTCTAATCAGCATCCCCCGTTTAAAGTCACCAAGATCAATCTCTCGCTGTAAAGCTTCGTCAAAGACAGCATGGTGTGGCAACCCGTCCTTACAAAGGATATCGGCTTGGATCGAGTCTATTTGCATCGTACACCGCAGCACCCACGGAGGTAGTTTTTCAAATAACAGCCAGTAGCGAGTCTCAAACCCCTCCACATAACTAACAGGTTTCTGGTGAGGCGTCAGCGGCAGTTGTGGATGCTGCTGGTTGTTGGCTAAGTGGCCATACTTGCGATTGTAGTGCTCAATTTTCTGGTTGCGGATGTGACGGACAATGCGGAAGAACACGTCGTTAACGGAACGCATTCTGATAGCTTTCAGCTGGAGCTTGAACAGGAGCTTCAACTGATGCAGATCAGTAGTCGTCAAAAGATTGAGCTTAGGTAAATGGAATGAGTTTTTCAAAGCATCCATCTGCCAGTTCTTAATCAAAAACACCAGGTATAACCGGTTCTTGGAGACAATACTCGGCAGCGTAATGTTCTTGAAATCTCGAGTGTAGATCCGATGGACTATCAGCAGAATCTTCACATGGGCCACAAGATTCTCCGTCAGCGCCCGATTAAACTTCGTGGTCTTATCCACCCCAGGAACCGGTAGGTGAATATTACTAATCAAATCAACCACGACAAATTTAAGCAGCACCGAATCAAGACTACCAAGCAAGCGGTGAACCCAATCGGGGATGTGATGAGGATGATGAGGCGGCTTTTCCGAGGTGGGGGAACGTGGGGGCGTGCTCCCTGGCAACTGGTCGTTCTGAGCATGGATGATTTCCTCGGTCAAATGCTTCTCGTCCGTACGCAACATATGCTCATATTGGTCGTAGAAGACGTCGAACTTGGGCTGCAGCACTGTCAAACTCAGCTCGATGTTGATCTTGGCGGGAGTGTGATTGGCAAACGCCGCCACTGAGTTGTAGAAGTCGACGACGTCACCATTGCTGTTATAGGCAATCGAGGGGATATCAACACATTGACTGCGACAGTGAAACGCCTTAAGCGCAGTGAGATACACCAGCAACTGAAGCCTGGTAGCGCCCTTACTCACAGGGATCTCGCCAAATTGCGTAGGATTGAAGGCAGTAGTGAAGTCGACTAACAGACACTCAAAGTCGCCGTACAGCACCTGGACGTCGTCAATCTTAAACTTAGCCCCTTTAAGGAAAGCGAGGAGCTGGTTATGGTCGCTGGTGAGCATAGGCAACTTGCGATGCTGATGAGGCACCGGCTGTCCGTCTGGTCCAACAATTTCCTCTCCCTTGGGCTGCTTCTTGCTACGTAAGCCGTCCAAGTCAAGCTGGTCCAATTCGAGGTGGAGTTTCGCTAACGACACATTCAAGTTAAAGTCCAGAAACGCCAATACAATCTTATTCGGGTGCTTAAGGTCGCAACGAGCAATCACCAGCGCCTCAATTGAAAGTTCCAAGCTTCTGAAAAGGGCAAGCTTTGCCTGGTTGGCGAAACGGCGGTCAAGCCAGCGGCGCCACCACAGATTCTCTGCGACTTCGGCGGCTTCCTCGGAATCGCGGTAAAACCCATCCAAAAAGTATACGGAAAACCGGAACCGGGTATCATTCAACCATATGTTGGCTACCCTCAGGTACTCGATGAGCAATTGCGGATGGTTCGGCGCCAGCACGCGCGACCGGAACACATGGACAACCACTTGGTTGACAAGCTTGAACCTCAGCAAGTAGCGCCACACGCCGCGAGGAATGACGAGATTACCCAACAAGTGGACCAAGTCGTCAACATTGGGCGGTTCGTTGGTGGTGACTACTTTTCTCGTCCTGTGCTTGAGGGCGATATCGACGTCGGAGAACTCGATATGGATCCATCGTGTCAGCTCCGCTTTTCTGAAAATACGGATGGAGAGGCGGAGACGGCCAATTTCGATATCGGCGTGGCGATCATTGATGGTGACGCCGTGGAGCAGCATCCACCCAATGTACTTCACCTGGACGTGGGGCACACGGTTGAGCGCCCACAACACTACCGCATATACGGTGGCAAAAAATAGCACCCACCAGTACTTATCCATCGCTGGTAGTTAGCAAAATTGGCAGATGTGGGGGTGGGTGTTGACAATTGGGCAATAAAATGGAAGATGTACGCCGTCGGAGTCCGGATGCCGGTCAGTTTCGGTGCGCAGGACGTCACAAAAAATCCCCACTTGTCGCGCATTAGGTGCTTTTCGGGGGTTGAACCAGCATCAATAGCGATTACGAGCTTCGGGCGCACCGTCATGTACGCAGGGTGTGCCAAGGGTTCGCGGATGTACATAAATTCAGGGGGTTGACATGGTACTCAAAGTGACAGGTCTCTGAGGGAGAGAAAAGACATCTTACACAAGCAGAGAGCAGTATTAATTGCGTTGGATGTCCCGCGGCAAACAGCAGGTCATCGTGTGCATTACGAGAGATGTAATTTTCAAAGAAAAATCCTGCATGTAACTTCATAATGACTGCGGGAATTGCGGATGTGGGTGGTCCGGGTCGTTGCGGCACTGCCTCCCACTGATAAGCTCAGTCGGTCAGGGAAACGTAGCGGGAATCTGCAGTGCCAAGCCTTGCGGGGGGCGAGCAAGGGGAGAGCTAAGCGGCGTACCGAAGCCAGTGTCCGATGTTTGTTTAGTGGTCCGTGGTTATGCTTCTGGTGCAGAAGGCACAATCGGTATTCGCGCAAGCACGCGCGTCACCCGAGGTCCAACCGTTTGATTACGACACCTAAGCCTGCCGACACAAATCACCAAGAAGTTAGCCACACCACCTTCGAGCCTCATCCGGCAACGGCGGCCTTGTGGCGCCGATTTCGTATACAGCAACCACAAACGGAGATAACAAACACCTATGCACGCAAACTAGCTCTCATTGAATCAGTCACAAATGCACTGCTTTACCGGAGATAGCGGGCGACACCACGGAGATTCTTGCCCAAGTCTTCAATCAGAGTGTTGCTGAGGGCTTGAACCACTTCTTGATGGTCACACTCGACCACTTCGATGGTAGTATTGGAACATAATAGGCGACACTTTCTTCCAAGTTTCACTTCGGCACCAGCAAGGTCAATTGTCACCCCGATGTGGAGAGCTCGACACACACGGTGAAACTTCTCTTTATTATAGTGCCACCGGACTAAGTATTGGCGTACAAGCCCGGCAAACCGCGCGATCAGCTCGCGGCTACCATCAAGTTGGCGAGCGTACTGATACACGGGGACAAATTCGGGGACGGTGCTTTTGTAGACCACCCACTTCAGCGTAGCCAGTTTTTCATCAGTAATTGACCTTAAGATCATATAATGGGGAATGTCAAACTTCTTTGTTCTGAGGTTATAGTTATCAAAACGGATACCCACAGTATCGTCGGTGATTGGGAATGCTGTCACTCCAGCAAGCCGATAGAACGCTTCGTTGAGGATGTGATAGAACACGGCTTCGTTTTCATCATTGGCTTTTGATTCTGGCGCCATCACCCCGAGTAACGGCGCGATCTGGTCATCAAAGAACTCGTGGGTAACTTTAGATACAGGCGCGTTGGTGGCGGCTCCCGGAAGCTTGGATATGAGACGATCATACTCTTGCTGAAGACGCGCCACTTCTCCTTCAAGATCGTCTATATCGGCCTGGATCTCCGTTAATTTATCTGTCATGGGTCTGAGGATGTTATGGTGATGGTGCGGCTTACAGATCACGTGTGGCTAGTTTCAGGATCAGACAATTATAATCGCAGATAGAATTCTGGAAAATGGGAAGTCAGCTTTGATACAGGTTAATTTCATTAATAGCTTTCTGGTTTCCTGGAAATGCTAGTTGGAAACTCCCGATTATTCGCCCTTCTACTACAGGTCAGTTTGGCAGTGTTGATGACGTCATCGTTTTACTCGAGTGGACGCGTTTGTCGCATTAACCACCACTCGTCTCCGCCATATCACTTCCTAAATCTACCCCTTACCCATGAAAGACTCTCCCGTATAACATCTACTTTAAAACAGTCCTGCTCTACCTTACATACTCATCCTTCTCCTCCACCTTCCCCCATCTATCTCTCAAACCCGTTGCCAACTAGTGTGTTGCCAGCGCGACGACAGTGCGCCGTCTCTGAGCCAGTGGCCGCGAACCTTTCGACAATCAGTGCGGTGATCCACAATCCAACCCCAGCGCTAGTGTTGCTTCCCCGTTGCTTACCCATACTGAGATGGCAAGCACTCCCAGTCCGCCAAGCACACTGGCACACTCCTCTCCGGCAAACACGTCGCCGCCGCTGCCATCGGCGAAACCGTCCCCACCGTCAACCACTCACCTGAAGTTTGTGCTGGTGCAAACTCCCCGGTTCACCAATATGTATTGGCTGAGTGACTACCGGCTGGGGATTAGCGCTATGGGTCGCCAGGCTCAGAAACTGTTGAACCAGTTGCGTCAGTTGCACCAATTGGTGTTTCTGTTTGTCAACTACTACGCTTCCAACGCCGACCAGCTTGCGAAGATGGCCAGCGACGCTGGTGGTAAAGGTCATCAACGACGGGTGACTCTGGCCCACTTACGCAAACGGATCGCCAGCAGTGCTCGTCCCACCCCACCGGGACTGCGAGTGGCTCTGGGGACTAGTGACGTTTCGATCTCGATGCCACCGCCACCGCCGCCCGGTCTCGAGGACGTATTCAGTCGGTGGACTCAGCAATTGCGTCAGGAGCTGGATGGTCTTATGGTTCTCGTGCTGACGATTGATCATGAAGTGCTTGGGGCTATCACCGAGTTTATCAAATATAATGAACCTCAGCTTCGCGCGATGGTGGAGACGTTTAATGATCTTGTCGCCGACTTGGAAGAGAAGTACGAAGAAGTGGAGAAACTACGCATAGCTCATACTGATGCTCTACGTCTACAAGAGTTCAAACGCGAAAAACAAGACGAACGACAACTAGACTCGGAACCTACCGAAAAGCCAGTGCCGCCACTGCCACCCCCTAAACCAACCAAACCTCAACCCAGTACCATCAAGGCTCTGGCGCTGGTCAAATACCCCATTATTTTCGATACATTGAAAGTGGCTGACGCTGGCACCCTTGAAACGTTAGTGGCATCTTTAATCGACGGTACCCCCACTACTAAACGTACCCTCACATTACCTGGCAAAAGCCCCGATATCTTTGACTCGGGCGCGTTGTGCAAGACCATCATGCGCACTTGTCCTCTGATTCAACCCACACTGATGCATTTAGAACGGTTTGGCCAACAGCTTATGGATCTTAAATTAATTGAACCTACTCTGTTTTGGAGTAAAAAGTTCAGAGGGGAAGATATGTGGTTTGAATGGACTGAGCTTGCTTGTAACATTGCTAACGGTGATGATGACGATGACGAACTTACAGAGCTTAAGCTGGTGACTCTGCCACCGCCCATGGACATTCAGGAAATAACTGAGCACACCACAAAACGTATCACGCTGATGTTCAACTCGATGAAGACATCGTTCCAAAAGACCCAGGACGCGGGTGAGGTGGAGAAGCAATACGCTAAGGCCTATCTCGACCTTCAGAAGTTACGTCATCGCTTAGATATGGAAATCTTGACTAAGCTGCAGGCACTCGAACAGTTTGAGCGCCTCAAAATTGAGTTAATCTACCGGTCGCTTACGCGCTTGGCGGAAGTGTGCTACAAGTCACTGGTGCTGCGCACCGACCGCATTCATGAACTTGCTGCCGATTTTGTCGAGCGTTTCAATCGCGAAGAAAATTACGAGCGTGATCTCAAGCAAGTGATAGATGAGTTCAGTGTGGGGATTTTCTTCCCTAGTAATGTGCTGCCGCAAAACTTGGAAAAGAAAGTAGTGACTCAAGCTAACAATACTTTCCAGAATCTCAAGAGCCAATTCAACTTGTACATTGATATTCCCCTCCAAATTCCTACGGGGAGTGTGGTTCCTGATGTGGCCACGGGCCTTATTCTGACCCCTTACTTCATGTACAAATTGGGTGAGACTGACGTCAAAGGATCATCCGAAGCATGGGCGGCTCCCATTGACCACCAACTGTATTGGCGACTCAAGCAAGTGGTGATTGAAGCCATCGAGGCCTTCACCATCGACGGTGCGGTGGAAATCACTCAAGAGCTGGCGTTGCACCAAAAGATTATCGACCACGTTATTGACACCATCACAGATCAGTACTCTGCTGATCAGGTGGTCAATTTCATTAAAAACTGGTTGCTCGAGCTCAGTGATCTGGTGATCCCCAGCATGGTTTACGATCTGATCATTCAGGTATATACTTCTAACACTGATGAGTTGGAGACGGCGGAGCAATTGACCAAGATATTAGGTACCATCCCGCGGGCCAATCTACTGGCCTTGGTGTATATATTGGAGCAGGTGGTGAAGGCTTTTGATCTTGCTCTGCTTGCTGGTTACCCCGAAAAGCTTGGTAAGAATAAGGCGCCGGCGCCGGCGTTGGCGTCAGTTGTATCACAATTGAACTCCATGGAAGCAGTTGGCGCCGTCCCTTTTATGCACATGATCATGCGTCCACAATTCTCTAAGACGCTGACAGGCTTCAAGCCGCCGTTGGCAATTTACCTGAGAATCACCGCCGCCTTACTTGTGTTGCCAACTCGGGAACGCTTGTTTGGAACGTTGCTCACCAATGAAAAGAATTACCAATTGAAAAAGCAAAAACAGCGGGACTCTCTCCCTGTGGCGCCCAAGAAAAAGCAGGATTCGACGATCCCGCGACTGACACTGACACGTATCCTTGTGTCCGAATCACTGCCGGTGCAACCACTGCTGTCGCTGAGACCACTGCTGGCTGATTTTGCTCCTCGTCCATTCAAGACAAAGTTGACCCCGCAACCTCTGCCGTCAGCGTCGCCTAAGACGTCGCCTACACATACTCCTCGGAACCTGGTGGACTTGTCTGCACGTCTGCGCAGTCCAGCTAAACGCGTATCGCTTTTAGCTAATGCCGAAGTGAAGATCGAAACTCCTGAAGAGGACGCTAAGGAACTGGAGGAGTAAGCCTTTACTTAGTCAACATAATACATTCACAGTAACATATAAGTAAGCTAAAATTGAGGTATATGTAAACCTTGAAAAGAGAAGCATTCAGAGGGTTGAAATTTGCATGATGGATATGTCCCAACTCGTCAAGTTTACTTCGATCTCACGCCGCCCAGGCGCTGTTGTGTATGTAGACGACCATCATCGAGTGGTGTTCAGTAGACAAAATGTTGGCACTCCATTTCAAGAGGATCCCCCCTCACGGATTCCAAATTACATGACGTGATTCAACGGACGCAAGAGCTGCAAACATGTATCAACTTCCCATTATCTCTCGCAATCGCTAGATTTTACCCAAAATTGACAATGTATCAGTGTGACGTCGCCCAAGAACGTGATAGTATTTGGTTCCGTCAAACCGAATTTCATTTCAATATCCAATCCACAAAGACTTTGATAGATTCTAAAATTATCTATTTCTGCATGTAAAACCCTAAAATTGTAAAACAAGACCGTTTCATCTTTTTGATCTCCGCTTCTTTCTCAATTTGAGACAAGATCTGGGGAAATATGGACATATATAAGATCACTTTTGGTCATGGCTCGTCCACGTGGCGGTGCATAGCACTGCCTTCAACAGCTAGTTGTCCTCAAATGCCAAGAGACAAATCACTTCCCCTTAGTTCGGGCGCATCCGAAGTTCTACCAGGGCCTACACCCATTTAGTGTTAAATTGCGATCATCACAAAAACTTACCCTCAAGATCGGTTATATTGGAACACTATAATATAGATGTCGGGTATAAATAGTAGTAGGGTTTGCTGTTGAGTTCTCGAATCAATGAATGGTCAACTTCAAGGTCATTCTCATTCTGGTGACATCCTTCGTTGGTATTGCCACGGCCGCTGCCACCGCCACCGCCATAACTGAGCCATAAAAAATGCCATTGTTGATAATGGGGTGATCTATGACACTGGCATTTTCAACGTCAACGCCTCTACGTGGCAATCTTACAGCTCCTTGCCGTTGAATGTGGAGCAAAGTGCTTATATTGAATGGGCTAGAGATGACCCCAGAGCGGTGGTGGCGATGTTAGATGATGGATTTAGATACAGACTTCCTGATAATAGAAGCATTGTTCTTGAAGCCGTTCGTCAGGAAGACGGTAATTATGACGTTTATCTCGATAATCGCGACGGGGTCAAGGTTGGATATTGTGAACCTAAAGAGTACCAAACCATTGACCCGTGGATGTACTACATTGCTGCGTGCCATGTGTCGGAGTACCAGTTGAAGCTCGCTGGAATCACGCCGTGTGACTCTTATTGTTTCAATTACTGGGGGTTATCGTACGTCGAGCAACACAAAATCTACTCGGCGTTCACATCAACGGCCACGGATGGATTTTGAATTGCATTAGCGTTATTTTACTTAGAAATTTGCAATTCAAGAACTACTTTGAAATATATGTTTAGGTATTCGCCATAGTTCTAACTGTAGATTGACGCGAAAAGCTAACAAATCTAAAAGGTTTCATTCATCACATACTAGCATTGATGGCTCAATCATATGCTAATGGTCCCCAAAATTTACCCCGCGGTTTCTTCATCTGGCCTGACTGGCTTGTGTTCTCAATCACGGTGAGGTGGGGAAGCCAGTTCACGTGACCGGGACTACCTCAAATAGCCGTGACAGTTAGTGTCAGCATCACATGGGGGGCATCAAAGTGGGGGTGGATGATGGTGCGGGTGAGCATGCCTGCACATGGACGCGCCCACACTGTGTACCCGCTGCCGAGGCCTCTCCACCGCCCTGTGAAAAAAATCCGGGGAGTTTCTGATTACATCGACACACATTATGAGTGACACCAAGGCTCCCGAAACTCCTGCCAAGGTCGACACCAAGGCCACCGAGGCCAAGGAGACCACCAAGCCCGCTCCGGCGACGTCCGAGTCGAAAAAGCCCGCTGACGACGACGATCTTGACGATTTGGATGACATGTTGGACGAGTTCGCCGACGACGTTCTCAGCAAGCCGCCGGGGCTGGCGGTGGACCTGGCGTCGCAAATTGGCACCACCACCGACGCCCAATCCGATGCTGGCATTGACAAGCAGGCCGGGATCGCCGAGATCCTCAAGGACATGCAAATCGACGACCCCGAGACCCAGGCGGAGTTCGCCAAGTTGGTGGAACAGTTTGACACCAAGTTCAAGGACGACGTGGTGAAGGCTGAGCTGAATCCCAACAACTTCGAACACGTGATGCAAGAAACCATGGAAAGATTGAAAAAGCTGGGGGAGAGTGTCGACGAAAAGATCAAGAACGACCCCATGGCCAACGACCCTGAGGCGCTTTTGACTCAATTGCTCTCGGGGATGGGCGACGGCGACATGGACATGCAGAAGTTGTTGGTGGACATGTTGGAACAGTTGTCGCTGAAGGAGGTGTTGTACGAACCCATCAAGGACTTGAACACCAAGTTCCCGGACTACTTGAAGGAAAACAAGGGCAAGTTGAACGAAGACAAGTACATTGTGTACGAAAAGCAGTACCAGTTGACCAACGAGATCATGGCGGTGTTCGATGCCCCCGGCTACGACGACAACAACAAGGAAACGAGAGAAAAAGTCAATCTGTTATTGGAACTGTTGCAAGAGTTGGGCCAGCCTCCGGAAGAGTTGGTCGGCGACATTGCTGACTTCCCCGGTTTCGGCGGCATGGGCGGTCCTGGCGACAACATCGACTTTGACCCCAACGACTTGCCTGCCGACGTCTCCAAGCAAATGGAGGAATGTAAGCAACAGTGATTAATGCATGACGAATAGATAAATGTGTACTTTTTTTTTTTTGGACAAAATTTGTAGTTAGTCGTTCAATTTCTACCACCGTCCCTTTAAGGTTTCGCAATCGAGCGCCACTTCGCACTACAGATGTTCCTCAGGGGTTTGCGGAGCTACTCCACCGCCGTGCCGGTATACACGCGGCCAACGTTCCGCCAGCTTTTAAGACAGCCGGTGACGAAGACGTTGGTGCTTACCGGTGTATTTGGCTCGGCGTTGGTGGAAATGGTGCACCACAAGCGCCGCCTCAATGAGACCACCAACCAGTTCAATAACAAGATCGAATTGCTTGAGGAGATCATCAACAAGCTTGAGAAGAACGAACCCATCGATTTGGAGCGCGAGTTACGCTTGGCGAACGCGTTGACTCATACTAAGGAAGTGGATATCGATATTGATGACGATGTTGAGAACTTCTTCAAGCAGTTGACCGAGGAGGTCACGGCTGCTCCAACGGTAACCACGCCACCGACGACGACACCGGCGACAGAAGCTATCGTTGATGCTACCCACGCCACTTCCGCTACTGTTACTCCCGCGGCCGTAGCCGCTGATGCTGCTATTGCTGTCCCCACTGCTAATGTTCCTACTCCCATTGATACCACTAAAGTCAAGTTCTTATAATCGCAGAACGCATATTGTACATAGGATTGTTCATATAATACATCATAACTAGAGACCCAACTTACGAATCGTCCGCCGGTGAGCATCACCGGTAACAGCGACACGACCTTCGTCAACCAACCGTTTGATGGCTTCGTTAAGGTCATGGTTTTCCACCCGGAAACCGGAGGCGTTGTCGTTAACCTTGATTGCCAACTCAGTGAACCGCATGGTCCCGGTGTTGGTGTCGTCAAGAATACGCAAGATTTCCTTAGCCAAGTCTTCTTGTTGGCGACGTTGGGCTTGGGTCGTACCCGTTTGCACTAAGTCCATATCAATTCTCCCGGTGACGGGGTCAGTAGCGTAGTCCTTGATGGCCAGCTTGATAAGACGCACCGCTTCCTTAACGTCGATGAGGTCAACTGATTGCGAGAACCGCATCTTTGCATGGGCTTCCGATAACCGGATCATCAGCTCAAGTTGACGGGTAGTGGCAGTGATACGCTTTTCCAGCGACCGAGCGTCTTCACCAAGCTTTCTCATGTCGACGTAAGCACGGACCAATTCATTCTTGCCTTCTTCCAGCATCACCGGCGAGAATGTATCCTTAGCGTACTGAATATAGCCAGTGAGGGTGTCGATGGGGATGATGTCACTCAGAGCTACCGTAGCAGGAGCGTCTTCGATGTACATCAGCGTCAAGTGCTTAGCAAGTTGACGATCAGTTTTGTCGTCGACCTTATCCAAAATGAGGTAGACCAAGTCGAACCGAGAAAGCAACGGCGGGGGCAAATCAATGTTAGCGGTGACGGGGAGATCGGGGTTGTAACGCGAATCGATCGGATTAGCCGACGCCAAGATCGACGTCCGCGCATTCAAAGTGGTGATGATCCCAGCTTTAGCGATGGAGATGGTCTGCTGTTCCATCACTTCGTGCAATACCGAACGCGTGGTGTCACTCATTTTATCGAATTCATCAATGCAACAGATACCCCCATCGGAAAGAACCAACGCCCCCAGCTCAAGCACCAATTGCTTGGTGTCGACATCACGAGTGACGTAAGCCGTCAAACCCACAGCCGATGACCCTTTACCGGAAGTGTACACACCTCTAGGAGCAATCTTGTGCACGTATTGCAAAAGTTGAGACTTTGAGGTGGAGGGATCACCACAAAGCAAAACATTGATGTCACCACGGTAGCGACCCCCCTTTTTGAAAGTCTTGTTGGTACCACCAAATAACTGAAGCAAGATCCCCTTTTTCACATCGTCCATTTCGTAGATCGACGGCGCTATCAGTCGAGCAAGACATTCGTACAAGTCATCACGACGAGAGATGTCGGTGAAGTTACGGATATCTTGAGCAGTGAGTTGACGCAGTTCTTGCACGGTACCCTGGGAGAGAGCGGCCAGTTCGGTCGCAAGCGTCGACGAATCAGGGGCCATACGCTTAGAATCAATCTTGGAAATGTGAACGATATCAAGATAAGTCTTGTAAAGGGATTTCACCGCTCTTTGTCGCAGATTGACCCGTTGAGGCGACGACCGGAAAATACCACAAACTTCGATACGGTCCCCTGCACGAACAGCATCCACCAACTCCCCATAAGCACACAAGTTGATACTGTGAGGCGTTTGCCCATCAGGGACCATGTCGGGAGTTTCTTGAAGTCTGATAACTTGGCGATCGTCGAACAGGGACCGGTTGTGAATTAATTGCATCGAGTTAGGCTGGCCACAGACCGTACGCGGACAGCGCCGGGGTTCGACAATAACCCCTTGATCAATTTCCACTGCCACCGTGTGCCCGCACGCGTTACACCGGAAGAAGGCCACCTTCATATCGGGAATCACCGACGTGGTCCGCAATACTAACCCCTTAACCGTGACCAATTTGTCAATGTCACCAGGGTTAAGTTCACGGATCCCCTTGGTGGCGATGTTGACATTGTACGGACGAGTGTTGTACATGGTGGTTTCGACGTTGTCGACGACATCACCAGGCATGTTTCGATCGCGAGCAATTTCCATGAGACATTCCTTGATTGCCTGATCCATACAAGGGATGATTTCTGCGGGGTAGTTGACCAATTGGTGGTATAATTTTTGGGTATTAGGAGTGGACAACAAGTTGCGAGCATCCAAGTTGAGAACGTCAGCACCAGTATCAATCATCACCCCCATAATTTGCTGGTAGTAAAACTTATTATCTTCTTCATCATCGATACCAATTTCGTCATCTAACTGCCGACGGTACTTGTACTTGAAGTTAAGCAAGAAGTCGCGGAAAGTATTCTGTGCTTCGGCTACCAGGATGTTGGTACCCCAAATCACACGAGAGTCGCCGGCAATGCCATCGGTCATGGGGTCAGTGCCCAATGCCAGAGACAGCGAGAGCATACCCCCACGGCCTAATCGACCCGTCAGAGACTCAGGTTCACCGGAAAACAACATTCGCCGCTGGTGAGGCGACAGCGTCGCTTGTAATTCACCCCGACGGTGACGTCTTTGGATACGCTCCCGATCACTCATTAATTGACCACCCAAATCACTGGTGGGCGGGTTCAGCGACGAGTAGTGTAAGGGACTGGATCCCCCGGTCATCCGTCGGTCACCCTCTGACGAAGGGTAGCCCAATTCTGAGGACGGGTTGACGAATAATGGTGATGACGGCGCATGGGGCTGAGAGTCACGTTGCGATTGGGAATCGAGTGTGGAACGCTGAGTCGAGCGCCGGTTTGTCGGCTGACTCTGACTCGGTTCGGAAGGTGGCAGCAGCATTTAGCGATAGTAATATGGGAAGAAGGGTGGGTTGGCGGGAGACGTGAAAAAAAGATTCGCGACGCGTCTGAACAGAGGTGGGGATGAATGGGGAGAGAGAGCAAGAAAAGAAGAGGATGGTTGGAATCAACTTTAAAGTAAATTTTGTAGATTGGTCTTGTGGATTAGAAGAAGCCTATGGTTTGAAAAATTTTGTGGGTTTCGTCAATAAAAGTGGCTCAAATCAAAGTTAGATGGCAAAGCATTGAAAAAATATCATCAATGTCAATATCGCAAAGTATGATAGATCCCACAACATACTATGAATGATCCCTTTAAAAATCTCGTCTGGTTCAACGCGTTTTGTCGCTAGTCAGGGTCTATCTTTCACTCACCACCGGTGCTCATTCGCACTCTCATCACCATGAGCCTAGATTATAAGCTCGAGTTGCGGGTGCCTTTTGAGACGGCCCGCCAGGCAGAAATTGCCTACAACTCACTTATTCCCGACCCTGTGCTCAAAGGGAACGAAATCAATATCAACTATTCGGTGGATAACAATGAACTTGTGGCGAACTTCGCTGGAGTCAGCGATAAGATGATCAGAGTGGCCATCAGCAATACCATTGACAATATCAAGGTGATCATTGAGACAATGGATGCGTTCGATGGGAAGAAGGACCAGACGTGGCTGGTGGAGGCTAAGGAATAATTAATGAATGACGACAATAGAATACAATTTACCATTATAAAATGGCACTCAAGTGTAGTCAATAGAGGTTTTGTAGTATAGCTTAATGACAAGCCGTTAGTGATTGCATACCAAACATTGAAACTAGTTTCAGATGATTGTGTACAGTTGGTGCCGCACCTTGATCTGATCCGTGTGCATTGGCATTGTCACTACCGCGAATGACGCTGGCGGTGGACGTTGCTGAGGAACGGCTACGCCAGAAAATACTCAACTCCCTCAACAACCGGGACTACCTCATGCTCATGGCCCACCAGCAAAACAAGCTGGTGGCGCAGGTGCGGTACGAGCTCATTGAGCGGCTTGTTGGTCGAAGGTTCTAGTGCGGCTGGTGAATCGAAGTTCCCTTGCTTGATCCTAATGCGTCCATCAGAAACCACTGATACCAAACTCATTAAATTTTCAGACGAGACCCCACTTTATCAACTACATAATAAATGAAAAAAATGTGATGTTATCTTCTCGCCACAGCCAAATGTTCTGTTTTCATAGCATTAGCCCCCCGCCTAACCCTCGCCACCGCGCGCACTTGCCAGCGAAAATTTGTCGCTTAGCGTCTTCATAGCCATCACACCTCGCAAACCATGAGTGACGAAGTGAAGAAGGACGAAGTCAAGAAGGACGACGCCACCAAGGTCGTTGAAGACAAGCCTGCCACTGCCGTGCCCCAGTCGCTGGTGTTCCTGATGTTTGGCGGTAAGAAGGAAAAGAAGCCCGAAAAGGAAGAGGAAGAAGAAGAAGACAAGTCGGGTGCCACCAAGAAGGACGACGACGACCCTGAAGCTGAAGCCGACGTCCACTTCGAACCTCTCGTCAAGCTCGAAAAGGTTGAAGTGAAGACCAACGAAGAAGACGAAGACGTGTTGTTTAAGGTGCGGGCTAAGTTGTTCCGTTACCACGCCGACACCAACGAATGGAAGGAACGTGGTACCGGTAACGTTAAGTTCTTGAAGCATCGTCAAACGGGTAAGACCAGAGTGTTGATGAGACGTGACAAGACCCTCAAGATCTGTGCCAACCACTTGGTGAAGAAGGAATACGAGTTGAAGCCTAACGTGGGTTCCGACCGTAGTTGGGTGTACTCGGTGGCCGCCGACGTGTCTGACGGTGACGCCGAAGCGCAAACCTTGGCTATCAGATTCGGGGACAAGGAAAAGGCCGAAGAATTCAAGAAGTACTTTGACCAAGCCAAGGCGGAAGACAAGTAATGGCAGTATATAGGCAATGTACACTAAAAGGAAGCCTCCTAAGTTTCTCATCAGACTTATCTGTAGTGAGGTGATAGAGACGAGCTATGAGAGTTCGTTATTACCATTTGTAGATTATAGTTGAACAAAATATCTTCGAGAAATTAATAGTTGTCAGGGGACTTTGGATTGTCGATCATAATATACTCAATGATAATTAGTTCGACTTAGGGCCGGTATAGGCGTACTATTTCATTTATAGACCCATGCCCTAATTGAGTTAAGGCATGCTCTGAGTTGATTTTGATAAATACATGAGTACGTTTAAATATCTGATTTCATATAGCACTTTTCGAAATGTTTCAATTCAAATTAAGTTGATTTAGTGGTTGACAATGACTACGGTAGACAATAGAGGCTCGCAGCGATGGTCTCTGACTCCGGCGGCCGGCAGTTAGGAGCCACACCTCGCACCGGTCTTCGCGGTTGGCGTTATCATAGTTACCCCACGTGCTCCGAGGGTTATATAATACACCACCGAAACCACCGCCGTACTTGATTGAGGTCGAATGAAGTTTGGGAAATACCTCGCCCTGAGGCAGCTCGAGCTCCCGGAGTATCTGGGCTACTTCATCGACTACAAGGCTCTCAAGAAGTTGATCAAACAGTTGGCGGGCTCCAACCATGAGAACAACTTATCGATGGACGAGATGCAACGAACGCTCAAAGAGAACAAGGCCAGTTTCTTCTTTAGAGTGGAACGTGAGCTCGACAAAGTCAACCAGTTTTACCTTGAGAAACAGGCCGATTTGGCGGTGAACGTTGATTTACTCTTGCGGAAGAAGCTGGAGCTTTTATCGAAGGAGTACTCGCTGGCGTCGGCGATGCGCCACCTGATTTCCTACCTTAACTTATACCAGAACTTCAAGAAGATTCACCAGGACTTACTGAGACTCCAGCAGTTCATTGAGCTTAATGAAACCGGGTTTTCCAAAGTGGTGAAAAAGTGGGATAAGCGACTGAAAAGTCACACTAAGGAGTTGTTTATTCAGACTGCTGTCAGTGTACAACCAGTATTCCACAAGAACGATATCAATGAGCTCAGTGACCTGGTCACCCACTCCCTCTTTGAGCTTGAGCTGATTATGGATGGCGACTATCTGGCCGTGGCCAATTACTCGTCAAATAATACTCTGCTGGTTCGTGGCATATCTCGTACCACTCCCAGCGCCGAACCACACCCACCAGCACTTCCTCAGGATGAAATTGATCAAGTGTACGCGCTGTTTGTTACCATTGCCACCGTCAATGATCCTGATGTGAAGCTCTTAGCCCGGTGGATTGAGAATGTCAAGTCTCAGCTGACTCTGGTGGAACGCTTATTCACCAGAGTGCTTACTCTTGCGGTGGGTAACTTGGAAATCAGTGACCAGTTCTTCCGCCAGTTTTTGGAGATGATCAATTGGGAAATTGACTGGGTGGTGGTGCTGAGAGATAACTTCAACCAAACGTTACTTCACCAGTGTTGTGCCATTGCTCCACCAGTACTGGACCAACATATTGTCATCAACAACGGGGTGAAAGTGGTTAACCACGGCGAACAAGTGAAGCATCTGCGCAAGTTTATGGTGGAGTACATCATGAAAAACGTTCCCGAAGATAAGCTTCGTCAGTTACTTGTGGTGAAAGACTACAATGGTCGCATGTGTATTCACTACGCTGCCCATGCTCGCCGTCTCGATTTGATGGAATTGATTTTACCGGTGTTCCCTCGTGAATTTGTCGATGATTTGGATAAGGACCTGATGAGTGCTCTCTTAGTGGCAATCAAACACGGAGAGTTCCCGTTTGTCAAATTACTTGTGGAGCATGGAGCTGATTGCTTCCCTCGTCTGAGCGATACCAAACTTCAATACTTGCCGGTTAACTATGCTTGTAAATATGGCAACTACCCCATCCTTGAGTTCTTATTGTGCCAAACCAAAGACCCCGAGAAGATCAATCAACAAGATGTTGAAGGGCTCTTCCCTCTTCATGTTGTTTCTCGTCTGGGCCACTTCCGCTTGATCAAATTGTTAATGCCATTCGCTGGTGAAGCCAATATTAATCGTCGTGATGGGCTTAATAAGTGGCCTCCGTTATTCTACGCCGCCCTGGAAGGTCACCTGAAGACTGCAGAAGAACTTGTGGCGTGTGGGGCTCAGTTGGATGTGGTTGACGATGACGGCTACAACGTGCTTTACTACTGTGTGGTACAAGGGCACATTGACATTTTGAACAAACTTTTAACCTACGCCCCGTTCTGCAACCAACGCAATCTGCACCCTGGAGCGTCCATGCTGCTTGACATTTTGGAGGACCCCGACTCTGAAGACGCTACCAGTCTTGAAAAAACCGATGGCATCCCGGACTTGAAACTTCCCCCGCCCATTCTTCCCCTTCGTCGTTATGGCCATAACTTCTTGGAACAGAAAGTATTGATTGAGGTGATTTTCCCTCGCGATCGCCTGGATTTCATTCGGCTTTTCGACTCGCTGACTAACCTCAAACCGGGGCGCATTACTCTCGTCAGTAACAACTTGGAATCGATCCCGCGTAATGTTCTTTTGCCAGTAGGTGAAGAACGGACACTGGTGTTTCAAGCTGATGTCGATGCTCTTGCTGACTTCCGCATTGACTTCGAGATATTCCCGAAGTTCGGGACTCGTCTCATTGCCAAGACACTGGCGCTTGAATTCGCTCAAGGAAACAGCTTTGGCGAGGTTCACTTACCTCTCTTTGACTTGAGGCTTAAAAATATCGGTGAACTTCGTCTTAATTACCAGGTAATCTACCCGTTCAGCGGTCTGCTTCTTGAAACCCTGAAGTTTGACACCTACTGGAAACTGCTGACCAATTTCATCAAGAACCGCCAGCTGCTCAAATTGAACGCTGCTGGGGTGCTCCTGCCGAACAACTTCTTAAGTCCGCCGATGCCTAAGAAAGATGGTGAGATGGTGGTCGACGTTCCGGTGACGGCGCCGCCGCTGCTGGTAGTCACCGCTACCTCCCTCTCTGGCGAGTATCTCCGGATTAAAGTGTGCTTGCTTAATGACGGCACCCCCGTGGTGTGTCCTCATTGGCTGATTTCCATCACCGAAAGCATCGAGCTTTACCTCCCCAACTTGAAGCTTGAACAATTGACCCTGATCACCAACAACTTATTTGACTACGAACGCGTACTTCGCGACTTGTCTGCGATGGGGGCCGACGACATTGGGCTCATCAAGAAGTTGTTGCGCATTATTTATTTGCCCCTCACCACGGTGCTTAATGTTGTCCACCCGCAAATCAACTTGAACCTTGAGTTTGTGTTCCCGCTGCAGTACGAGATGAACCAGCTTCCGTTTGTCTCCAACATTCTGCAGCAATTGAACCTGTTTATCGACTTAACTTTAACGCTGGTGTTTGACCATGTGCGCAGCCAAGTGGAGGCGAACCACCCTACTCGCTCGATCATCTTCTTGCTGAGCAACTCGTTGGTGTGTAAGATCCTCAACTGGAAACAGCCGAACTTCCCCGTGTTCTTGTTGATGAACGGCATCCTGTACTCGGCCAAGACCCACCAGTTCGTGAGCCGCACCACCAACGGGTTGCCGTGGCTGGAACATTTGCATGACCCGCGCCGGTCGGTGTCGGGCGACGCCCCCCAGATCCTGGAGGTGGCATACGCTCAAGAGTTGCTGATTCGCCTGATCAAGGAAGCAGTCAACTTCACCATGGCCAATAACTTGATTGGTCTTGTCTGTCTGATCCACTTGCTTGATCTTGTGCCTAAACTTGTCCCGCTTATCCGCTCCAAGGGGTTGTTGTTGGTGGCCCTGAGCGACTATATTGGTGGTGATGATGAGAACGAAGAGGCTCAGATCCAGATGGAGTTGGACGCGTATACCCGCACCGATGTAAACGGGCTCCGCTTCGACGACGTGTTGAGTTTCAAGGGCGATATTTGTATGTAGGCTATTTTGATAGACGTATAGAGTAACACTGCATCGATACCATATTATAGTAAAACATTCGGATTTTCACTTTGAAAGGGACGGTCAGATCTGAAATTTTTTTGTGCCGCTAGCCTAGATATAATTCTCTTAAAACTATTCCACTTTTTTCTTTTTCACCAATTATCACTACCTATGAATCTTTACTGGTAATGGGAGCTGCCCGCGGGTGGTGATGGCGCGCGGTTAGGAGCAGCAACGGTCCCCATCCCTCTTACCCCGGAATCAATGTTTCTTCGCCGGTTTTCCCGTCTGGCAAGACGACTTCAGAATATCCCTAAGGGTGTCAAGGGTGAAGACGGACCCCCTGTTGATGCCAACGGTCTTTATTGGGGCAAATTCACTAAGGAAGAGTATGAAGAGGCTAAAAAGCTGGTGGCGGAGCAGATCAAGCGGCTCGAGCAATCGATCAAGGGTGACACCAACGTCAGAGAAAACTTGGGTCAAATGCCTCAATTCCCCATGCGTGATGCTAACGTCAATGTCTCCAGCTTGCCCGAGCTTTTAGCGCAGACGATCAAGACGACGGGCCCCATCTCGTTACTGGCGTTTATGAGACAGTGTTTAACTCACCCAGAATACGGTTACTACACCACGCGAGATCCTCTTGATACTGCCACTGGTGACTTCGTTACTTCGCCTGAAATTTCGCTGATGTTTGGTGAAATGATCGGTATGTGGTTGTTTACTGTGTGGCAGCAACAAGGGCTGCCGAAGAAGATTCGTTTGGTGGAGTTTGGTCCAGGGAAAGGGACGTTGATGCACGATTTGGTGACCCTGTTTTATAAGTTTGCCTCCAAAGTTGGCGTGGAAGCAGAGATCGTCATGATCGAGGCGCTGCCGGTGCTTAGACAAAAGCAATGGATGGCGCTTTGTACCGAAGATAACGCTATGGTTCATGATGATGCCAACAATTGGGACCTGCTGGTGACTAAGTGGGGGTGGCCCATCAAGTGGGTGAACACCGAAAAGGAAATCGATCATGCTGATGGTGTGGCGAACTACGTGTTTGCTCACGAATTCTTTGATGCGTTGCCGATTAAATCATTCGAACGCACTGAAGACGGCTGGAGAGAGTTTGTTGTTGAACACACTCCTAGTGTCGACAATACTCAGCCTAAACTTGAAAGCGCTCTGCCTGCTGAAAACGAAAAGCATGATCCCTTGCTCGACACCGAGTTCCATCTTACGGTGCTGCCGAAGGAGACTCCTAGTTCACTTATCCCTAAGTTCTCGCTGCGGTTCAAGGACCTCCCCGTGGGTCTGCGGATTGAAATTTGCACTGATGCCGAGTTGTATCTCATGAAGATGGTCCAACTTTTGACCCCTACTACCGGTGCGGTTCTCTTGATGGACTATGGCATTGATACTGATTTGCCTCCGGAAAACTCCTTGAGAGGTATCTACCAACACAAGTTTGTGTCGCCTTTCGCTAAGCCTGGTGACGTCGATTTGTCGGTGGACGTCGACTTCAGAGCGCTCAAATTGTTAGGCGAAAAGCACTGTGACGTTTACGGAGCGGTGACCCAAGGTGACTGGCTTCATACCCTTGGCCTCGGCTACCGTGTGCAACAATTGCTTGATCGCAACCAAGAAAAGCCCGAAGTACAAGACGTGATCTACGGAGCTTATCGTCGTCTCACTGACCCGGAACAAATGGGTAAGGCGTATAAGTTTATGGCGATGCTTCCTCTGGGCTCCAAAACGCCTGTGGGCTTCGGTGGCAGCTATGAGTAGGCCAGTAAACACAAACACCACGTACATAGTTATTAGATTGTCTTATCCAAATGACAAAGTTTCATAAAACGCTTGTATTATATCTTATATACTGCTTTAGTAACTCTGATGTGGTCAAATACACGACCATCAACGGTGATTCTTAGCAAGTGACACGCTGACAGCTTCTCCTATATGGCACGGAGTTATGCTTCCGCACTCGAGTTAGTGTTGTTGATAACTCGAGTAATGTCATTGGTAGTGGTGATTCCTTCTCTGATGAATTTGAGGTTGTACACGCTTCACTTCACTGACTCTTGCTTAATGAATTCGTGAAGCTGCTTGCTCAGTTTGCTTGGTTTCATGCCTTCTCGCCCCCTCAAATAGGCATGAACGTCTTGTGATATACTCTTAACCATAGACTTCCGGCGTCCCAGTTTGCCAAAACCATCCTGAGCAAATTGCGGCAGCGGTGGGCCTTCATCCAACACTCTGGCAATCAGCACTAGCAGCATATCCGGGTCCCCTTCATTCACATAGAGCTTGCGTTCCTCTTCAAACTGACGTACTTGCTTTCGAAGCTCGCGAGTCTCGATTTGGTAGTCAGTCATTTGGAGTTGTTGTTCGGTGAAGCGACGGCGATCCCGTTCGACTTCCAGTTCGAGCATGGCGATCTTCTCCAACAACTCGTTATTGAACTCGGTAGCCGTGGTGAGCTTATCCTCAAGAAGTCGATCGTGGGTTTCAAAGTCGACATTGATCGTCTCCACCAGCACCAACTGATGTCGCAATTGGCGGATCTCATTATTGAGCTGGCCAACCTCATTCTGGTGGGTTTCGACCATGTGGTTCTTCTCTTTAGTCAACGAGTAGATCTTTGCCAATGCCGTTTCGTGTTCCCGCTTCAATGTGACGAGATCCCGGTTGGCGGACGCGAGTTGTTGTTCTAGTTTCGCCGCCTCCTCCTCGTGGCGAATCGCTTCGTCGAGAGTGGCATCAAGACTGATAATCACATTGTCGGCCTCTTGAAGCTTGGCTATAAGCTCTTCCCGCAGGAGGTGAGAATAGTCCATTGGGGATGGGGCGAGGGAGACGGACACGGCTGGAGGTAAGGATCACGGAGTTCGCGCCGTCGCTTATCGCGTCAGGCTTCGACTGCGTGAGGAGGAACCGATTATGTCATCAAAATGACACCGTCATCGAAATAACGCTAACGATGATCAAGGATATAATTAGAGGTAAAGGTCAGGTTAGGTTTTGATTAATTTTACTAGTTTTGTTTGAGTACTTTGTCTCATGTCGTCGTTTCGTAATTAGGCTGATTTAAAATACCTAAACTATATACTCCGCGAGATAACTGCTTGGCGAAGGTAATAAGCATCCAATGCGTGTCCCCACATCGGGTGGACACTAAGCATCACCAACGCATCAAACCCTATGGAGTAGTGGCACCAGCTGGCCAATTGTGTAAGGGGGCACTCCGCCAATGAATAAGTGATAGCGCCTCCACACCCCACCATAAGCACTCTAATCCAATCGGGAATAAACGACAGCTGGAGATAGATGCGGTTCCAGCACCACCCTTTGATCAAAAACGTTGTTACCATTAGCGGAGCTACTAACGCCATCTGGGTAGGCTGGTTGACCAGAATCATCAAGAACCGGATCGAAAGCACCAAAAGCGCTATGATTACCACCACCGACATTGCCATCACTGGTCTGCCGCCATTGGCATATTTTTGGCTTAATGCCTGGTTGATTTGTTGTGGAGAAAGTCCACGAGAAGCAGCGTAAGTCTTGGGTGTAGACATTTGTGTTAAGCTGAAGAAGGAGCAATTCCTTCCACAAGGACCTTATTATACCTAATGGATATGGCTACACTAATCTGGAGAAAATAGCGGGGAAGAGTCATACTCTGTGATGATCTGGATACGACGTAAAGAAGGGGTATTGTCTATTAAAGGCTATGGTGCCTACAGAAGCAGTTCCACCTTGGAGGAGCGGACCAGGTTGGCTGCCAGCCCCCCGCGGAACGGCTTGATAATGCGCAAATTGAGTCCCAGCTTCAGCAGCGGCAGTGTCGGCTCGTCAAACATCCCCAGGGTGTCCAGCGAGTCGTGTTCGCCGCCAGCCGGGGGGATCGTGGGTGTAAGAAGCTTCAGTCTCCGTCTCAGCTCGGCTAAAAACTCGCCGATCAGCACGTACTCTTGAGTGAAATTGAGCTTAGGCGACTGCGTAGCGGGGGCGACGTCGTCAGTGATTTTTTTCGTAGTGGCAAACAGCGTCACCAGCGTCGTGTTGATGCGGCTAGAGGCAAGCAGGGCTCCCGTGGTCGACTTGCTCAGGCGCACCAGCCGCAGCATTTCCACGGTAGTGTGGGTAGGCACCTTTTCGATGTCAGGGTATTCTCGAGACGACGGGTCCAGGTGTGCCAGCAGCATCGTCAGCACCGCCGCCAGCAGCGCGGCCGAGTTACGCTTCATGATCAGAATCTCTTCTTCCTTTTGCTTGTTCAAGTACTCCAACTTCAGCAGGATGTCACCCAACTTGCTCTTAAACCCAAGCGTTTCTCTAGAGATCATTAACTGCTGGTCCTTAAGCAGTGACTTAAGCTTATTAATTTTGATATCTCTCAGCTCGATGATCTTTTCCAGGATAAGCAAGTGTTTGCGCAAGTTAACGTTGACCAATTCCATCTCCGTGAGCTTATCGTTCAACTGGGCAAGCGTCAGCTCAAGACCGAATAACTTCAGGTCCTCCAGGTGCAGATTGCGCAACCGGTCCATGCGGTAGCTGAGCAACATTTCTTCAAGCTCACTGATCTTTTTATCACGACGGTCAATTTCGTCTCGAGCACTGCCGATTTGCAGAAGCCGTCCCAGCGGACCAGGGAGGCGCAGCTGGAACTCTCTCAGAGGCAGATAGATCATCAGTAGCAGCAGTCCGGGAACCAGCAGCGAGTGGTGACTGAGATGCAAATGATTATTAGGGAGAGTAACGCTCAGACGAGCCAGCGGGGGCACCAGCGGCGGCGGTTGGCCACCCAGACGCCACAGCATAAGCTCCAGCTCCAATTGACGAATGTAGATTTGGTTTTGCTGATTGAGCTTTTCCATCTGGGCAAGTCTTTGCTTTAAGTTGGCGGCCAGCACTTCGGTGTTGACGTGGGCGGAGTTCTTGATGTTCTTGGCTCTAGTACCGAATCGCAACGTCAGCAACGTTTCCTGCTCGTTAAGCGACAGCGGCAGACAGTTGATGATAAGCGATGTTCGCAGATTACCACCCAACGACTCTTGAAGGATCCGGGTAAGCTTAGAGTCACGGTAAGGAATGTGACTCAGCTTGCCGTCAGTTAAGGAGTTGATAACGTTACCTAAAGCCAGAAGCGACAGGTTAATCTTCTTCGCTTCTTCGAGGGTTTGACCCACGGCGCCAGTCTTATCGACTTTTTCCAGCCCCGCGAGATCAACAAGGAAAAGTTGTGACCGCTTAGTGATATCGGTAGCAACGTGTTTCTGGGTCAATTTGATTTGGAAGATGGCATGGGATCTCAGCGACTCCAGGTTCATCAACGTTTGACCTTGGGTGCGGTTCTTTAACCCCTTTTGGAGCACGGTAAGCATTTCCTCAGAGCTGGCGACAAACGCCTGTTTGAGGCCCTTGACGTAGATGCCATTAGTCTTATCCTGGTGGATATGGTACTTAGTCGGCGTCGTGTTTACCAAGTCGCCGCCAGGCACCCCCAGCACCAGCGCCGTCAGCGGTTGGCGGCGTAATTGCAGGGTGCGAGCGGGGCCGTTACTGTCGTCGAGAAGATCGCGGATTTGCTCCATGTAGATCTCAAAGTACAGCACACCCACGGTATACTCGATATCCAGCAGTCCGTGGCCAATATGGTTGAAAATGTCTTCGGCGATACGCGGGATAATCCCCCTTTCGTCCTCGTCGTAAAGCGACAGCCCCATCATCGTGTACAGTTTGCCCAGCCCCGTCTGCCCGTAGGCCAATACGGTGCCGTTATACCCGTTCATTAAGTCATCGACGGTCTGGGTGATCAGAAACTGGTACACTTCGTGCTGCGCCAGGTCGACGCCAAACACGCGGTCGAAAGTGAAATTGGCGGTTGTATCGCGTCCCTGGAGAGCGCACAGGGTTGATGTCGGGGTGTCGACGATCACTTTGCCTCCCCGCAGCTGTTCTTGGTCCAACAGCGGGCGGAAGCGGCAGATGACGTTGATGTTATTGTTCAGCGGCACCACCGAGTCCCGCCGGTTTCCCGCCAGCGGGAGCCGTTCCAGAGGGGTGGGCAGCAGGTAGTTGAAGGGCGACGTGAGCTGCAGGCTCAGGTCCAGCGACACGTCGTCGTCGTAGCTGGCGTCGCTCATGGGCTCGATATTTGCCTAGTTATGATGATGAAGGTGGATGGCTCAGCTAGCCAGGCGCGCGCGAGTTTTTAAACGGGGGGGTCGCGGCGCCCCGGGGCGCCGCGCATACTGGCGCTGCGCGTAAGCGTAGCAGGCCAGGGCTGCGTGGAGGCATGAGTGGAAGACATCCCCAGAGTAAGTCATCAAGAGGTCGAATTAAGTGAAAAATGAAGCTGGCAGAGAGGCCGGGACTAGTAAAGGCTTGTATGGTATAGCATGGAGCAAATACCATTTAACTTAGACACTTGCTTCTCGTTCAAGTTGGGTAGCCTGGGCTGCCGATTTTAGGTGATCCGCCCCTCTAGGGGGAGGCGCCGGCGAGCGCCTCAGCGAAGCACTGCATCGAGCAACGGTGCTGAGTTTTCACCGACGCCGCTGTGCCTGGGGCGCGCGCGGCGGTAGTTGGCAACCATTGTGAGCGAATAGCGGCGCCGCCTTAGTAGGGGGGACTGGGTGCCACTGGTAGTGGCAGTAGAGAGCATATCATGGCCACCACACCCACGGTTGACGCTGAAACTTTGATAGACGTGTTTTAGTGTTTGGCTGGTAGCGCCACGCCGACACATTCCGGGGTGCTCGTCTAACTGACCGCGTTTCCTTTGTGTTCAAAAAACAATAGAGGTCAAACGACATTACTGCCACCTAAAGCGGGAGCGAAAAAAAACGTATGGTTTACTGTATAGTCGCACTAGTTGCAGCACTGATGTTATTGCAATTGATTGTCACAAGCGTCGCACTAATTTGTTAGGGGATAGGGGGAGACCTAGTTGAGGGGAGACAGCAGGGGCGGGGTGTCAAAGCGGTTTGCATTGAGTTGCTTGTTACCTTCCTTTTTCGGGTGGGAGCAATATCATTCTCGCAACCTGTCAACTTGGCGTCAGTCTATTCTGTAGCGGGCACAACCAGTCCGTAGCACTATACGTTCTCTTGTCTTGTGTATGGCAACGTGGGTGGTAGCGCTGACGGAGTGCTGTGTGAGGCCAGGGGTGGCGGTATCCCGATAGATACCGAGGGTGCGGGAGATATACCACCGTATAACTCCATATACCTTTCAAAGATACCCCAATGTCAGTGTTTGGCCACCGTGGGTTCAAAGCCAACTACCCCGAAAACACCCTTGAAGGGTTCGACCACTGTTTGGCCACAGGGTGCTCGGGGATCGAGACCGACGTGTGGCTTCTGAAGGACAAGGTGGTGGTGGTGAGCCACGACCCCAATACCAAGCGGGTGTTTTGTCATAAGGATGGTAGCGAGGCTGATTACGAGATCCCCGAGACTGATTTCAGCGAGCTTAAGCCGTTGGTGGACTTAGAACTGCGGGCGCCGTTAATCTCGTTCCACGACTTATTGACGTGGTTCGTCAAGAACCAGGCTCAGGGTGCTGGCGACCAGAAGATCATGCTTGATATTAAGATCGGTAACCCGCCCGAGATCCTCGAAGTGGTGTTTAAGGAGATGTACCAGTTACACCAAGATTGGGGGTTCTGGGCTCGCCACGTCCAGTTAGGCGTGTGGCACCTCGACTTTTTGAAATACTTAAACCAGGCTCCTTACTTTCAACAGATCCCTAACGATGTCACGTGGGAAGTGGTTAACATCTCGTTCCTGTGGACGGTGCTGGTGCCGTTTGTCGAATACAGTGCCTGGTTGGACACCGCCGACGTGAAACGGCCCTACAAGTTACTGGCGGTGCTGCTTATCTACTTGCTGACGTGGACGCCGCTGTTTGTGGCGAGATTCGTGCCGCTTTTGCGCCAGCACTCTATGTCCCTCTTCTCGTGGACGATCAACTGGCGTGGACAAATGGACTACCTTCGTCTGGTGGCGGAAACAGCCCAACTCCAATGGGGGGTAATTTCTGACCATCCCGATAAGGTGGTGGCGTGGTCGAAGTCGCCCATTGCTCACGCCGAGCTCAGCTGGTTGCAAAAGGGGCTCGCCTACGGGTTCGACCATTTCTTCCACAAGCCGCAGCAGGTACTGGCAGCGGCGTTTGCGGCGCCGGTGGACCCGCATCACCGCCATACGCTCAAGCGGTCGAAGGTGGGGATGTACATTTTCCAGTGGCTCCAGCGACAGGGCTGGTTGTAGCTCTTTTTAATCAAATGATTTCTCCGGGACCTCCCCCTCGCATGTGCACACTAAAAGCACGCTGCATTCGGCACAATGCACTATGTAGGGATTTGCCGCCACTGCCGCCACCCATGCGGGAACAGTGACATATATGCTGTCGTTGCCAACTGGTTGCTGAACTAGGCTGGCACCGGCATAGGGGGCAAGCTTTGCTTTGATTCGCAACCATTACGTGGGGGGTCTCGTTTACCCAAAAATCAAGGCGGACGACCCCAGCGTGATGTTGACATGTCACTTTGAGCATTCCCCGAGCACAGATAGACCTCGCATCGTCAAGGTGATGAAGCAGAGCATGTTGATGTTAGTCCTGAAGTTTAAAGTTTATCCGACGCTAGTAGAGGAGTTAAGTAAGCCTTGGCAATTAAATTAGTGGTTTGAAGTTATTTGGAATTGGGGATAACGAAATTAATACTCAAAAGATCTCATGATATTGAAATCATGAAGAACGGAAAATTCACTCATTGTGATTGATTTGTTCAAGGTTCACTAAGCTATAAAGACTAACTAGATAGGGTCGTGTGCCTACCAAGTCGCGTCTGGGTAAGTGAAGCGCCATCAGTTAGCGAACGCGTATCATTATAGAGTTATCAGTGGCAAGATGGAAGCTTCCTACGTTCGTGTTGATGCCACTCTTGTACCTCAGAACCGGGGGAACATTGTGAGAATTGTTGCCAAGTGTGACGCCTACGACCCTCTGCTGGAGACTGCCTCTCTTAACGCTAATGGCACCGTGACCTTACTCACCGCCAGTGTCAATGAGAGCCCTCAAGTGGGGCAAATCTACGATGTTCTGGGTAAAGTGTCGCTGGATAAAGACGACATTATTGCCTACAGTCTTATCCCCCTCCCCGAAGACACCAACATCGATGCTGCTTGCAAGTTGGCCCACTTAACGCAAAAGGTGCCGCACATGTTCCATGAATAAGGACTTTTCTTTTGATGACAAACACCATGTAATGAATATACTAATGAGTCGAAACATTTGAAGTACGATCAGCTTATATTCGAAGCTGACTGATGCCGCGACACTCGATGTGAGTTTCAACGACGCGTACCCCGCTCTTCACTATCAATACTATATAGTAAATTAAACCAAATTATCCTGAGTGAGTATGTGACACGTCTGTTTTCATTTGAACATACCAAATTTCTCTAAACACCATTTCAAATTTCACTGTTATAGGGTCCGCCGCCACATTCTTCAGACTCGCGCAGCGCCAAAAGTGTACCATCAGTCTCACCTCGCCAGTCACGGGCGATGCTGCTATCCCAGTTCCTTGGCCAGCTAGGAACCAAGCCTAACAGCAAAACCCTTTCACGGCTATTTAACCTTGACCCAGCTACCAATAAGTTCATTGTCGGCATCTACAATGACACACGGGATTTTAACAGTCTCAAACAACAAGTGAACCAGGTGGAGTTTTACGACGGCGGCTGGCCTGCATTTGACCAAGTGGTGTTTAGCTTTGTTCGTCTATGTTCCCAGTTGGACCCTAACCTGTTGGTGATGCTGTTTGACTTGTACGCTCAGTTTTTAAGTGATGTTAGTGTTGCCTTCACTAACTTGGGTAACGGGGCGCTAATCGCGTCAGTAATCGCGCCTACGGTGGACACGGTGGTGCCAATGGCCCGCAAATTGGACCAACAACTAAAGAATTACGAGGCCGACGCTGTGTACCCGCGGTTGACGTTTTTGGCGTCGGTGCTTCTTCGGGTATTTAACCATATCCGGTCTCAGCTCGGGGATAACACCCCCGAAGCAAAACAACTGTTGTTGCTTTACGTGTCAAACAAGTTGTGCTTCATTTATAACCAGATTGGTAACCCGCTTTTGTGTCAAAATGTGTTTTCCAACATCACCACCGCCAACCTCAAGTTCTCGCAATTCCCCGCTGCTGACCAACTTCAATACCGTTTCTACCTAGCCAAATTCTACCTCATTAAGCATCACTTGGTTGATGCCTACCGCCACTTCTCCTGGTGCGTGGAACGGTGTCTGGCTCGGGAACGAGAGCGAGTGCTTAAGTATTTGGTACCGTTGGGGATGATGCTTGGTCGCAGTCCCAACTTTAACGGTATCACTCGCCAGGCAGGTGCAGTGTCGTGGCTACCCGTGTATCGTGACATTGCTGGTGCTGTCAGTGCCGGAAACTACGCCGGGTTTGTTGAAGCCGTCACCCGCCATGAGGCCTACTTGAAACAGATGGGACTACTAGTGTTGGTGCGAAGCAAGCTCGAAGTGGTGCTTTTCCGTAATCTTCTTCGCCAGGTGTGGAAGATCCAGGGCCAGGCGCTGACGTTAACCTACGGTGCCATTCAGAATGCCCTTCGACTTCTGTGGGGTGCCTATGCGCCTGAGGGCGGCGTCGATGCCCTTGTGGTCGAAAATATGGTGGTATCACTCGTCGACCAGAACCTTCTACGGGGTAAACTAGTGCTGAGTGTTTCTAAAGTGGCCGTGGCCAGTTCGAACGTGTTTCCGGAGATCAGCGGAATTTACACGCAGAAGTTTGGCGGCGCTGGCGACAAGTGGATGGACGATTAGCCGGGAAGCGTCACTGAAACGAGCAGGGGGCCTTGCATCGGTTCAGCGCAGCCTCATGGTAGCCGCCGGCGAGGGTCGCCATGATGAAACCGCTAACCAGACGTTGTCATCGGTATGAGGTTACTGGGGTGGGAAAACGCAACACTTTTTGTATGGGGGGTCAAGGCGAGTTTGCGGACTATTACCCCGAATCTCGCCCCGGTAATCGCGGATAGCTACTGTGATCCACAGCATGAAATCCAGGCCAAAACGTAAATGAGAGCACCGGATGATGACCGAAACACTCGGGGAATATTGTCTGAGTGCATTCGAGCAGATATCTCACCACTGAACGATGTGATACCTTCATAGCAACATTATCAGAAAGCGATGAGCTTCCCCCCCCCCCTCACTCCCTTAAACCACCCCCTCTCTACAATGCACAAAAGAAACTACACCACTCATAAAGCCACTACACAAATCACTAATCGAACCCCGCCACTTGACTTCGACTCGGACCTTCGGAGTTCAGTGATAAGCCAGTCATGGGATGATCACCAAACGATGAGTCGCGGACGAGTCAGCCCCCGAAAATTAGCTAATACTCACCGCGATCAAACCCCATGGTTCGCGCCCAGTTACCCGGCACTGACTCATTAATAGGGGGAAAAAAGGGGATATTGGATAGACTGGGGTAGCAAAAGAACCACCAAACCTCCACGAATAAAACTATCACATTTACAAGATGATTAGACGACTTCCCTAGATACTCCAATCCACAACTCATCGCTGGCAATGTATCTACCACAATCTTCGTTTGCACTGTATGGCACGTGCTATGACTCAAGGGAAAAATCGCGGGCACTGGATATAAGTAGCCGGAGTCGTGCCTGAAAAACTCCATCGCCAATTGCCGAAACAGATAGTATGAGCTCGCCGCAACAGATCGCCGCCACTTTCCAACGGGCCATGAGCATTTCCGGCCTGCCGACCAACGCGGTGCTGACGCTGCCCACCCAGCTGTTTTTGGCCCAGCACTACGCGCAGAAACCCACCAAGGTGCTCAAGCCGTTTCTGACGGGCGACATCAAGATCTTGTTGTTGGAAAACGTCAACCAGACCGCCATCAACATCTTCCAAAACCAGGGTTACCAAGTTGAATTCTACAAGTCGTCGCTCCCTGAAGACGAGTTGATCGAAAAGATTAAGGATGTCCACGCCATCGGTATCCGTTCCAAGACTAAGTTGACCGAAAAGGTGTTGAGCCACGCCAAGAACTTGGTCACCATTGGTTGCTTCTGCATTGGTACCAACCAAGTCGACCTTGACTACGCCGCCAAGGCCGGGGTGTGTGTGTTCAACTCTCCCTTCTCCAACTCGCGGCTGGTGGCTGAACTTGTCATCGCTGAAATCATCACTTTGGCCCGTCAATTGGGTGACCGTCTGATTGAAATGCACACTGGTACCTGGAACAAGGTCCTGGCCAAGTGCTGGGAAATCAGAGGCAAGACTTTGGGGATTATCGGTTACGGCCACATCGGGCTGCAATTGCTGGTTCTCGCTGAGCTGATGGGGATGAACGTCATCTACTACGATATCGTCATGATCATGGCCTTGGGTAACTCGAAGCAAGTGGAGACTTTGGACGAGTTGTTGACTAGAGCTGACTTCGTGTCATGCCACGTTCCCGAGACTCTGGAAACCAAGAAGCTTTTGAGCGCTCCTCAATTTGCCGCCATGAAGGACGGTGCTTACGTGATCAACGCCCTGAGAGGTACTGTGGTCGACATCCCCGCCTTGGTGCAAGCGATGAAGGCGGGCAAGATTGCCGGTGCTGCCTTGGACGTGTACCCCAACGAGCCCGCCAAGAACGGTGCCGACTTGTTCACCGACTCGTTGAACGACTGGGCGCTGGAATTGACGTCGTTGCGTAACGTTATCCTCACCCCTCACATCGGTGGTTCCACCGAAGAAGCCCAGCTGGCGATCGGTATCGAAGTCGCCACCGCCTTGACCAAGTACATCAACGAAGGGCTGCTGAACGGTGCCGTCAACTTCCCCGAAGTGCTGTTGCGGGCGCTCGACCTCGACCAGCAGAACACGGTGCGGGTGTTGTACATTCACCAGAACGTCCCCGGTGTGTTGAAGACGGTGAACAACATCTTGTCCAACCACAACATCGAAAAGCAGTTCTCGGACTCGCAAGGCGACGTCGCCTACTTGATGGCCGACATCTCCGACGTCGACCACGCCGACATCAAGCTGTTGTACGAGCAATTGGAACAAACGCCGTACCGCATCGCCACCCGCCTTCTTTACTGATTATAGACGAAATCACGAATATATACTAATACAGACTGAATTTGAGAGATTGAGCTGATTTCTTCGGATCACACCCCTACATTATCATGAGCCTAGTTTACAATGTTTCCTGGAGCTTCCAAGAAATCATACTACGTTACTGATAAATCATTTCATACATTACTTACCCAACTAATTCACTGTGAATTGTCCAATATCGACCCAAAACCAAAATAATTACTCAAATATTTCCTATGCTAGTGTCATTGCAAATCGGTTAAATCACCAAACCTTGTAATTCAACATCGTCTTTCATGAACTCATCAGTCAGGAGATTCAAATAGATACTTTCCCAACCAGTTTCGGACGTCACCAAAAGTTTAATCGACTCAATCAGCAAGCCAACAACAATGATACCGTAGACTGATGACAACGTACACTTCGTCAGCTTCATCAACAACGTTTGCTGATGATAGTAGTTAAAGTAAATTTTCGAATAAACGTCCACCATTGTGTTGAGTTGGTCGCGGCTCAGACGACAAGGTCTCAATAAGTTCAAAGTCCGTCGACGACGAGACAAAAGAGTCAACTCAAGATATAATAATTCTTGTTGAGTCTCAGTTATCTGCATAGTTCGAAGGGGTTCGTTTTTAGCCTCTTGGGCTAAGACTTGAAGTCTTACCACATCTCTCGCTTCATTATAGTAGGAGTTGAATTGAACGATCACTGAGTTGTATTTAGCAAACTCCTCCGGTGTGAGATCTGGAACAGGCACGATCACATTACTAACATAATTGGCACACAGAACTTTGGCTTCATCAAGACGTGAATGGAATTGTCTCGTCATACCAATATAGTCAATCACACACCGGCGAGCCCCAGGGGATGGGAGCAGATGCAAAAACTGCCCCAAGGCCGACTGACCAGGTTGCTGAGAGGACATAGTGGTGGTTTTCTATGGCACCGCCACTTTGATGACGTTCACTTACGAAGGGGGGGGTTTGGTTCTGAGATGATCTGGAGATTGTTCTGTATGTAGACTGCAGGCAAGGAGCAGTCACACTGCACTCAGTTTAAACGAAGCTATACGAAGAAGGGAGACAGCTATTAGCAGTAAGAGTAAACGTTATTTTAGTAATTTTCCGCAACAAGTATCTGATTTGGTGTCGATTTGGTAACCACTTCTACGAAGAAGTTAGTGGTTTCTCTTAGCATCAAATTCATTCAATTTAGGACAAAATTTGCCACTAGATCACTCCCTTTGAAGAATCAATGCCATCATTACTATGATTATCTATTAGTCTCTATTATGTACTACCTTTGCCTGTATCCTGATACTCCATTTGGTTTCCAAATAAATCAAACTGAGGCCGCCCGTGCTACTCGTCGCGGAAGAGGGTGTATTCCACCAGATGGGGCGTCCCTCGAAGGCGTCGGAGCGCTACCAGCGCCCGTCGAAGCGCCTTCATAAGGTCGTCGCCCGCGACTGAGGGTGACAGCGAGGTGTTACCGCTGTCACTGGGTTCCACTAATGCCGTCACCGCCAGCTTCATCTCCTTCCACCCCCACTGGCCTACACGCTCGGGCCACGCGGCGAACGCCTCAGTAATCGCCGTCCAGTCGACGTCTTCAAGCGTCGCTGGCTGCTGGTTGAGCACTTGGCTCACCACCCACTGTTTCGTAGCCACGTCCATCACCTCAGGGCGCATTGATCCTTGCTTCTTGATGAGCTTATTCCACTTATAACGGCACTGGATGCGACTACGCTTCCCCTCCATCAAATCAGACACTAAAGTCCAGTTGATCTTGATGGGAGCGTCAACAATGGCGCCAGTGATAGGTGTTGGTGGTGACATTGCGCTCTGTTCGGCACCATCAGCGCCATCAGCGCCTTCAGGCAGTGTCGTCGACGCTGTGGTTGCCTCACGCAAGTAGTCGGTGACAATTTGCACCAACTGGCGCTCTTCCTCGGCCAGCCACTTATGGGACAGCCGGTTGTCGCCACACTTGACGTAGTTGCGCCAGCGGTCGCGGCAGTCTTCGGGCATGCGGTGCATGAGTGTCCCTATCCGACACCACTTGCCGGCGTGCACTTGGGCTAAGTGGCGTAGAGTGTCGTCATCTTCCTTAGTCCACTGCGCTCTTACTTCAAATACATGGTACTGGCGCTTGATATGTTTGTAGGTCAGTGCTCGCAGTCGATAGGGCAATACTCGAGTCAATTGCTCCCAGAACTTATCCTTTTTCCGCTGGTTTTGCCAGATCCGTTCACACACTTCTTCTCGCGTCATCCGCTTAAGATAGCAGTAGCCAGCGATGAAATGGTCAACAGCAGCGATTTCTGGTTCGGTAAACTTGCGAGGCCCAATGCGGATACGAGGCCCATTTAGCAGCGCCGGCTGGCGCTTACCTTCGGGAGTCAGGTTATACCAGTTGCACGCCATCGCTGCCGCTTCTACCACCAACAGCTCGCTGCTGGTGATGTGGTGAAACCGGCGGTGTAAGTCCACAGGGTCAAATTCCTCAACGGCGTGGCGCTGGTGACGACTGGTGGCGGCGGCGGCGGCGCTGATAGCCGCATTCAGTAGCGGTGACGGAGGTGCTCCATCCATAGTTTCGGGAGACGACAGCGCCAGTGGGGCACTACCATCAGAGCCACGCAAGGTGTGGGAGGCGGCGAGGAGGGCCTCGTCAACAAGCGCTTCTCGGCGCTCAAGTTCTTCAAGGGTAGCGAGGTTGTCGTCGTCGTCGGACACTGGCTGGTGGCGGAACCGTTTAGGAAACGGCTCAAAGGGAGTGTCGGCGGTAGCGTCGGTGCCACTGGTGTCGAGATAGTCGTCCCAGTCCATGGTGGGGACGTGGCGCTTTGCCAGGGCGTCCAAGGTGCCGCCGACGAGCTTCATCACCGCTGCCTCGACGTCGAGGTCGTCTTCTTTGCGGGTTAGCAGCATGAGGGCACGGGCGCCGCCGATCTCTTGCGGCTGGTCCATGGCGGAGGTGCCGGGGTCGCCTGGAGAGATCATCGCGCGGATACGGCTGGCAGCAGGTGGTGGTGCGGTATATACATCGCAAATGGATATAGAGTGAATGGACGGTAATCGAAGGTTTGGGAGAATATTGGGCAATGTTTTGACTGAAGAACTTTGTGGTATTAAGAGTATACCCATGGCTGGAAAAGTAGTGGTATTAGTTGGTTAGATCATCGCATCCGTGGATAAATTGCTCAGAGTGAAAAGTACAAATACTCGTAGGATTTCAATGACGTCAAGTATTGGGGTGGGAAAATTTGATGCTTACATACCTGTAGATAGATTTGGTTCGTTGAAGTTGAATTAGTGTGTGAGATTCTTCGACACCAACCATTTAATTCTAGAGAAAAAGCCATGTTCAACATATTGTTAACTTTTAAATAATACTAGGCCTATTATTATCGTTTTTGGGCAGTTTGTAAATCACGTTATGGTGGTTTCAGAATACGTATCAAGGTGCTAAGACTTCCAATTTGAGAAAAAGCCATAATAAGCCTTGACCACACTCAAAACGATTTGAAATTCTATTCAAATCTTTGAAAGTTATATGAGGAGTTCACATTTTCTTATGTTTCCTTTAAGAATTTAGGTATTTTCAGCAGACTGTTACTCAAATTCCCCCTTCTGTGTGGTGTCTCGCCTGGGGCGCGGCGCGCCATCTATGCCGCCGTCGCATCGCACCTCTCTCTGAGACCATGGCGTGGGAACCCGATCGGGCCAGTGTGGAGCAGCTCCAGCGGGTGTTTGCCGGGACGCTTTCGCCGAATAATGACGAGCGCCGGGCCGCCAACGACGCCCTCGCCGAGGCGCAGCACACCCCCGAGCTCGAAAACTACCTATTCTACATCCTCATGGATCGCCTGGCGGCGCTGGCAGTGAGAGCCGCCGCCGGGTCCCATTTGAAGAATACCATCCTTCGCAAGAACCGGGACCGTCCCTATTTGACCCAGCACGTGATCCAGGGCCTCGCCGACGACGACCGGCTCGTCAGCCGCATCACCGCCAACATCATCACGGCGCTCTTTGCCCAGCGAGGCGTCGAGGGTTGGCCCGAGGCGTTGCCTCAGCTTTTTGACCTCGTCAATAATGGCCACGGCGCCGCCGCGGAAGCGGCGCTGGAGGCGCTTCGACGCCTTTGCGAGGATCTGTACCAGAAGCTCGCCCGTGACTACCATGGCGAGCGCCCTGTGGATGCGATGGTGCCCCAGTTGTTGGCGCTTACTACCAACGCTCTGCCCGTGATCAGAGCCAACGCCATCGGCTGTATCAACGAGTTCATCCCCGGGAAGCCCCAGCTGCTCATCGCGCAGCTTGATCCTTACCTCCAGCTGTTGTTTCTGAACGCCCAGGACACCGCTCCCCAGGTGCGCCGCCAGGTGTGCCAGCTGTTCCTGTTGATCTTAGAACAGCGCCCCGATAAAATGTTGCCGCACTTGGACGGGGTCGTCGACTATTGTGTGCATTTAATGACGCCGCTGGCGCCTGGCTACGACGACGAAGTAGCGATTCAAGCGTGTGAGTTTTTGATGATGCTTGCGTTGAGTGTCGAAGAAGGGCGCCTCACCTACCAGCCGCGCATGGACCAAGTGGTGCCGGTATTGTTGGCGCTGATGGTGTATCTGGAGCAAGAATTGGTCACCATCGAGATGCAGGACGAGAAGGACGACGGCGCCGTCGCTGACCGGGACCAGGACATTAAGCCCGGTCAGGCGCGGCTGAAGGAGCACGCCGTTAAGACGCGCCGCGCCGGCGGCGATGGCGGTGACGACGACAGCGATCTGGACTCAGACCTGGACGACGACGACGACGACTTGGAGAACTGGCTGTTGCGTAAGTGCGCGGCGCTGACGCTCGATGCGCTTCTGACCAAGTTCCCTCGTCAAGTGTTAGAAGTGGCTCTCCCAGAATTACAACGTCGCTTGGGAGCGCCCGAGTGGCCGGTGCGCGAGGCGGCGATCCTCGCCTTCGGCGCTATGAGCGCCCCCTGTGCCGAGTGTGCCGCCGATTCCGTTGGTGACCTCATCCCTTTCCTTGTGGAACGCTTACAAGACCGCGAGACCAGAGTGCGCCAGATTTCGTGCTGGACGATATCGCGCTATGCCGACTGGGTATGCGACGCCAGCGACCCGGCGCTGCGCCATTTTGGTCCCGCTTTTGAAGCCGTGGTGCGCTGCGGTCTCGACTCCAAAAAGGTAGTCCAGGAGCTGGCGTGTCTGGCGTTGGCGACGTTTATCGAAACCTGCGATGCCCTGTTACTTCGCCCCTTTATCGGCCCGTTGCTCAACCATTTTGCCCAGTGTTTCGGCGTCTACCAACGTAAAAACATGATTGTGTTGTACGACTGTGTGCAGACGTTTGTTGAGGAAATGGGCTACGACGCGTTGGTGGCGGATCCTCACTACATGGAGACGTTGATGACTCCGCTTTTGGGCAAATGGCAGCTGATGAGCGACGACGACGGCGATCTCTGGCCTTTGCTTGAGTGTATGGGGGTAGTGGCGGCAACGTTCGCCGACAAGTTTGCCCCCTACGCCGTGCCCGTGTACCAGCGAGCAGTGAAGATCCTCGCTCAGTGTGTTCACGCCGAACAACAGTGCCACACTGACCCGTCAATTGAGCCTCCCGAAGTGAATATGATGATCACGCTGATTGACTTGATCGATGGCTTAATCCAAGGGTTTGGTGACCACCTGGCAGAGCTCTTGGCTTCGGCTAGCCCTGAAACCGGTTCGGTATCGGTGATGGACTTGGTGATGGAATGCTTTGACCACCACCTGGCCGACGTCCGCCAGCTGGCTTATGCCCTTTTGGGGGACATGGCCATTCACGTGTTGCTGCTGACGATTGCGCCCCACTTGGAAGCGGTTGTCACCTGCATCGGTAAAGAAGTACACAACCGCAACTGGGAGACTAGCGCCGTCCACCTGAACGCGGTGTGGCTGCTTGGGGAAATGGCGTTGCGCTTACCCACTGAGCTCGCTCCTTACTTGGCTAACTTACTAGACCTTTTGATCCCCGTGCTCGAGGCAGTGGACTTGTCGCTGACCGTTTTGGAAAACTACGCCATCTGCTTAGGTAGATTAGGTGTCCACTACGCCGACGCCGTCGCCCTCAGATTAGCGGAGTTCATTGTCGCGTGGTGTACCCACATGATGTACGTCATTGAGAACGAGGAGAAGGAATCGGCTTTTGCCGGGATGGTCAACATCATCCACAAGAACCCCGACCACGGGTTTGGCGGGTTGTCGCTGCCGCAAGCGAGAAAGAACTTGGGGCTCTTCTTTTCGTGCATGGGTAACTACATGGACCCGTCGCCCCAGCTCGCGCAACAGTTCCACCAGTTGTTGACTGAGTACCACCAGGTGCTTGGTGGCGATGGCTGGAACCAGGTGATGGCGCTGGTCGACGCCGACGCCAAGGCTCGTCTCGAGCACTACGGATAAGTATATAGATCAGAGTGTAACTCTAAAATAAAGGGTGAAAATAACGTCGGGAGTGAAACTTTTACGTTAAACAAAACGTCAAGATAAGTGGTCTTAACGTGGAGTAAGCTTGTTTTTGTAACTGTTGAGATATTTCGGGAAACGAGAAATTTTATGGAAAAAATAAACAACTGAAAGTCGGAATTCGGATGTGCCAATCGAAGTTTTGGAAATTCTCTTCGATTGAGTTAGTATGTCTGCCCTTTTTTGTTGTTTTGACGACATTTGTGTTTAGGTTGTGTGTTTAAGTTGTGGCGCAGGCCATGTGAAAACCGTTGTCATAGAGGATGCATAATACACGGATCTCGGTGTAGCTGACGATCTGACCCGCCGCCCTAGAAAATTTTCGGGATTACGTTTGTGACATTTTTCTTGACAATTGACGATTCCAGAGTTTAGATTACGGTAAGCTCAGAAGACCTGATTCTCTGATCCACTGAAAGTGACTTATGGGAGGCACATTCAGATGGATAACCTTGAAATTTGCAAGGAAATTAAGTCAAAACACGGTTTAACGACTAAGTTACTAGCAACGGTGACCGTCGTCAGTGGCGATGATATCACGACGCGTCGATTTGGTTTAATAATTGGGGTAAACCCTCATCGCAAGTGTTGGGATTAGGTAATCGGCCGAGGCTCGATTGCCGAGGAAGTAACTCGGTACTTCAAATTACTGTGTGCCGAGGCATTCGACCCCCACCAAACGGCTGACCAGTGGCTATATCCGTCAGCTACAAGACCAGCGGTAACCTCCACCAACTGATAATACCCCTACTACTAGCCGTTATGGCAATAACGGGCCCCCATTTGCGCCCCTCACCAACTCCGATCTCCGAAAGCTCGTGTTTTCGCCGAAGCGCTCATCCGGGGTAAATCGCATGGCCTAAAGTGCACGACCCCAGATTTTCCTGTAGGTCACCAATTTGATATCTATTCCTCGGCGTTGCTATTGGGCAGGACCAGCGATGCGATAACGCACTATGCGCTTACCAGTGGTAGTTCGGTCAATAACTGCCTCCTAGGTTGGATAAAGACAAAGCTAGGCCATAGTGAGCTATAGCCAATGCTCTATAGATCATTGGTTAATCAATTGATCCGGTCAATTGCTTTTGACTAGTGGTTGTCAGTCACCGTTCAGTAATTGTTAGTGGGACATTATGGTGACGGTCGAGGGTCACATGCAGGCCACCCTATCGGACGCTTAATCCGAGGAATAACCCACACCAACACACCAACCGAGACCCTGGGAGAGATGCTATCTCTCTCAATAACGATAGTATTGTTAGTGAATATGGAGGTCCGGAAGTGTCCGGGGTCGCTCCAACTTCGGGAATTTCCGAGCCACCTGATCCCAACTCAAAATCTATATATTTTACCTTGTCTCACCAGAGTCGTGTCGCGGACCTTTACCCCACCGACGCCCTCGCCAAAAACGCATATAAAAAAAGCACCGCGCTCGCCCCCACACTTTTTTCACTTTCCCGCACCAGACACTACCATGGACGAAGTGGACTCTCCTTTGATCGATAACGTCAAGTCGTTTGCCGCCGGCGGGTTCGGCGGGGTGTGTGCCGTGCTCACCGGCCACCCGTTCGACCTCGTCAAGGTGCGGTTGCAGACGGGGATGTACAACCTGGCCATCACCTGTGTTAAGGACACGGTGAAGAACGACGGTCTTTTAGGGCTTTACCGTGGTGTCATGCCTCCTTTGCTTGGGGTCACTCCCATGTTCGCGGTGTCGTTCTGGGGTTACGACTTGGGTAAGCGCGTGGTGTCGCTGGCTACCGGGAGACTGCCGGAGCAATTCTCGATTGCTGACACTTCCGCCGCTGGGTTCTTCTCGGCCATCCCCACCACTGTCGTCGCCGCTCCCGTGGAACGGGTTAAGGTGGTGATGCAAGTGCAAGACTCGAAGGACTCGCTGATGTTGAAGACCCTTAAAGAAATCTACAAGAAGGGCGGGATCACCTCGGTGTACAAGGGGACGGTGGCGACGTTGTGCCGTGACGGTCCCGGTCTGGCGGTGTACTTTGCCACCTACGAGTACCTCAAGGAGAAGTTGCTGTCGAAGGACAGCGACTCGTTGTCGTTGGGAGCTATCTGCACTGCCGGGGGGTTCGCCGGGGTGGCGATGTGGTTGGTGGTGTTCCCCGTCGACACCATCAAGTCGTTGCAACAGTCGCTGCCCAACAAGGTGCTGATGGCGCAAGCGTACAAGCAGATCATGCTGACGAAGGGTGTTGCCGGGTTCTTCCCCGGTGTCGGCCCGGCGTTGGCGCGGTCGTTCCCGGCCAACGCCGCCACCTTCTTGGGGGTGGAACTCGCCCGCAAGTTCTTGGACTCGGTCATCTAAAGTATTTTCGTATTTATTCTTTTTTTTTTCGGCTTTGATAGTCATAGATATACTTATAGTAACCCTGTAAAAACTGCCCTCCTCTGATGGCGCGATTTTTCAACAATACTACGCTGAGAACAGCGCGGCGCGCGTTTTTACCCCACAGCCACGCATCCCATGGCCAGGCTTAGTGTCCGCGTGCTTGTGCCAAGCCTCTTGCTATGTGGCGTGGGGCTCTGGTATTTCTTGAGTCTACGGGCGCTGCCCCACGCCAAGCTGATACGCGAGACCCTGTTTGACTCCAACAACGACCTGGTGTTCTTCCCCGGGTGCCAGGTGCCTGTCGCCAACGACGCCCCCCGCCAGAATGCGGCGCTAGTGATGCTTGCCCGTAATTCTGACGTCGACGGCGTCATCAGGAGTATAGACTCGTTGGAACAGCATTTCAACCAGTGGTTTAATTACCCGTGGGTACTTTTGAATGATGAGCCGTTCACTGAAGAATTCAAGCAGCGAGTGAGCCCTCATACGGCTAACATCACTTACCACTTAATCCCTCAAGAACACTGGCAATTCCCCGAAAATGTTGATGAACAGGAGATGGTTGAAGCGTTTAATCAACAGGCCGATCGCGGGATCCTTTACGGCGCGTTTAAGTCGTACCACCAAATGTGTCGCTACTACTCGTACAACTTTTATAAGCACCCAGCGGTGGCCGAACTTGAATGGTACTGGCGGGTAGAGCCCGACGTCGAGTTCTTTTGCGATATCACGTACGATCCGTTTGAAGAGATGGCTAAGCATAAAAAGAAGTACGGATTTAACGTGTTGATGCAGGACTTATTCTACACTCTTCCTGGTCTCTACCGCACGGTAGCATCGTACATGAAACAAGAAGATATCCGAGTCCGTGATCAGCGGCTCTGGCACATGTTTATGTTTGACGATACTCGCCTCCACCTGTCGCTGGGCAAATGGGACCCCAACGACTTTTCAGGGAACGTCAATGAAGTGAGACGCCAAATGAAGCAAAAGCTTTTGCATCGTCGACTTGTGGCAGCATCGTCCAAGGACTGGGCCAAGTTCCAACCGCTACTTAATCAGGTGGCCCAGCAGGCTGGCACCCACCACCGCAAACTATACCCGGACCGGTTCAATGGCTACGACTACAATTGGGGCCACTTCTGGACGAATTTCGAGATTGCTCGCGTCGACGTATTCACCTCCGACAAGTACCGCAAATATTATGACTACATCGACAAGCTGGGTGGTTTCTGGCGCGAGCGCTGGGGCGATGCTCCCGTGCGTCTGTTGGCGTTAGCCATGCTTCTCACCGTTGACGAGATCCACTACTTCCGTGACATTGGCTACCGCCACCTGGACATGTCTCACTGTCCGATAAACGATGACGGTAGTGGCCACCCCGCTCACATTGGTTGTAACTGTAAGTGTACGTGGAGACACCAAGACCTTGAGGAGCGAGGATCATACATGTATAAACGGTGGAAACGTGCCACTCAGGACGGGTACAGTGTGCCGTTACTGATCAACTTGGACGATATGGAGCGTGAGCTTCAAAGTCGGATCGATAAGGATTTGAACCGTGGCGCTCACCTCTTCGAGTTGATTGATCAATAAAATTAGGGTGTGGTGTGTGCATTATCATTAGTCGTAAAATAAATATAGATCATAAGTAGCGACGGGTTTACTGGCTCAGTGGCACCTGGACGAGATTGCGGCCGATTTCGATGATGACGGGAGCTTCATCCTCTGAATCCACCACTTCTTGGTCGTCATCAATCGCTCGAGGGATACAGCGAAATTGAGCGCCGTTAGCCGTCCACAGACCCGGCTTAAATCCCAGAGCAACCATGCGGGTGACGTTGGGGTTTGTCGTACTTGAAGGGTCCAGCGAGGGGAACACAAAGATCCCCAGAGGGATGGTTTGCGATGAGTGCACCGAGCTGGGCCCTTTCTTGGTGGCAAGAAGCTTTGAGGGACTGAGGTGGATACCGCGATGAGGCTTCGTGGGAGATATTTGATTATTGAACCCTCGGAATGGACTCAACTGAGTACTGGTAGCTTTGAACGGACTTATCTGAGGTTCACCCGGTCCAAGTTGAGTGCTGGTTTGGAGAAAGCCAAACGGGTAAACTTTGAATGGACTCTTCGTTGGACTTTTGAACTGGCTTAAAGCGGGCGACGCGTCCAACGGGCTGCTCAGTGGCACCTGTACTTCGGGTTCAAGCTTGGGTTTTTGCGAGAGGAGCCATTGCTCTCGAGCAGTAGAATAAATCGACTCCACCTCGGTGCCTTGAGTTTCAATGAAAGCAATATCGGCTTCAGGGTTATTCTGAAGACTACCAGCTATCCGATCGAGATTTGACGATTCAGGGATGATCATTTGGGGAACAAAGTCGAGGGATGGGTTCATCAGCGACAGTGCTTTCCCATCCCTCGGTGGCGTGTGCGGGGTATTAGAAACCGGGGTATCGGATGCCACCGTCGGTGGGAAGGGAGTATTTGTTGCAATAGAAGGCTCGACTTGATGACTAGGATCATGTGTCGTATGAGTACTAGGGAGCAGTTCAATGGGTATTTGAGGGGCCTGGGCTGCTTGTGGAACTTGCAAACTGACTAAGGGAGAGAAACCTGGGTCTTTGACAAACTTCAATGGTTCAGGTTCATCTTCGGAGTCCAGCACGTGCAGTATATCACCCTCCTGGGTGAGCACCACCACGCCGCCGTCAGCGAATTCTGCTGAGTATTCTGAGTCCTCCGATCCACTGGAATCGTCGTTTTCGTCAAGATCATATAACCACATTATATCCTCTTCACTAAGTTGAGGCCCCAGACACGTCTGATCCCATAGACTGGGACTATCGGTTATGGGAGCAAATAGCTGGCCCACGGGATACCGATCATCGTCGTGGTTTATCCGAGTGACCACTTGCAGTACTGCCGGCTCGTCGACGCCAAGCATCCTCAGCGTGATCAGTCGGAGGCTTCGTTTGTATTTGGGGTGTAAACGAGGGAACTTGAGCCGTAGCCGGCTTAACGCCTGGGTATAATCATGCTTATCCACCAACGACTTTGCCATCAACTCAGCGATATTTTCTGCTGGTTGCTGAAACCGTAGCCCCAGTTCGATGTAGTCAGTGATATGCTTTTGTACTGCACTAGCATTATCGCCGCTAGCATCGTCGACAGTGCTGTAGCGAGCGACAGCAAGTCTTCCGTATGTCTGCGGTACTTTCGGTGCTTTCTTCGGTCGTTTTGGCTTTGGTTTTGGCGGTTCCTTGGCGGCTTTCTTCTTTGCTGGTTTGCGTTTGCGCGGTGGTGGGAGTAAGGGAGGCGCCTCCAGATGAGAGAAGCACTGGAGGGCGCTGATGAGCTGGGCCTGGCGTTTATCTAGCTCTTCCTTGGCACATGTCTCTTCGTGGATGGCCTGGATCTGGGTCAGGGCGAACCACATCGCGGAGGCCGGTACGCGTCTAGAGCCTCTCCGCACGTCACGCGTATGGTGGCAAGGCGATGGCCCCCCGCGGATCTCCGATCGCTCGGAGATATAGCAAGAAAAGGGGTCAAAATTGAATTGTAACTCCACCTATATAAGCGTGGCGTCGATGTAATACACTTCGATAACACCATCTTGAGCAGATTACCCTAGAAATCTCACGAAGAGCATTCATTGCTATGAGTGCGATAAAACTGTTTACCTCTACTAGCACGACTCACCATCGTTGCTTTTGGTATCACCCAACTTCATCATCGTTTCTCGTACTATCTACATCACAAGTCCTAGTCATGGTCTATAAACTATTTCTACCACCGATGCCGTGCATGTCGATGTATTCATAGGTAATATGCTAAACCAGCTCCAAGCGAGGAAGCCGGAGCGAAATCTCTATCATGTGTACCGTCCCATCCATTGAATAGTTTACTCGCCTTGGTGCAACTGGTGGCGCCACTGAATACTCTCCTCGCGCTTCAACTGCGACTCCTTCCTCCGGAACGCCTGGTGTTGCTGGTTCGTCGGGCGAATCACGGCGAAGTTTCTGAGGATTTTCAGCGCGTAATTGGCCGGCAAATCCTCTTCTTCCGAGTATTCGGGGACCCCGGTAAACCGCACCACTTTACGTACCTCCCCCAGAGCCAGTACCGTCTGCGAGGCAGGGGCGGAGGTGGCTAGCGGGGCTGACGACCGAGTGCTTTCCAGACCCAGCAGCAGCGCGCTGAATTGGACCTCAAGCATATCCTCCAGGATCACCTTAGAGTTGCGAGCGGTGTTGCGGCGGGTCTGGACGTCCCGCATCGTAGGTTTGCCCAACATCGTCGGCTGGCCAAACTCGCGGAGGACCAGTTCCGGGAGCGAGTTGAGGGAACCTTGAGGGATACCTCCAGGAGGTAATGATGATGCAAGCGGGTTTTGCGGAACGTTGCCCAGCGGGACGGGACTCTCGCTCGAGGAACGTTCTCGGCGTAACTGGTACTCGCTGGGGTTGGCAGGGTCAAACGTCACCGGGACCAACGGCTCCCGTTGCTGAGTCACAAGCGCCCCCAGCTTCGACGCCGCCCGCAAATGTTGTTGGAGTCTTTGTTGAGCACTGAGTCTCGTCGAGCCGTCCTCCTCTGCCACTGCAAGCAATTGTTTCTGGACATTCTTCGAGCTCTGGGCGAACACCGTCAGATTGCGCTGAGGCGTCGGCGACACCGTGCTGGCAGCAGGACTGCGGCGAACCAGGTTCAGGCGCGCCACCTTCAACGCCGCCGCCGCGCCCAGCGTCGCCGGGTTGTGCACTGGCAGCGAGTTGGAGCGAGTGCGAGTCAACGGCGGAGCAGGACTGGTAGCCTGGTTTTGCGAGTTCAACAGCTGCGATGAGTCCACCCGGTCGAGCTGGGGCACGGGGCTGCCTCGAAGCGGCAGCGCCGGTGGTATTCTGGGGGTGCGAACCGGCGCCTGGCTTGTCTGCCCCAGCCCTGTCAGTGCCACCAGCAGTACCAGCGACGACCTCAGGCGAGGAGGGGCAAGCGACTGTTGAGCCGCGGCCACCGGTGCCGAGGGCTTAGTGGCATTAGTGGTGGCAGTGGCTTGCGACGACTTAGCGTCTCTCGGTTGAGGTTTGCCCCGACGGCCACCACCGTCTTTGCTGATCTCACTCAAGTATTGACGGGGCAAATTGTACGCGGCTCGGAACCGAAGCTCCGCCGCCACCCACGAGGTCACGAACTCGTCCAACGCCAGCACCGCCTGGTCGACGGCGAACCACCCTTGGCTGACGAAATTGGCAAGATCGCGCACCAGTTTCGGGTCACAGGGGTAGCCTGACGGGGCCTGGTGTCGCAGGATTACCCGGGTCAACGTCGCCACAAGGGTACCGTTTTTACGGTTACCGTTAAAGATGGCTTCCGCTTTCAGAAGCAGATGGCGCATGTAGGCGCCGTTTTTCAGCTGGAATAAGAACTTTTGGTCGACTAGGTGGACGTGATTGGCGTTGAGTACCTGGCGCCCAAGGCGACGGACGCACGTGTACAAGTCGTTGAGTCGGAGCGTGAGGCCAACCACCTCCCATACCGCCAGCGGCGGCGGCTGGCCTCTCAGGGTCTTGTACATTTGGATGCGGGGGTTGAGGCGACTCAAGATCTCGCGGACGCCGCGGCACATCGTGATCACGCCTTTCAAGTCGTTATCGATGAGCAACGCCTCCACTGCGGTGTCGTCGGTGAGGATGTTGGGTGAAAGCGTCGTTCGCAGAATTTCCGCCGGGGCACAATCAACGTCAGTTTGTCGGAGCCCCACGAGTTTAGACACACTTTCAATGTACCCGGGGGGGAGCGACTGCAGCGCCAAACGCTTTTTATAGGCGGCTAGCACCTGTTGCAAAAGCGACTGGTAGAGGTGTAAGCATTTCTGTGCCATCAGTTCCAGGGGTAAATCGTCCAACGGAACCACCAGTACGTCCTGGAAATCGTAGGGGATGTGGGTGAACTGCTTATCGTTGATGTTGGGGGGAGGCGACATCCGGAAAAGCTTGTAGTGAGCCACGATGTCGACTCTTTGCGAGAGGGGGCCGTCTGCAATGTAGAACACCCCGGGAGTAAAGCACGCCACAATCGGTAGAAGGATGACGTTATACTCATCGCCTTCAGTAGGGAGGCTAGCCGCTTCCTGGAGATTGGCAATCAAGTACTCGAGCTTGCCAATGGCGTATACGTGCTGAAGCACTTTGCCGTCAAAGGCAGTGAATGCATTAGGAAATTTGAATGGCGCGGGCGGGGGCTTGACGTGGCCATTCTCCTTGGGAGTATCCGGTACTTCTCTGGCTTCACCGCCGTCTGCCGTGCCTGCAACGACGCCAGCAATGGAAGGGTCCAAAGTCTTGGGGAGATCATCGGTAACTTCTTTCGTTGTGGTGCTTGCACTGTCACTGGCTTTAGCCACACTGTCATTGGACGAACTGGGTTCGGCAGGTTCAACCTTGGCAGTATTATCGGTGACAGGTTCCTTAGTAGCTTCGGGCTTTCCCGTGGCATCCTCAGTTTTCTCCTTAGCTTCGTCCCCAGTATTCGTCGTAGATTCGTCCGTAGGCTTGATTTCGATATCTTTCTTGGTCTCATCCTTGGTGTCGTCCTTGGTGTCATCCTTGGTGTCATCCTTGATGTCATTAGTTTCAGTCTTGGAAATCTCTTTGGTGTCAACCTTTGTGACGTCTTTGGCGTTAGCCTTTGTTACAAGCTTGGAGTCAGCCTTGGTATCCTTCTTAGTGTCATCAGAGGATTCAACATTGGTATCCTTGTCCTCCACCTTGACTACCTCTTTAGTGTCACCCGTATCAGTCTTGGTATTAGTCTTAGGCGGAGTTTTGGTATCAGTCTTGTCATCCTTTGCCTTCGTTTGCTCCTTGGCATCCCCCTTAGTCGCCTTAGTCTCCTCAATGGGTTGTTTCTTGGCCTCCTTTTTCAGCTCATCCTTCGCGTCGCCGTCAACCTTAATCACCGCCTTACTGTCAGCCTTAGTGGCCTCACCGGAACCATCGGCAGCATTGGACGTTTCTGAGCCGGCATTGGTGGGGGTGGAACCGTCGTTGGCCTCATCCAGTGAAGGCTTGTCGGAAGCGCCGGCCTTCTCGGTGCCGGCGGCGGCGTCGGCGCGTTGCTTGCTGTCGCTGTCAGTGGCGTCCGCAGTGGAGGGCACCGCTTTCACTGCAGTCTCCAGGGTCTTAGACGGGGTATCGGTTGTAGTATCGTCGCCAGCGGCGTCAGGGGTGCTAGATGAGCCGGGGTTTGCCGGCGACTTCACCGCGCCGTTCTCCTTCTCTCGCTCCGCGGCAAGAATCACCGACAACGCCGCGTCCATGTCGCCCGGGAACGCCTGTTCCTTGGCACCCAGTTCCGCCAGCGCAGCCTCGCGCGTGTCGGCGGTGTCGTCTGCTGGTGGTGCCGTCATCGTCGTCGGCGAACTTGAACGGGGGAGCTATCGACCGTTCGCCTTATTCGCGCGTGCAGGGTGAGGCGCCCTACCGTGAGGGGGAGAAAAACACTTTCGACTGCAATACGGCGCTACCATGGCAATTTCGGCGAAGCGAGGGGGGAGGGGGGGGCGTGGCGGTGGCTATGTAAATGGTAGAGGTGAAAGGTACAGGTTTTTAGTCAGGCAGTGGTATCGGACGACAGTGTGTCTTCGAGGGGGGGCACCGTCGCTGGTGCTGCCACTGGTGCTCTGTTGACGTAGCGGCTGCCGACACGGCGCGACTGGCGTCCTTTCCGCGCGTATTGTAGACCGGAGAAGGCGCACACCAATGATAGGGGAGAGATGTACGGTGGTGGATACGCTAAGGGTTCTGCCTTTGAATAATTTCTCGAGCAATGCTGGTTAGGGTTATGAGAGTCGATGCTTGGCTGATCCGAGCGCCGATTTCGAGCCGGAGTAACTGCAGCGAGATTCTCCGGGCCTAAGTTGCTGTCATCGTGCGGCTGGGGCCGGTGGCGGCTCGGCCGGAGTAGTGCCCACAAGTGGCCACTGAATGCAAACAGCTCACCCTTTGGGTCCAAATTAGATACTTGAACCGTTTGCTTATCATCGAGGTGGGCCTCGAACCATATCTAGATTAGCAGCCATCAACTGGTTTACGGGAGAAAGAAGACCGCGTCAGTATTGGGCTGGCCGGGGGTCGTGTCGCGCCCTAGATATTAGCGCGACGAAATCCGGCCACCCATGCTATACCTACTCGGGGGCTTGCTCCTTCTCCACGGCGGCTACCTGGCCTACGAACACAACTACGTCTCCGCCAATGCTCCCCGGCCCCTTCCCAACGACATTATCCTTGAGGTGATCATCGGGGTGGTGGTGATGGTGTTTGGCGCCATGGCACTGATCCGCAACCAGCCCCAGTTGTCAGTGACGGGGGAGAAAGTGACGCCGGCAGCGACGTATTTGCAGCCTATCGACCAGCAGCTGGCGTTCGCCGAGAAGAAACAGTTGGGAGTCCACGACTGGCAGCCGCTCGAACTGCGACCAGACTTTGTCGACGTGCTCGCTAAACGCCGTGAGTACAACGCCTACGTCGACGCCAAGTCGCAGAAGTAGCGGGAATGCTGGCGCATCTATGCGTGTGTTTGGTTCCGAAATCTGAGATCGGCTATCCAGATTAGTTTTCACACTATCCTGGAATTCGTTATGTTCGTGGGTGTTTATAGTAAAGCAGGTTACCCGATCGGGCTAGCTAAGTGCACGTGCTCCTCACTCGGGTCAACCCGACGACACTAATCGGCACTAAAAGTACCGCAATACACATGATAAAACCCGAACCCACAAGAACCGCTTAAACATATGCTGTAGAAAAGATTTCTTCGATTTCATGTGTTTAGTCCTCTTAGGCCTGTCTTTTCATACAATGCGATCAAAGTCGCGTACCTGACGCTCGATCTTGGCGGGCGGTGCGACGCGACTCCGGTAATCACTGTATACCTCGTCAAAACGATACCATCGAGATTGCCAGCGGTTCGAGATAATTGTAAGGGTTAACATCTCAAGAGGAGCGCGGTGGGTGACTTGTTGAGACTATTGAGACTAGTCCATAACTTCCAGGAGACTGCAAATGACGAATGGTAAAGGAACTTGGCTTAATTCGCGCAAGTGAAATATACTTTGTGTTGTCCCATATCGTCTAAGAAAAATCCGTGATTGTGGCGGGCTTGGCTAGTTAAAGTAGGACATTTACGGCGCAGGCCCGATTGCTTTTGTCGGCAGAGAACCCCAAATGCGCTCGGACCTACATTTCAAGGCTTAAACGAGCACCACACAATGCCTACGCATATTCGATTTCATCATCTGGGCGAATTGTCGACCAAATCGAGAACTAAGGCTTGACTAAGTATAAATACTGGCATATCCCGGATGTTTAGAGCGCCATCAATCCTCATTACAATGCAAATTAAGACCGTCGCTACCGTCGCTATCGCCTCCTTGGTTCTCGCTCAGGACCCTGCCGCCGCTGCCCAGAAGGAAGAGGTTGTTCAACGTGACCAAAAAACTGGTGGTGGCTTCCTCCAAAGCTTCATCGCCGACTTCCTCCACTCCTTGTTTGGATTCAACTTCTAATTAGCTCTACGTATCACGAAATCAACGAATCAATACCCCCTACTACATGATGTTCTTTATCTTGGTTTTCAGCAGGAAAGCTCTTTGCTATTGTCTTGCATTCCCGTATATTCATCGTTTGTACAAATGGCTTATAGCCTTCACTCAAGGCCAAGTAAGAGATAAAACGTCAAAAATGAATAGCCAGTAGATCGTAGAAGTCATATCTAGTTCCATTCAGGATTGTGTCATCCTCCGGCCCAGAGGGCGAACGAAAAATTTTCTGTTGTATATTCAGAGGGTGTTTGACAGTTACCGAATTTCGATGACCCCATAAGGTAGCCATTACACCATTGATTTGGACAACTTCATCTCCCAAATGCTCGACAATCATTCAATCTGAAGCAATAGATCGTTGATGGATTTTAAAGGATTTTGCTACCATTTACGACATATGTGTATCTCAAAAGCTTATATAGAGGTTTCTGCTTCTGTCAAAGATACAGAGAAAGAGAAGCTTGAGGAATTGTCCGACGTGTTCGGATTTGGCACGGCGGAGTATTTCGCCGACGCCGATGCTGCACAACTCATCGCATGAAGAGCGTAAACGAAAATTTGCAGCCATACGCTACGCCATTGGCTAGCTGCACATGTATATATATATATTCCGGGAAGGAATGTAATTTTCCTTACCGGTCTCCTATCAAGTATTTAAAGTATGTCAATCAATATGAATATTGACAAGGATTCTGTCAATGGGACAGAGTATAATGGTCAGTCACCTGCTTCCGAGCAGGTGCATCACTTGATGAAAGAGCTTGAGATTCTCCGGCAGTATATGGCGACTCATGTAGAGAGCGCCCAAGCTGCCTACCAGGCGATGAATCTCACGGGGGCCGGAAAGCTTCTATTGCTGCTGTCAGGAAAGACCATCATCAGCTGCAAAATCGATAAAAACGCAGTCAGTGGCTTCTTCAAATAGAGGGGTATGCAGCACGATGACTGTCGTGTAAAATGCTAGCTTCCAGATCGGAGTTATGAGGAATGACTCCGATGCTGGTCGAAGGGTCTGGAAGGTTCGAGAAGCCAGACGAAGTCACATGTGAAGGCTCGATACACATGTGAGAGATGCAGAAGAAGGTACCTGGAGCTTCCATGGTGGCAAAGTGGGAAGCCGCAGGTTGGTGTATAAATATGACTGATTTGATTAGAAAAGAATACAAGTGTTTTATTAGTGAGCTTCGGATATTATACAACAATGACACATAACGGTTCCGTAGTCTAGTTGGTTATGGCGCATCCTTAACACGGATGAGGTCCCCGGATCGAGCCCGGGCGGAATCATCTTTTTGTTCATTCAATCCATTTTCTACTTTTAACCTCATAGGGTCTGAAGTTTTGCTATATTTGTAAATTGCATGCTTTCTCTAATCATAATTCATAATTTTACCATTAATCGTTTTCAGTTTGAATGCTCGATTATTCGAAAACCTTCAATTGAATACCAGTGCATCCGTCCCAACCCTTCACAGTAAGCGAAAACTTGTTTTCGCCACCGGGGCAAGCGTAAAATGATTGCTCATCTTGATAGTACAAGTTGCCATCTTTAATCAGGAACCCTTGAGTGGCCAGTTGTTGGCCCCAAGGGTCAACGTTGCCAAGATCACCGTTTTCGTTGACAAATACACCCCGACCATCTTGGTCATACAATGCTCCATCAGTAGAGAGAGTTAACGTCAAGTCATCACCTTCAGACCCACCCACTTGGAATACAGGGGAGGTCTTCTTAATAGCCAGGTTTTGGAATTGAGACCCCGACCGAATAGCGACAAGTCCGAAATTATCCTTGGATGCTGCCACGGCGGTGGGCTCAATCTTCTTGGTGGTGGTGAGAGTTATCGTCTTTTTGTTACCCTTGATGATGCTAATAGGTGTCAATGTAGTGGTGAGCTCAATGGGTGTAGGAACCAAAGTCTTGGTGACAGTAGGCTCAGGCGTGGGTTCGTTGACGTTCTTAATACCAGTAACGTACACCACAAGCGGGGTACCGTCCTGACACTCCTTCTTGGCAAGAATGTACTTGTTGCCATCATCGGAAGGACAAGCGTAGAACCCAGACTCAGCATCGTACCAGAGGTGGTTTTCGCTGACAGCAAACATCTTTTCAGGTTCATCCGAGGTAGACAATTCACCCTTTTCATTCACCACAAGGTACTTCTTCGAGTTAGCGTCCCACAACGAGCCGTCATCCTTGAGCACCCATTCAATGTTTGATTGACCATCGTTGATGTGCACGAGACCATCCTTCACCGAAAGGGCACCATATTGGAACTGAGAACCAGAACGAACAGTCAAAGCACCGAAAGTCTTTTCGGCCAAGGCCAAAGCGGGCAAAGTGGAAAGGAAGTAAGCAAACTTCATGTTAGTTGATTTGATTGATGAAAAAAATCCGATTGGAAATGTGACTTTATATATTGTGGATTTCGGTTATGACGTAGGTATTTGTGGCTGCAAAAACATATGTAAATGACCTCGGGTGTATGACGCACGGCCCTCAAAATTGCGCTTTTTCTGCAACTTTACTCATCCCGCTTATATAGCTCACAGAAATACGGGTGGCTTAGCAGGGGTAATCCATCTCACAAATAACGTGAAACCTGACTCTCAATTGATAGACATCAATGATCTCTTTGACGAAAGCCGGTACTTGGTAGTATACGTTAATTAAAAGGGAGCTTCGGTTAGGTGGCATGAAGCTCACATCAATGCAACGTCAATTCTGCATGCTTTACCAGCATGTTCCATTCCAAAAATAGCTATGCACGATGATGTCATATTCAAGAAGTACAAAGCTGACAGTCTTTCGAGAAAACTTTAGCTGTGCCATTGCTGAAATCCAAAGTTCCGGATTATTTATTGCTGAATCATGGATAACGTCAAGATTCAGGTGTGGTTTGTTTGCCAAGGGCAGTGCTTTTCGGGGAAGTGGCCCGTGTTGCAAAATTTGTGTCTCGCAAATACAGGCCAGGGCAATTGACCAATCTGTCAAGCGAGCGCAAATGGTTTAGTGGTAAAATCCAACGTTGCCATCGTTGGGCCCCCGGTTCGATTCCGGGTTTGCGCATCCTTTTTGTTGCACCTATTCCCTGCAGGATTTTTTTTAATTTGCAGCAACTAATTCGTTGAAGAAAGCCGAGCTGTTTTGAAGAACGCGGGGTAAAGTTATAGCGACTCCCGAAAGGAATTTGTTGATTTGTATGACAAACATGCTGATAAAAGATTTTATTAATTGAACTTGATTCATTTCATTAAAAGGCCTTTAATCGTTTGAAACTTTGCTCAATTATGGCTTTTCTCTGTAACTAATTCGCTGTTCGCTGCTTCGTTGATCGTCGAAGTCGCACTGATTTACGATTCACACGCGTCGAGTATTCCAACCGAACAATGGACGTGTCCTCACCCGAGGTGTTGTCAGCTGTCCTTAACTTACAGAGCTCAGATGCCGACATTCGGAGCAAAGCTGAAGTCAAGCTCTATGAGCATGTGCAGGCGCCGCATTTCACCATCAAGTTGCTCAACTCTGTTGGCGACTTCTCGATCGACACCAACAAGCGTATAGCCGCTGCGCGATTTTTCCAGGATAGAGTGTTTCACGATTGGCAGCGTCCAGGTCACTTCTCCCTGGATAATGTTCGCAGAAATCAGCTGCTCAAGCACAGGAGAAAAGAAGACAGAAGCAGCCCCCATTTGCCACGTCCTATCGGCCAAGCTGAGGTGCGAGTAACTATACCTGAGACCGAGCAAGCATTGATTAAAGCAAATTTGATTCCAGTGTTCATCAAATGCTTGGATATTTCTGAGATACACCCATTGTTGTTGGATGCCTTCATTTCAATTGCTTATTGTGAAGAAGCCCATGATGAACCGGCTGCTTCCATCTATGCTCTCATCGAGGACCTCTCTGATTTGAGTCTCGTCAAGTTGGGATTATCTTTACTAGTTGAATTAGTGGAGATTCAATGTGTCAGGCTGTTTCACTCCGCAAAGATGATACTGACCGAAGTCATCACTAAAACTTTCACCTTGTTTGAAATGATTGTGCCTCAACTTTTATCACTAAACCTGTCCCAGCTGGCAGAATGTTTGAGCCTTGTGATCCCAATCTACTCTCGGTTTTGGGCTTTCGAAGAAATCAAAGAACTTTTCTTCGCACCAGTACTCGATGATACTCTTCATTCAACCAATTGCTTTCAATGGCATAAAGCTATTTTGACACACCCCAATCTTCTGATTGCGGTCAAAGTGGACCCTTTGTTGCGACCGCTGCATCTGTGGGTTATGGCAATGGAGGGATCTGTCCATAACTTAATTTATTTTCCCGAAGTGACGGATGAAGTGAAACTTGACATTTTTTGGGATCTTATTGAGCGGTGGTATTCCAAGAAAATATGGCTACTGGACAGAACAATCAGCGACGTATTTGATTTTTTCAAGTCTTTGCTGGATACACCCTCCTGGCTGCTCATCATTGAAAAGCTTAAATCAATTGGTGGAAAAGTTTTTCTCAAAGCTCTTGACTCCACTCATCATACGATTGAGCTCTTTCAAAACATTCCTGAAGACTATCTCGTCATGATGACATCTAAGCATGTAGCGAGAACTCGCTGGAGAGTGCCGAGGTTTGCAAATTTAGAAGTCTCTGTGGGAGAGTTAATTCAAAAAATACCAGAGGATGTTCTTAAACCAATTGTGGATTACTATGTTGATACAATTCGAGATCGGTCTGCCTTACGAGCTGAGGACAAACTGCTGTTTGCGCGTGCGCAATTGGTTGATGGAGCATTGCGTGTTCACAGAATTGTTGCAACCTATGTACCATCGAATCTCGTATCACCCGCACAATACACCGAAACACTCTTGAAGTATGCGCTTCCCGAACTATCACCTGACACTTTGAAGGCGCAACCCTGGCTAACCGCTCGTGCATGCAATGTCATACTGTTGCTATCAAATTCACATTTCGAGGCTAATGAAGAGATGAGTCAAGCGATTTTTGAGAGTTTGATGTATTGCTTTAATAATCTGGATCTGTTTGTCATTCAAGTTTTCGCGTATAAGGCATTGGAGAACCTTAGCTGCATCAAATCAATTAATCTGCGATTGAAACTGGAAGGTCGCCGCATATTCAAGCAATTACTGTTGATTCACAAAATGCATCCTCTAAACGTTGTGGCTGATGCATTATTAGCACAGGGTGTCCAGCAATCGGCGGCTGAGCTGGTTCCTTTAATTGTTGAACATTTTCGTCTTGTCGTGTCTAATGATTACGAGCAGTCAATGCAATTTCAAAATTTCATTTACAAATGTTATGAAAAGACGTGTGGCGACATCGAAAATATGCTCAAAATGAAGTTTGTGGATGTGCTTGAGCTTGCTTCGAGGAATGGAAGTTTGGATAGAGAAAATCTTGTGCCTATCTTGTACAATTTCGCTAATTCAATTACTACAGTGCTGTCGGAAATCTGGCAGATCTATCTGGTGATCGTCGAAGCATTCGAAACTGCTGAAAGAAGGCGTATTTACATTGAATTGGTTGACTTTGCTCACTTCTTCCGGTCAGTGGTAAAGTTTGGATTTCCATCGTTACCAACTGACTCTCCACAAGTGCAATCTCTTTTTGAATTGTGTTTTCATCAAATTAAACGAAACTGGTTTTTTGAAAGTCCTCATGCGGCCTTTGAGTTGCTTGAGTTGGCTACGTTGTCATATGGTGAGAAAATCTCTTCTCTTCTTCCTCACTTACTCGAAAAGTTGCATGAGATTTCTCAAGTCTACATCGACGAATGTGCGGGGTATGAATCTAGTTTAAATGGTTTTCTTTATGTGCGAGTGTTGCTTGCTGCATGTATTGCTGATGCTGACACAACACTCAATTTCATCAACGACAAAGACTTTTTGAAACCGTTTTACCTGATATGGAAGCAAAATTGGTCAAAATTCCAGCATTTATACGGATTGAAACTACAAACCCTCGCCTCATCACTGATACTTCGATCAAATGAAACGGAGAATATTCCATTTAATTTTCGAAAGCGCATATTCTCGAAATTTTGTGATGATGTTAGTTTACTTCGAGAAGCAATCAAGGCTCCAGACTACTTACTGAGAAAATGCAATCACCCCACAAACTCACGGGTTTCTCATGACTCAGATTGCAAGGATTGTGAGGATTTTTGGAATAGGATGCTCGATGCGACCCTGCCACCAAGAGTGAGTCCGCTTTATGACTTAGACATCCTCTCTGCTATGCATGATTGTGTGGACGAACGAAGTCAGTGGACTTTTACGTACTGTACAGATGCTGACAATAGCGAAAGCGTCTAAGATGACGATGATAGCGATAATTATTGACGATGATAGCGAAATTTATTAAAGAATCACCAATAATTTTGTGAAACCATGACCTCACCTCGAGCATTCGCTCGTTGTCGGATACGCATAAACTTATTAGTGTATAATTTTAACATCAACTAACACTTTTATCTAGGGTAATTGATTACATTAATCAGTGCCATAGACAACGTATCAACGTCTTTATACAACAATAAGGGGTTCAATATTAGAAGACACACCAAAACGAGTATTATGTTGTCATTGATGAAGTTCGTCATATGCCGTAAAGCTCCTACATTCACCGTGGCTGTGACTCAACGCCACATCACATTGTTGCTGAAAGTATGTCTTCTTTGCAGCATTAATGCTCCAACTTTGCCAGTTCACTTCATCCGGTGGTGTGAAAGTCAATATTCGATACATGTTTTCTATTCAAAAGGCATTGTACTGAAAATCTATGATTGCATCATCATGTGGGCGGATAAGGACAATTGTGGGGGAAGATTGAAAGCAGCTCGTTGATGTAGTCATTCCATCTTTGACAAACAGGGGTTTCTTCCAATCACCATTGTCGTACTGTGTTTGCAATCTTTGTCAACGTGCCTCTTTGATGACGTGGCAATGAGTGCTGATGTTATGACACTACTTTAACTCATTCGTCGAATATTCACAATCACAGTACTCTTTTGGCCATGTTGAGGGTAAAACAAATGCGTTGGATAGCACAGGGATATTGATCTCGATCCGGTGATGGCGACGGGTTAAAATTGGGGGATCGCTGGCGAAGCCGCACCGCCCTACAATGCGTAACAATTAATGGAGGCCTACACCATTTTCCAACCAACTTATTACGAAAATTCCCGAACTTTCATGAAAAGAGAAGACAAGATCGTTTGGCAGTGTTAATGATTGGTATCCACTTGCACAGGTACACTCGCGAGTTAATTTGGCCTACTATTCATCCATCGGAACATATAGCCCACTTCCAGTATCTGGGAATGCTTCAACTATAGGAAATGCTCCAGTTATCGTACTCCTTAATGAACAACGTCAGCTACATTGACGGTAATTCAGATGACGGGAAACAACAATTGCCGCTCTAAACCGAACGTGAGGTTGGGAAAGGGTACGTTAGCTGGAGAGCTCAGAATAGTGTTCCTCCAGGTTGATTCTGACAACGGTTGTGCTATGGAGCCGTTTTTCTCATTATTGTGGGCTTGGGGGGGCTTGGGGGCGGGGGGACTCATATTAGCAACAACTCATCGAGGTTTTTAACAAATATTTGGATCGACCAGAGTGGGATCGGCGATGAGATGATTTTATCAATACCCTTATCATGGAATCTCTGCTAACGGATACTCATTGATGAAACTTCTTAACTCCCCTTCTATCAGACACATTATTGCTCACTTTCTTTCGGGGAGGGGGGGGCTTTATTTTGAGCTGCAATCGTCTCTTGTTCAAACGGTGCAATTCGTCACTGCATGGATAGCATCTAGCTGGTTGATTCCACCCTCGTCGTTGTACATTCTGAGATCTCAAACAGCACTACGAGCGATTCGTGGACTTTATTCCCAGCGACATTGGTCATACGCCAGTGTCACGAACTGCCAGGTCTATTTGACTCGGGTGTATTATCAAAGTGCTTACGCGGTACCTGGTGCTCCCGCATGGTACCTGGAACCTGGAACGACATACCTTCCTGTTTGAGCCACCAATTGCCAGACCACTCACATGGTATAAAGTCTTCTGCCATGTGTTTTCAAAAGCCATCATCATGAACTTCAAGGCTCTTGTTGTTGCTACCGTTGCTACTATTGCGATCGCCGCCCCCACCGCTGACGGCGCTGACGTTGCCCAAGCCAAGGCCAAGAGATGGTGGTGGATTGACTGGAGAATGTTTGAACCTATTGACTAGGCTCGTTGGTTTGTTTACAGACAATACATGTTCTAAATCAAGTAATAG